GTGCTGGTTGTCATACTAACTTTTCAACATTAGCTATGCGTGAACCTGAGGGTATCAAGTGAGTATTTTAGCTACCAATTTTTGAATGTAGATATAATATTTTTATCATTCATAGTGCTATAAATGATGCTATCAAATTACTTGAAGCACGTCATAGTTCACATATTAAACAATATGGTAGAGATAATGAACGACGATTAACTGGACGACATGAAACAGCAAATGTAAGTTTCGAATTTTAAATATGTGGATAATTTATTTTCAAGTATAATTTATATTATTTAGATCAATCAATTCAAAGCAGGTGTGGCTAATCGAGGTGCGTCAATTCGAATTCCTCGTCAAGTAGGCGAAGAAAGATGTGGCTATTTGGAAGATCGTCGTCCAGCATCAAACTGTGATCCATATGCTGTAACTGATATCATTGTTCGTACTGTATGTCTTGGTGAAAAAGATCCTGAAACACAAAGTTAATTTATGTTTAAGAAAATTGTTTTTATATAGAAATGCTAATGACTACTTCCGAAATTTTACCAGTACATTCTTATAGTTTTTTCTTCGCTATTTCAATGAATTTATTAAGTTACTCTGAGTCTATTATATCACCAAATAAAGTGTTTATTCTAGCTATGTAGTTTCTTTTCTCATGCATAAACTCACTGCTTATATGTATATGTATACGATCTGATAAGAAAATGAATCAAAGTGTTTGTTTTCGTGAACACTCTTGGTGTGTTATTTTTTTAGTAAGTAGACTTTCATTCACATCTTTAGTAATAATAAATCTTATTTTAACTATAATTCAATAAATCATTTCCGATGTTAACTAATAAAAGCACTGAATTTCTTTCAGCAGAATGACATGAAACATAATATGATATATTCTATATTATCGAAAATCATAATAAAAATAACATAAACTATTTTTAGCTTACAATATCTAATAACTTTCTGATAAAGACATCAATAATATTAACAAAACTGTTATGTTGAAAATAAACTACATTATTATTTGACAGGCAAAAGCAGATGCTTGTTATTCACTGCTTTGTGTCATTTGTTTACTTAACAATGTACTGCCAATCAATACAGATTAATGATTATGTATCACAGATTTTTCTTATAGCATCAAACAGCTTATAGTTTATTAACTATAGAATAATGTATATATTTATCATGCAAAAGACAATGATGTAAATTAATAAGAACAAGTTCATTTTTTCCCTGATTTTACACTTGATATGAATGAATGAATTATTGCAGCTGATCTTGGTATTCATTTATTTATCTAGCCTTAACAAGTTGAAGGATTCTTGTCACATACAACTTGAAAATGATTGCTCTATAACTAATGGAACAAGAGAATAATCTAGATCATGAATAGAATCATCATCATCTTCAGAAATATTTCTATGAAATTTATTAGTAATATCTGTCATAAGAAAGTCTCTAATGACCTTTACATTTTGATTAATTGCTATTTTCTATTTAAAAAATCGAAAAAGTGTTAGATATGTTTTATTTGAATAACCTCATGAAATGTTTAGCATTCATATGTTTACAAGAATGAGAAACTTGGAATATCGGCTATGATTAAAAGCACTTATGACAAAAAAAATATATAGAGAAACATTCGAATCACTATTGATAGTGATTAATTAATGAATCGTTTCGGGAAAAAGAAACTCTCAAGACGACGACAACGAGCAAACCCATTAAGTGTGAAAATATTGATCGTTATAGGATTCCGATGAATCTATCGATGAAACTCGATATGAGTCCGATGCATCATTAGAAGATTAACAATTAGAAAAAGAATATTTATTCACACATTGACAAACAAAAAATAGAATTGTGAATCCTGTTGAATCTATAAGAAGCATTCCAAGGTTAAATATATATTATTCTTGTCTTTATAATATTCAAAAGTATTTAGTATCGATTTTCACCATTAGTTAATTCTTTATCGATAAATCATTGATGAGTAACTATCCTTGCATTTTGACCATGGCACCGTTAATAAACATCCTTGACAACATTTTTCTACTATCACTAAAGATAATCTTGAAATATATTTTACCTCACGCATGAAGGAAATTTAATTAAAGAAATGAATGTTTCATATTCAAATGCACATTGTTAACAGAATTGATAAAAGAACACGTAATTTTATCGAAAAGATCATTACGGTATTCTACCTTTTCTCAAAAAAATATTTAATAAAGCAGAATGATTGATTACTCATGTTGTCAGTTTCCATTTCATGTGTAAGAAATAATCATGCATTAATTATTTCTTGTATGTAATAAAGGTATAAATCATTATTTTCATACATAAGTAAACTTAAATGAAAGTAGAACACTTTTTTTTCTGGTAAATAATCAATAAAATTCTGCGTACAATTTATTATTAATATTGACATTTTTAGTAAAATCGTCATTTTATTTTCCTTTTTTTGATTAACTTCATTTAAATTATAATCTAAATAAACAAGTGCTATATTATTAATGAGAAATTATTATGTTGAACATTTGTTATTTCATAAAAAGAGAAATGTTTTGAATAGAAAAAGTTTTAACCACTTTTTTCGCTCAACCAAGCATAAATGAAAAAAAAAGAGTATCAAATACTTACAATGATAAGAAATCCTTTATCCACTAGTGTGAAAAACATAACGCAGCTCGTATATATTTTTCTTAACATGGGGGCAAAAAAGGAATTCACTTCACACGACTAAGTTCCGGTTCGCTGAAAGCTTCAATATTTTTCTCGTTAAGTATAAAAATAAAATCTCTTTCAAAAAAAAATCCGTTTTGCACTCGGATTGTTTGTCTTCAACATACCAAAAAAGAATCTATATCAAAATTTTTCATCCCATACTTAAAATGTTAACAGTAAGATAAGGATAGATTGTACTTAAGATTCCATCTTTATACCAACTATTTCGTATATTTAATAAAATAATCGATTACGAACATGAAAATTATTTTAATTACATTTCCGAATGTTTATTTTTAAATATTAATAAAAAATTTCTTGAATTACATCATATATGAATGAATAATAGTTTCGATTTTCATCACATAAAAATATAATATTGTTATTTTCTTTCAAAACTCTAGTAAGTCTTCAGTATGTTGATTCATTAGAATATAAGGTTTTATTTGACTTGAGGGAATGATGATTCTTATGAGAATAATTGAGCAAAAATATTCACCAATTATTAGTTTGATTTATACAATATAATTGATTATTAACACATCTTATTCATTCTATCTGACCAAAAAAAAAATATATAGAAGAAAAAGAAGGAAAAAAAATCAAAAGAATATAAAAGCGTATGTGTCATTATGAAAAGAACAGAAAAAGGCTTGTTAAGTAAATAGGGTTTCATTATCAATAAGAAGAAAAAAAAACATTTATGATTCAAACGATAGAAGAAAAAAAAACATGGCAACCCATTGTCGTTTACCGGTAACTTGTGAATGTGGTAAAACAGTACAAAAAAGAAATTATGCTCAACATTGTTCAAGTAAATATCATATGTCATATATTACAAAACAACAACAATTAAATGAAAAAAATAATTTATCATCAATTGATTTAGAATTTGATATAGCATGTTATTTACGTCAAAGTAATTTACGTAAAAATCAAACAAATATTCAAATGATTGTTCAAAAATATCAAAATAAAGATCCATATACAAAAACTCAACTTGAATTTTTAAAGAATGATTCTATTCCAGCCAATTTTCATATTGATCATATTCATGAAGCACAAATTCTTGCATGTGCTATTAAACATACACCAGAACTAAAGCCTCATAATGGTAACATACTTGCATTAAGTCCATTACGATGTATATTTAATAATGTACCCAATTTAGCGATAACAGCAGCATCTATAAATCTATCAAAAGGTCAAGCAATTCGATATTTTCTTAGTCATTATGAAACTAACAGGGACATCTCACTTTTGGCTGCATTTATTCAGACATCTTCTGGAAAAGAAAGGTCAATAGCGCATTTGGCAATGAATATTGTTGATTTAATAAAAGAAACAAGTTCTAATATGAGTGAATCGATACGAGAAATTCGACTGGAACATGGACGTGTAACCGGTGCATATCACTATGACATTGTCGCTGAGCAATTCGATACAATTATCGATCGAATGAAATTAGATTGGAATGAAAATATCAAGCTTCGGAGTGGAAAAATTTATCAAGCATGTAAATGATATGCAATATATATATATGAATATATATGTATACGTCTATTAAATATGACAACTCTCGTCGCTCGTTGTATCTTTTTTATCTATCATCTTATAACGCACATTTGTCCAAATTTGATGTCGCAATATGATGAGTAGAGAAGAAAAAAAAGAACGTGTGAGCGTGTTGTTCTTTTCATCATTATTTATCGTTTACACTTGTATATGATCCTTTTTTTTCGAACGGTAAATGAGCAGAGTTCTATTACACAATAACAACTACACGCGTCGATCTCATTTTGTTGAATTAAATTCTATGATATATATATATTGATCAAAAGATGGATTTCTTCTTTACGAACATGGATTACTTTCTTTTTCGACTATTTTGGTGAAACCAATAGAATCAATATTCTCCTTCTTCTTGTTCTTTCAGGTTTTTTATGACGTTGATTAAATTCTATATGTAACACGGTAGGATTTATTTTTCCTCTCTTTTTTTCTTTTTCGTCATCAGACCTTCGATTGACTTTCATTGGATTCATCAACTACCGAATATATAGACAGCGGATCATATTACATATATTTATATGTGTATAAAAAATAAAGTTTGTAGGTATTTATTTCTTCTATATCGTCTTATGTGCACATCGTTGGTGCATTTTTCGAATATTACTTTTGATACGGCAAATCCTATTAATCAGGAAACAATTAAAGATAAAGAACAAAAAGTTTGTTTGATTTTCTTCTTTTTTTTCAGGCTATTATTTGTATTATCAAACGTATTTTGTACGTTTTATGTCGTAGCTAATAGAAGGCGAGCACTCGCTTTTTGTTCGTTTGTCGGATGCCGTTAGCAAAAAGAGCCCATAAAATAAGGCAACATGTCGACTCTAGGGTAAGAAGAAGTGAAGGATGGAGGATGGAGAAAAAAAAGAGGAAAAAAAGCAGAAAGAAGAAAACAACACCAGACTGACGCACTCGACGCAATAAAGGCTTGTAGATGAGTGAAAGAAGGAGACAGTGAAGGAAATTTGTAATGGCGGTTTGGATAGAAGAGAGAGAAAAAAAAATGGTTCTATCATACAGAACTTCGTGATGAGTAGCATGTTTATTGATATAATCGAAATAAGATCCAAGCATCAATGTCGTTCATTTATCCTCATTTTATGTCAATATCATTAATTCGTACAGTTTATGATCTTCCTTTTTCTTGTTCTCATAAAATAGTATACTAGTATATATACATATACACGAGTTGATAGAAGCTAATAGTTACTGGTGTATAAGTGTTTTTATTTGCCAATCGAGAAACAATGATGATCTTTTCCTTTTTTTCCCCTCTGTTATACATTTCTTTCGTTCGATCATTTTGTAGGACAATAATGAAACATACTGGATTCATCCGACATGAAAGTTTGACAGCTACTCATCAGTTATATTAGATCGCCGATTGGAATGTTAAAAGAAAAAGGGCGGAGATTGATCGTTACTAATCTATTTATCTTTCTTCCTCTCTCTCTTTATCTATTATGTGTTTTCTTTTCAGATCTTTTCTTTTTGTATTCTTTATTATAATTAAACATGGGAAATACTTTACCTCAAAGTAATCCCACTCGACCAGTGGCAACAACAACTACAGCAACATCATCTGTAACGACTAAAGATGAATCATCACAATATCCAAAATTAAAAAAATCTCGTAGTCTACGAGAATATACTCGTAGCACTTCGTTGATTAATAGTAGTTCCAATAATAGTACTAAAAGAAACATATCATTACCAAGACCAAGATCAATGGCACCGACTGATGCAGAAATAATTGATATTCGCGCTTTACGTTGTGCATTACCTTCAACAGAACATCCGCTAGATAATGGAATATCAACAACAACAACCATAAATAATGAAGGCGAAAATCAACTATTGAAACAACTTGATTATATTTATTCATGTGTACGAAAAGATAAAGGTTTATTTGGTAAGTTATTGTTATTGACGTGTTAAATATTCTCATATTTTCTTAATAGGTATGATGACAGAAAATATCCAAAGTAAACATATTTTTTCCAATCATGAACCTGAAAATACACATACATTAGATCGAACTCCCGAAGAGTTTCATATGGATTATGAATCAATTTATCTACAAACACTTGATGGAGAATTTATACATGCTTATTGGATATATCATGCAAATAATATTACTTCAATACCAACAACTACAACATTACTCTATTTACATGGTGCAGGTGGAAATATTTCACATCGTCTTGAAGTTGTACGACTTTTCTATGAAAATCTTCATTGTAACATCTTAATTATTGATTATCGAGGTTAGTATTTTAAAAAAAGTTAAATTTTGTATAACGAAAAAAAATATCGATTGTCTTATATTAAATAATAATTCGATATTGACGCCTAGATGGTTATAATTATCATTTCTATCATTGAGTCGACAAGGTTGTATAAATAATTGTATTAGAACATATTTTCACATAATCATTCAACGATAATTGATTGATCCTAATTATATATTTTTTTTATATAGGTTTTGGTAAAAGTTCTGGATCACCATCTGAACTTGGCCTTTATATTGATGCTCAAACTGCATATGACTATCTAATATATAAACAAAAGATTTTGCCTGAACATATTATTGTTTTTGGTACAAGTCTTGGTGCATCTGTTGCTATACAACTTGTTAGTGATCCATTAAATCGTGTTAAAGTAGCTATATTCGAAAATGCGTTTATATCCGTACCAGAAATAGCAAAATATTTCTTAACATATGCCAAAAGTGTTATTGGTGTAACAAAATCAATTGGTTTTATTTATTTATTTGATTCATTACCTAAAGTACGTCGCATAGAATGTCCATGTATTTATTTAACCGGTTTACTTGATCCTATTATTCCGACATGGATGACCAATACATTATATAATGAAACACGTTCTGCTAAAAAACGTCATTTATTTGAATATCCATTTGGTAAACATAATGATTTACCAATAATGCCTGAATATTTTGACAATCTTCACTCATTTATTAATGAATTACCCACAATAAAATCATCAACTGAACAAGAATCGGTGCTGAGATAATATTTCTACTAATAATTCTATGTATCTATTTATCTATCTATCTATATAATGTGCTCGTTTTCTAAAGCAATTATTATTGTTGGTATATATATTTACCTATTTATCACAAAACACAAACGAACATGTCCAAAAACGATTCGCATTATGTAAAATATTATAAATAAATCTTTCTTTCTTTTTTTTCTTGGATTTTGTTTTTAAGACAAAGATTTTCTTATCTTGTCTCGGAGATAAATCATTTCATTGTATAAGCTTCTCTGTTTTTTATCGGAGTATTACAATACAAAAATGATGATTATGGAAATAATTCTTTTTTTGTTGTAAGGACGAAAAATATTTATTCGACCTTCGGCGGCATGTCGATACATAGAAAAATTTTGCCATCGTTCTATTCAAATTTTATTTTAAATTAACAGTAAATTTTGAATATTATGATGTATTTTGTTTTTCTTTTTTTTTGTTTCTCAAAAGAAAATAATAATATACTCGAAAATTAATTGAATCTTAAATATGTTTTAATATTCAAATTTTCTATTCTGTATTTATCATATCGATTATATAATTAATTAACTAAATAATGATTATCTGATATTGATAATAAGCACAATTTCTTAACTAATTGAATAAGGAAAATTTCTGAAGTAGATCGTCACGCCTTATATAAGGGAATAATCTATATTGAGTCAGATATATATACATATTTCATCATTATTATTGCAAGATAACAGTATTGCACGATAGTTGTTTTCTAGAATACAAGCTAAATACGCCATCTAGTTGTAAAATTATTCGATTCGTTCTTTCCCGTACTTCGAGCAACTTCGTCATCATCGTTTATGTCCATCGATAATCGACCGACTTAAAATCCATTTTGTATTTTTTCGTCTTACATCATGTCTTGTTTACTATTTATAGGACATTTCAAGATCAAAATTTGTTTTTATATAATTTAATTAAATTACATCACATAACATTGCATCAGATTTTTCTTTCCTATATATATATGTCTATATTTAGATCGTTTATTGATATTAATAAAATGAATATAACCGATACGCATCCATCGAAAGTCACAACAATAATGTCGGCATCTGAAGTTCGCCGAACATTTATTGAATTTTTTACAAAAAAATATGATCATTTATATGTACATTCATCATCAACTATACCACTTGATGATCCTACATTACTTTTTGCAAATGCTGGAATGAATCAAGTATTTAGAGCTGAATTTAATTTTGATCTCTTATTTTTGTTCTCTATATATTCATAGTTTAAACCATGTTTTCTTGGTACAGCTGATCCAAATACTGATATGGGAAAATATAAACGTGCAGCAAATAGTCAGAAATGTATTCGTGCTGGTGGTAAACATAATGATTTAGATGATGTTGGAAAAGATGTATATCATCATACATTTTTTGAAATGCTTGGAAATTGGTCATTTGGAGATTATTTTAAAGAAAAAGCAATTGATATGGCATGGGAATTACTTGTTGATGTATTTAAATTAGATCCTGCTCGCTTATATGCTACCTATTTTGAAGGAAATCCAAAAGGTGGTCTTGAACCTGATTCTGAAACACGAAGTCTTTGGAGAAAATAGTGAATATATATATACACTTTTTAAAACACTTTTTCATGTTTTCTTTTTTTAGTTTACCAAATGATCATATTCTTCCGGGTAATATGAAAGACAATTTTTGGGAAATGGGTGATACTGGTCCATGTGGTCCATGTACAGAAATTCATTTTGATCGAATTGGTGGAGGCCGAAATGCAGCTCATCTTGTTAATCATGATGATCCTGATGTATTAGAAATTTGGAATCTTGTATTTATACAATTTAACAGGTTTATAATGAATTTTATGAAGATTTATTAATGAATATTTTTCTTTAGAGAAAAAGATGGTTCATTACGTGAATTACCATCAAAACATGTTGACACTGGTATGGGTTTTGAACGTTTAACATCAGTTATTCAACATAAACGTTCAAATTATGATACGGATATATTTATGCCTATATTTGCTGCTATTGAAAAGGTAAAAATCGTCAATATGTAAATTAGTATCGATTAAGAAAGAAAACTTTTTTATTAGGGAACTGGTGCACGACCCTATACAGGTAAAGTTGGTGATGAGGATACAGATAAAATGGATATGGCTTATCGAGTTATTGCTGATCATATTCGAACATTAACAATTGCAATTACTGATGGTGGCAGACCAGATAAATCAGGACGTGGGTATGTATATATAATCTGAGGTTTTCAAATATAAATCCTTCTTTCTTCCTTTCATAAGCGATATTTCGTTTTGTATGTTCTCTTGCGTGACGATTAAAAATAATCCAGTTGACCGATTACAAAATAGATGCTTTTATAACTATAAATCATATTTTGAAAAAAAAAAGAGAATCTTATATTATCTTTTGTTCATTATAAAGTTTCATATCCATTTTAAATATTAAATAGGCAGAATCAATTCGATGCTTTTCAGTTAAACAAATAATTTCTGTAATATATCTTAGCATTATACACTGAAAATTTAAATATTTAAAATTATTTTAGTTATGTTCTTCGACGTATTCTTCGTCGTGCAATTCGATATTCATCAGAAAAATTACAAGCTAAACCTGGTTTTCTTGCAACACTTGTTGATGTTGTTGTTGATATTCTTGGTCCATTCTTTACTGAATTACGTAAAGATCCACAAATAGTTAAAGATGTTATTAATGATGAAGAACAACAATTTTTACGTACATTAACACGTGGTCAACGTTTATTAAATAAAACAATTACATCATTAGGAGAGACAAAAACATTTCCAGGTGATATTGTATGGCGTTTATATGATACATATGGTTTTCCAGCTGATTTAACACAATTAATGTGTGAAGAACGTGGTTTAACATTTGATATGAATTTATTTGAAGAAGCTAAACAAAAATCTTTAATTGCTTCACAGCAAACCGGTGGTGAACAAGCTCAAGGTTAATCAGAAAAGAATTTTGTTTTTTTAAATACATATATTTCTTTTAGTTCAATGTACACTTGACGTACATGCTATTGATGAACTTAAACAATCGAAAGCATTGAAAACAACAGATGATCTACCAAAATATGATTATGAAGCTGATGAACAAGGAAAATATAGTAAGACAATTATTTAGTTTTAATTTGAATTTGAAATTTTGTTTTTTTTCAAGATTTTCCATCTATTCAAGCAACAATTTTAGCAATTCGTAGTGGACAAAAATTTGTTGATTCTGTTAGTTCAGGAGACGAATGTGGTCTTGTACTTGATCGAACATGTTTCTATGCAGAATCTGGTGGACAAGTATTTGATGAAGGTTATATTGTTAAAGAAGATGATGAACATGTTGAATTTCAAGTATGAATATTCATCGTTTGAAATAGAAATAATCTTCTATTATAATTTTTAGGTTCGTAATGTTCAAGTACGTGGTGGTTATGTTCTTCATGTTGGTAAAGTTGAAGGTAAATTTTCTGTTAATGATAAAGTACGTTTAACAATTGATGATGTTCGTCGACATTTAATTATGAAAAATCATACGGGTACACATATACTTAATTTTGCATTACGTGGTGTACTTGGTGATACTGTTGATCAAAAAGGCTCATTAGTTGCACCAGATCGTTTACGTTTTGATTTCAGTGCTAAAGGTGCTATGAAACCTGAAGAACTTAAACAAACCGAAACAATTTGTAATGATATAATTGAAAAATCATTACATGTTTATGCTAAAGAAGCATCATTAGCTGAAGCTCAACAAATTAAAGGTTTACGTGCTGTCTTTGGTGAGACATATCCTGATCCAGTACGAATTGTATCAGTTGGTGCATCTATTGATGATTTACTTAAAAAACCACCTAAAGCTGATGGAAGTGAATATTCTGTTGAATTTTGTGGTGGTACTCATTTAAAAACAAGTAAACATGTTGATCGTCTTGTTATTGTAACAGAAGAAGCTATTGCAAAAGGTATTCGACGTGTTGTTGCTGTTACTGGTCCTGAAGCAGAAAAAGTATGATTAATTAAATATAACCGAAAATGACAATTATTTTTTTCTTTTTTTTTCAGTGCACTAAAAAAGCTGATCAACTTGATGATCTTTTTAATAATTTATCTCGTCGTGTACAAGAAGCATCATCATCAAGCAATACAACCATGTCATCACGTTTAGCATTTAATAAAGAAATCTTTCAATTTAATGAAGATGTAACACATGCTCATATGTCACAATGGCGTCGTGAAGGTCTACGTAATCAATTAAAAGATTTAAAAACAATATTAATTGAATTAGATCGTGCTGATAGTAAAAACCAAATAAATAAAGCTGTTGAACAATGTCGAGATATTTTAACAAAATATCCCGATCGTAAATGTTTAATTGCTAATTTTGAAATGGGTAATGATACAAAAAATTTAAGTACGGTCATTAATCAAATACGTACACAAGCAACTGATGTTGCTATTATGTTATTCAGTATTGACCATGCAACAGATAAATTTGTTTGTCTTGCAAATGTTTCTGACGTATGTGTTAATAAGAAAAAAAAACTATTATTTTAAATTTTTCTTATTTAGAATCAAATTAAAGACAAACATTTGAAAGCTAATGAATGGATACAAAAAGTAATTGCAGAAGCCAATGGACGTGGTGGTGGTAAAGATAACCAAGCTCAAGCAACAAATTGTGATGCTACACAATTAGATCATTGCGTACAAATAGCAGAACAATTTGCTCTTTTAAAACTTAATTCAAGTAGTTAGAGATAAGAAGAAGAAAACAAGAGAGGGGTTTTATGTTTCATCATATGTTTGACTTTTATTCCGGTTATTTCCAACAGTTGTTGTTGTTTCAAATAAGAAATAAAAATAAACAAGAAAGGAAACGAATTTGTTATGTTTCTTTCACTTTTAGATAGTAGGTTTTTTGAATGATATTTTTTTTTCGAAAGTAAGAAAATTTAATGACGATATTCTCAGTCAGAATTTTAATCAATTCGTTTATTAAACGTCCATGCACACACTTCAGATCATTTGCTAAATCATCTTATTTTTTAAATAAATCTACAACATCGATCAGTAGATCTCAACGTAACTTAACAAAACGTGAAGCTAATCTATATAAACAACTCATCCAACGATACATGGCTACACCAATGAATGACGATAGTGTCGAAAAACTTCTTGAACCATTTCGACAAGCAGTTAAATGTCAAGTAAGAAAATATTTTTTCATTCAAAAATTCTTCGATGAAATATTTTTTCAAGGGTGATTTGGTTAAAAAATTCAAAGATGATAATATAAACAAAGAAGATGCAGAATTTAAACAAGCTATCAATGAACTTAAATTACGTAAAAAAGCTCTTGAAGAACAAGTAGAAAACAAATTTTTCTAAATGAAATTTTTTTTATTTTTCATTTTTTTCTTCTTCGAGATTACTAAATGGATGCCAAAAGAAGAAAGTATCGATCGATTGAAAATGGAAGATTTACTTAAACGTAGATTTTTTTATGATCAATCATTTTCCATCTATGGTGGTGTTAATGGTCTATATGATTATGGTCCAATGGGTTGTGCTATAAAAGCTAATATGTTAGCTGAATGGCGTCGACATTTTATACTTGAAGAACAAATGCTTGAAGTTGATTGTTCTATGTTAACACCAGAAATTGTACTCAAGTAAATAATTCTAATTGAATAGGATTTGATTTCGAAAAATTAATAAATCTTTTTTTTTTGTAGAGCATCAGGTCATGTTGATCGATTTGCAGATTTTATGGTTAAAGATGCTAAAACCGGTGAATGCTTTCGTGCTGATCATTTAATTGAAGGTAAAATAAAAGAAAGATATGAATTAATTTATTTATTTTTACAATAAAACAGCTCATCTTGAAAAATTGCTCAAAGCAAAAGATATAACTCCTGAAAAGAAAACTGAAATCGAACGTTTATTACCACAGGTAATTTTTACACGAAAAACTTTAAAAAAATATATTTTATTGTTTGAAATTAGGTTGATAATATGAAAGGAGATGATATGCATAGAGTTATTGTTGAATATAAAATGAAATCACCAATAACAAATAATGATTTATCAGAACCTGTTGCTTTTAATTTAATGTTTGCTACTTCCATTGGTCCTACTGGTCAATTGAAAGGGTTAATAGCTAGAAATTTTTATATTTTATTGTATTTCCTTATTATTTTAGTTTTCTTCGACCAGAAACAGCTCAAGGCATGTTTGTTAATTTTAAACGATTATTAGAATTTAATCAAGGTCGTTTACCATTTGCTGCTGCTCAAATTGGTAATTCATTTCGAAATGAAATTTCACCTCGATCAGGCTTAATTCGAGTTCGGTATGTTCATTTTTACTCTTTAGAAAACTATTTAATACATCTATTTGTTTTTGTAGTGAATTTACTATGGCTGAAATTGAACATTTTGTTGATCCAACTGATAAAAGTCATCCTAAATTTGAAACTGTTGCTAATCTTGAAGTTCAATTATATTCTGCATCAAATCAAATGAGTGGTGAATCACCTCAATTAGTTCGTTTAGGTGATGCTGTTAAATCTAAATTAATTAATAATGAAACTCTTGGTTATTTCATTGGCCGTATTTATCTATTTATGACTCGAGTTGGTGTTGATAAACGTAAATTACGTTTTCGTCAACATATGAGTAATGAAATGGCACATTATGCATGTGATTGTTGGGATGCTGAATGTAAAACAAGTTATGGTTGGGTTGAATGTGTTGGTTGTGCTGATCGATCCGCCTATGATTTAACACAACATTCAAAATTTAGTGGTGAAAAACTTGTTGCTGAAAGACCTTTAGCAGCTCCTAAAAAAGTACAAGTTAATGAAGTACAAGCTCATTCAAGTATTATCGGTAAATCATTTGGTAAAGATACAGGCGCAATAACACAGTATTTACAAAAATTATCCCATGATGATGCACGAGTTTTACATGATAAACTTGAAAAAGGGTAAAGTAAAATTTTTCTATCTATTTATATATATGATTTTTTTCTTCTAGTGATGAAAAAATTACAATTGATGGTAAAGAATTTACTATAACAAGAAAAATGTTTACATTTCGAACATCTGAAAAAACTGTACAAGTTGAAGAATATGTTCCATCTGTTATTGAACCATCATTTGGTATTGGTCGTATAATGTATTCTATGTGGGAACATAACTTTCGTATTCGACCTGAAAGTGAACAACGAACTGTAAGAAAATCTTTTAAAAAACAATAATTTCTTATGAAATTTTCTTTATCTAGTATTTTACATTACCACCATTAATTGCACCATATAAATGTGCTATTTTACCATTAAGTGGTAATGAAGAATTTAAACCATTTGTTAAACAAATCTGTATGATACAAATTTTGCCTCTTTGTTTATTCACTCATATATTTTTCGTTTTAGCTTCTATATTAATTCATGCTGGTATTTCACATAAAGTTGATACAAGTAGTGGTACTATTGGTCGACGTTATGCACGTTCAGATGAAATAGCTATACCATTTGCAATTACAATTGATTTTGATACACTTAAACAACCATATACAGTAACATTACGTGATCGTGATACATTTAGACAAATTCGTGCTAAAGTAAAACAACGAAATTTCTTTTGATCTTTTTTTTTCTAATTATATTTTTTTATAGATCGATGAAATGGCAAATATTCTCCAAGGTCTTTCAAGTGGTACAATAACATGGGGTGAAATATGTTCACAATATCCAGAATTTATTGAACAACAAGCAACAAAAGAACAGCAATAAATTTTTTTTTTAAAGAAATCTCGAACTTTTATTTTATTGTTCTCTTGTTATCCATTGACTTTTTTTCTTCTTTAGAAAAAACGAAATAAAAGAAAAAAAAAAGAGACAGACCGATAATTAACTACATATATAAAAACCAGTTGGTGCCTATCATAAAAAAGAACACATGAAAAATTGAGTAATGAAATGGAAATTTATAAACTTCTTATAATAGAAGAATCAATTTCTTCTATGTTTATGAATTAATAGTTAATATATCAACACTCATTTTTGAATAAGGTACGTTATTAATAGGCTATTGGTATATATAATTCATCAACTTTATAGTTATATAATCATATACACCTACAGATGTAATAAAAGAAAAAAGAAAAAGACTTGCAAAAATAAGTAGCGTTCGACTCCTTTTCTTTTGATTTATGTCTTGTCATATATACATACCTTTTATTATTCAGTTATATGGTCTTAGAAAATATTGATGACTTGCAATAACGAATAATTAAATGGACCATTCACGTGTTCGTAATGTTTATAAAGATGAAGAAGCTGAAAAACCAAAAACGTCAAGTCAATTAGAATCGAGACGAATACCACGACGAAATGCTCTCGCTGATATATCAACTGTATCGACGAATGCAAATACAACATCTCAAAAACATCAATATAATCAATTAGCTGAACGTGTTCGACAACTTCAAAAAGAAATTGTACCAGATTTTGCCTATCAAAGAACACCATCATTTTCACCATATTCATCTTTAACACCAAGTTCTACTGGTAGCAATGGAAATCTATCAACGTATCCACATCAACAAAATATTTCAGTTAGTTCAGGTTCATCAAGCTCATCTGTACCTACTCAACGATTTGGTTTATCATCGAGAATTCTTGAACGAGCTCATCAAATTCCTGAAAGGTTAATTTCAAATTTCTTCTTCTTCAATTGAATTATATTTTTTTCATTTAGATTTTGGATCGATTGGCAGCAAAAACAAATGCAAGATCGAATAGATGAATTGGAATATATTAAAAATAATTTAGGTTGTAGTCCAGGTTCATCCTTACATACGGATGAAAATGGAATAGATTATTCACCCGAAAACTCTCATCGTATTAATGATGATATTCGTCGAAGAAGTGTTTTATATTCACATGAAGCACAACGATTAGCTAATGAACGTCGTACTAGTCTTGCTCGAACAACAACCTTTGATGAAATCATACCAAAACAAAATATTGAAGAAACATCACCTGTATTTGATAATGATGATCAAAGTTCATTTAATTTCGATCAACGATCAGATAAAATTGATGATATAGCAGATCTAAGTGATCTAGATGAAAATCCGCCTAGTGAAAATCTAATTTAATTCTTTTTTTTTGTCTTATTGAAATATAATTTTTTTAGAAGCAATTAATCCGATTTCATCCGTTCAACAATTTCAAACAACTCTCGATCGTTCTCGTTTAACAATCTCCTTACCATTTACTTATACTAATGCACGAGAACAAATCATATTTCCTACTAATTATCGTCAAATATCTGTTGAACCATTATTAGAAAAAGTCATTGAAGTTAGTAGTGATGATGCAATGGAAACAATAACATCACCAACGAATAGTATTGAAGATGTTGCACAAATAAATACTGAAGTTAATTTAACTCTACTTAAACGAGAAGATCCACAAAAAATTAATCCATTATATTATACAAAAGCAACTGTTAATCGTAATATTGAATTTCGTAAATTTCGACCATTATTATCTCGAAATAATATGAATTCAATTCATAAAGATACAACAATTTCTATACCGGTAATATAATAAAAAGAATCTATATGATTTATTTCTTGTTAATTAGATATTTAAAAGAAAGGAGATTAATGATAGTCGATCATCATCACCGGCACTCTCCTTTAAATCAACTCGTTCAAGATTTTCATCTATAACTGATTGTGAAGATCTTAATGATGATATTCAATCTCTTTCAGGTTGGTAAATATACACTCTCTTTTGTTATAAATTGTTTTTATATGTTTAATTGTATTCATCTATATTATTAGTTGCAAGATGACGATATATGATTATATGCCCTACGGGCAGGTATATTTTTTTTTTCTATTGCACCAGTTTAGGGATATTTTTATTTCGTACACATATATATATATATCTAGCTGCGGGAACAGTTTATTTTACGTTAAAATATGTCACTTAAGGTGTGTATACATTACATAGAATTTTCGAACAACAGACCTAAATTAGGTAGTTTCAATAGTGAATGATGAAATCTTATATTCTCAGATTATATTTTCGTCTATTATGTGTTATGTCAATATAAAATCTATTCAACGTACTTATTATCAAGATGTAATGATTTTAACACCTCTAAAATATGTTGTAATACGATTATTTAAGTTAGAATTATTATATATTTATTTTATTTTGTCGTTTTATCTTTCAAAAATATATATTAATGAGATTTGTTTTTTTCTCCTTTCGTTCTTTTGATTTAGTCATATCATCATCACCGTCATCATCATTATCGCTATCAGTCCCTTCTCGTTCTCATTCGACATCGCCATATAATATTTCGCCTGTCACGCAATATACTAAACATAATAATAATTATCCGTCATCAAAACAAGTTTCATCACATAATTACACTTGTTTTCCACAAGATTTATCAATGATCAATAATGTTTCATCTGATTTCGAACAAGAGAATGAAAATTATTCATGTTCTTCGTGCTCGATTACTTCATCTGAAGTAGTAGAAGAAATAAAAGATAATTTATCATTCTCGTACCCATTGTTTACCTCTAGTCAACGACAAAGAAAACGAAAAAAGAAAAGTAGTAATTCATCATATTTAACTTTAATATCAACTTCTTCATCATCATCATCATTACAAAACAATCGTTCTCGTTTGTCGAACTCATTTTGTCAAAGAAAAGAAAAAAATAATCATAATAATAAGAGAACATTGAAAATTGCACACAATACTTCAATTATTTCCAGTAAAAGAACATGGCAATGGAAACAGAATGATGGTGGTTTTCGACGAGACATACTAGTTAACAATAACAATGACAGTAATGATGACGTCACACGTTCTTCATCACCATCAATTGCAACAGCAGTAGCAGACCGTCGTCTTATTCAACGTCAACGTAGAAAACAAACAAGGTTAAAAGGAAAAGCCGAGAGTAAAAAAAGAAAAGAAAAGAAAAAGAACAGGAAGAAAGAACGAAACAAAAAATCACTATTATCAACAACAGAGGTAGAGGCAGCAGCAACAGAAGCTCCTTTATTTCAGTTTTCTACTGTCGACCGTGCCATACCCGACAAACGCGTCATATTTTATCCTTATGAGCAGTTAAGGTGCGTCGACAGAAGTAAAGCAAAAGAAAAAGTTTGCTTTCCAATACAAACAACATCAGCAGAACATCAAAAACAAGAGGTACATTACATATAGACTTTTATTTTTATTATTATTTTAAATACAAACATATCATATGCTTACTGTTTTAGAGTAAATTAAATTTAACAATGGCTGATGGTTATACTAATAATAATACAATACCAAAACGAAAAGAAAATGTTCGCGTTTTTGTTCGTCGTCGTCGACGTACAACTCGTCAACGAAAACGTACATTTCTTCATTCATCTTCATCTAGTAATTCACATGAAACAATACCATCATCACCAAATAATCTAGAAGAATTAGTTACATTAATATCACAAGAAATTAATAATAAACAAGACAAATCTCAGAAAAATAAAAATATTATTGTTGTTAATTATAAACCTGTTTTTATTAATTCTAATCAACAAAAACAACCACCATCTTCTTCACCTACAAAAGTATCATCTTCTATACCAATATCAAAACCAAAATTAATTCCTACGGATGATGATTTTTCATCTGCAACACATTATAGTCGACGACATAGTTTAACAACAACAAGTTCTGATGGTTCACCTTTACGTTCAACAACTAATCGTCCACAACAACAACAGCAACAATCGGCTTCACTTGATGTACCTGATGTTGAAGATCCATTAATGTTTATTGAAATGATGTATCAACAACTATTTACTGAAGATGGTCGATTACGTAATGGAACTGAATCAACTGCACTTGCAGATTGTGTTAAACAAATAGTACGAAATTCAAGACGAAATTCTATATCATCATCTATTGCTAATGGAACTGCATCACCACACTCGAAACATAATCATCATTTAAATATAAATCATCAACAACAAAAATTTTCATCACCTTTATATAATCATAGAACACCATCGAAATCTCAATCATTGTCTTCCTCACCTCATTTAATTCCTAATGGAGAGTATAACTCAACAACCGAAGAAGAAGAAGAAGAAGAACCAGAAGAAGAAAAAGATGACGATGACGATGAAGAAGAAGAAGAGGAACCTAATACTTTAGTGCAAGTGAATAATCAACGACCAGTAATAATTATGAATACTGATACTACTAAAAAGTATAAAAATTTCTTTTCTTTTAATTTTAAATTTTAATTTTTCTTTTCAAAGTTCTGAACAATTAAAAATTGATAATTATTCTCAAATTCATGCATTTCTTAATTCATGTCAACAAAAACAAATAACAATAAATCGACCCACAACAGCAACAACAACAAGTAATGGTTTTCGTTTTTCAATCGACGATACCGACAATGAAGATTTTGATACATTTTCCGATTTAAATTCCATACGTTTTAATACAAAAACAATTGGAACATCACCAAGTATCGATGAAGATTTAACACATACAGATTCAAGATTTCTATCTTCATCGGGTTATCATTCATTAGATCGTTCGACTCGATTTTTAAAACAACAAAAATTAATTCTATCAAAATCTCATTCAGAAAATGATTTATTTCATTCAATGTATAAAACAAATATTCAAACGCGATGTATTCATTATTGTCCAGATTGTATACATCCACCCATAATAACTGTGATACCACCACTTACATCAACATCATTAAGTATTATTCGACGAATACAACAACCCATTGGCGATATGATAATGAAATATTTAAATTTTATTCTTGTCTCAAAAAATGTGCTTCTTCTACCTTTATTTATTTTTCTTTTACGTCAACGATCAATTCATGTAGGAAATTAAAATTAATTCCACGCTCTACTATTACAAATCCGTCCAAATATAACTATTCTCTAATATTGCTGTTTTTTTTCTTCTTCTTTCACCGATGATTAACAATCTCATATGTTTAATGTAAATATCTATTACTTTTTTTTCTCTGATATGCTATGCAATACAGAACATATGAACAAAAACACTAAGCAAATTATTATTATTATTTTAAATATGCTTCTTTAACATACTTTTAGCTTACTTTTTTTTTTCACTTGTCTATGATAGATTACATCAATGTTCTTTTTTTTCTGTAATACTTTTTCGAGTGCTCTCACGGATGAAGAACAGTAAAAAAAATTAAATAATGTATATATATACTTTATCTTAGTTATGTAAAACATTTAACATAATTAAAAAAAGAAAAACCTTGACAGTTAGATTTTTGTTCATTTTTTTTTATTTAATGAAAATACTTCTACTTATGAATTCATTCGATTAGATTTATTTAAATACGTATCGAGTGGTATATTTAATATAAGAATTTTTTCTTCAATCATAATCTCTTCAAACCTTGAAAGTCAAGTGAAATTGTACAACGAAAAAGGCAATAAAAGAAAATCTTGAACTCATTGGACAAAAAAAAAGACACAGTTCTCTATTGTAAATTGTCTCGTATAATTTGCGGACAAATATTTGGATACTAGATCAAAAAGCCTTCGTGACTTCACCTTCAGGTGTGTGTCCTTTGAGTATGAGATGTCTATCGGGAAAAACATTGGTCATTGACCTCATAGTAACATTTGATTTCTAAATGAAAATTCTATCGGCTGGAATACAAACGTTACATTTCATATAATGAAAAATATTTTTCCTTTGTCGGTAACTATATATTATTAATAAGGTTAATATACACCGACGCGCGCAGATGGAAGATTATCAATAATAATAATTATTTTCTATTAGATTTAATTGTAAAATGAAGAACAAAATTTTTTGATAATTGTATCAAATAAAAGCTTGTTTATGAAAAAAAACATCCGAAGATTTATAAAGAAAGAATTAGTGGTGAAAACTAAGAACTTCATAATATGACATATGCATGCGTGGATTTTATCAGATTTCTTCATCCTTTTTCTTTCATCTGATTCTTAACATGTCAATCTAACATCCTTATCAGCAATAGATGCATTTTTCTTCTTTTTATCACGAGATGTAAATAGAAAAATCTTATAAGTATAAAACACAAATTCATTACACTTGTTGCGCAGTTTTCCTTGACATATTTATTTTCTAGACTATTCAATATTTTCATAACATAGACTTATTTACTAGAAGAAAAAAAATCTTAGGTTTCAGAATTAATCAATATTTTCTTACGTATATATATATCTCTATGGGCTATTAACTGACTTTTGTAAGGCAAAACCTTTGCTTTGATTAATTTGTAATTTTTCAAATAATATCAATTTATAAATATATGAAACGAAAATAATCATTTTTGATAAGAATATATCCAGTGATTCATTTACCCGAAGACCCTCTAATGTCCTTATACATTTCATAGTTTAATGAAAAAGATAATATTTCATTTTAACAAAGGTTATCGATGTATTTGTTTTGATAGGAAAAAATATTTTTTATTTGAAACTAAGTGAATGCTATTAATAGTATCATTATTGGGAGGTATATTTATCAAATTTCGTATAAATTGTAATAGTATCCTGTGCTTTTTTTTTGAAAATGATATTTTTATTTAGTGTAATAAATAACCAAATATCGATTATTTCATTGTAAAATCGAATCAAAATCTTTTTTTTTCAGTTATTTTTTATTATAAAAATGTCTATTTACGCAATAAAAATGTATATTTATATTTTAACATTAAAGATAATGGCAATCATTATAAATACTAATAGGATGTGTAATTACATGATAATATAATTTATTTTATATTTTTATGCATTAGTTGGCAAATGATACATAACGAAATATGTAATAAACAACAACTATTATTCGTGCGTTATAATAGTTAAGAAATAATAAGGCGATGTAGCATGAATATCAATATTCTTTTTTGTTGTAAAATTTTCATATCAAGTTTAAATTTACATAACATAATCTCTTAACAGGTAGCAATATAATTTAATGGTTATGTCTGAGTGAAATTTTATGATAGTCTGATACTATCATTTCATCTTGACTAATGTTTGAAAAGATTATCAGGAGTATAAATGAATCACTTAAAATATAAAAAAGATTCAAATATTACTCATATATGAATATCGTTTGCTCATACGAATGAATATAGAATAGATTGTGCGTCGTTTTCTTTTTGTTGTCCTACGAATGATGGATTAAAATAAAGAGAATGAAGAAAAATGTAAGTAAAGAACGAAGAATACTTGATCTCTCGTTCTAAGTCAATACGAAAAAGAGAGAAAAAATGTATACGTGTTCTATTCTCCTCTCATCATTTGCTCTTTACTATATTCAAATATGCGTTGTATTGAAAGCTTTCGTTATCGAGCTATTCTTTTTGTAACATTATTACAAATTAATAATGTAGTTCATTCGAAAATTACTGAAAAAGATCTTTCAAAATCTATTTTGGATTTTACAATTGGTTTTAGTCGTCATCATTCATCACCAGATATTGTTGGTCGTCGAAGTCTTGTTTGGTCACCATTAAGTCTCTATGAAGCTATGTTAATGGTCGGTGAAGGTGCTGATGGAAATACATTTAATGAATTACAACATATAACACATTTACAAAATAAAGAATCTTATCGTGAATGGTCATCGAGTTTTTTAAATGATGTTAAAAAGAATTTTAAAGATATTCAACGTTATAATATCTCATTAAATATTGCTAATCGTCTTTATGCTGATAATGATTTTAATTTAGATGATGAATTTAATAAGAATTTAGAAAAATATTATCAAAGTCAATTAGAATTAATTAATTTTGATAAGGCACAACTATCAGCTGATCATATTAATCAATGGATATCAAATCAAACAAATAATATTATAAAAAATGTTTTAAAAGCAAGCGATATACATCCAATGACACGTCTTATGATTGTTAATGCTTTACATTTTAAAGCACCATGGGCTAAAGCATTTGATTCGGATTTAACGACAAAAGAAAATTTTACATTAAGTACAGGTCGTTTAATTCAATTACAAACAATGCATTTAGTATCACATTTTTCTTATTATTATGATAAAAAACATAAATCTCAATGGATTAATATACCCTACAAAGGAAATAATCGTTATGTATTAACACTTGCTTTACCAGATAAAGATATTGAATTACGTGTATTAGAAAAGAAACTTTTACGTAATTCAAAAATTTTATCCAATATATTTAATTCACTTGATAATCGTACAAATGTAAATACACGTGTTCAATTATCATTACCAAAATTTCGTATTGAATCATCATTAGATTTTGTTAAACACTTTAAACAATATTACAATGTTAAAATACCTTTTGATGCTGATAAAGCTGATTTTAGTTTAATGAGTTCAGGACGTGCACGTGATTTATTCATATCAAAAATTATACATAAAGCAGTTATTGATGTTGATGAAGCTGGTACTGAAGCAGCTGCTGTTACTGTTGTTCAAATGCTATCTCGTTCGGGAATGTTTTTACATGAAGATCCTGTTCAACTAACATTTTCACGACCTTTTCTATTTTATTTACGTGATATTAACATAAAAGTACCTCTGTTTATAGGTAGATTTACTGGAATGTCTATGCCATAAGAATAAAAAAAAAATGATTTGAAATAAAATTACCATATTGGTGCTGGAGGCATAATAGGTGTACCGGTTCGTGGCTCTATAGGTGGAGGAGGTATAGTTGGATATTGATGAGGATTAGCATATAGACTTGCAAAAGGTGGCATTGGATTAGAAGGAAGAGGAGGATCATAACTGCTGTCTGATGATAAGCTAGAAATAGAGCTAGAAGTAGATCTAGATCGACGACGACGACGATGACGACGACGATGACTTGATGTAGATCGATGACGTGATGACGAATGTCGACGTGATGAAGATCGATGTCGACTTGACTGACGTGATTGTGGTTGAGCATATGGTCCATTAGCAAAATAATTTGTATTAGCTAAAGGAGGAGGAGGAGGTTGTTGTCCTGGAAGAAATGTTACTGCTTGTGGAGGATTTTGAAAACCAAAACCATTCAAATCTGGAGAAAAACCAGGTACAGGTGGTGAAGGAAAGCCTGATGATGGAGGAAAACCTTGTGGTGGTGGAAAACCTTGTGCTTGCGGGAAACCTGATAATTGTGGAAAACCTTGCATTGTTGGAAAACGTGATGCTTGTGGAAAACCTGGTGAAAACGTAAAATTTGCAGGAGGAGAAAATGTCGAGCCATGTGAAAACATGTTTCCACCTGAAAATGGCATACTACCATTGAAAAATCTTCCATTGCCACCGAATTGACCAAAACCTTGTTGAGAAAAAGGTCCCGGAAATTGAGACGCAAAACCGCCACCGAAAGGATTCCCAACGAATGGATTCCTAAAAATAGTATCAATTCTTCTAAATATATCTTTAAAGAAAAGCTTGTACTTACATTTTGTTGTGTACCTTTATAAATGTCACTATACGTCAAGACATAAACATTTATATAGCTTTATATTTATCAACTAATGTGACAGTAAAACCAATGATGCATGGTAATGAGAAAACGAAAATGAGTAATAAAAGACAATGAATAATCAACAAAATAAGCGTCTTTTCGTCTTTTTTTTTCTTCACCTTTATCTATTGTCTCAATCAAGGTTCGTTTTGATGTTTAACATAATATACAATGACATTGAAAGGATATTTGAACACAATTTTAATAATACATATAAAACATATATATGCATATGAATATATTCTTAGGACATCATTATGTGAGAACGAAAAGAGGTATAATTAAGGAGTTCTTTTTCAAAAGTTTAATTATAAAAAAATGAGATCAATCAAATTCATGGTCATTGATGTAGACATATGTGTTCTTTCAATCAATAAGTAAATAATAGAGATTAACTATATAAAACAAACATAGACATAGATTAGTGATGAAGTGAGACGAGTAAAATAAATATACAGATTCAGTTAAGATTCAGTTTACCGAATAAATTTATCATGGAAAATATTTTTAAAACTATTTAAAAAAATTATCTATACGTTTATATAAAGTCCTTCATACGGAATAAAAGAAATTTTACAAAGAATAACATAAATATAATTATTAAACATATATAAAAGGTCATTGCTATTTTAGCTTTATTCTTTCTCCACAAGATTGGAATTCTAATCCACTTAGAAAATTTTGCTCGTTCCCAACTGAAACATAATAAACATTGTGTACAAGTCATACGATCACAACCACCATTTTTTTCAATAGGTACCCGACAATCAGGACATCTTACAGAAAAATTTTTAATCCATTGGTTACTTTTTCCATGCCAATTAGATCTCGATACATAATCTTCCCATAAAGGTTGATTACCAAAAGCATGAAATGCTGACTGAATGATTTCTTTACTTAATTCAGTATCACACATTGGTTCTGGACAGATCACTCGACTAGTAATATCATTTGAAATCGTGGTAAATATGTGTTTATAAAAACATCCATCACATAGAGTATGTCGAGACATAGTCGTGCATGTAGAACAGCGAGTAAGAAACGATGATGAAGACACACAAGAATTTTGACATACACTACATAATGCTTGTTTCTTTGCATTTTTACGTCTACGCCGACCCATCTTAACTTGATAGTTATTTATTCTAATGAAAATAAAAATTATAATCAGTCATCAGTTTAGAGATTACACTCACATTATTAATTGATCGATGAAAAATATTCAAATTATTTTGCTGAACAAATTCGTATTTATAGTAGAATGATTGAAGCAAAGCGACACGTTGATAGACACGTCCACAACATGTGTGAGTCATACTATGTGTTACGAAATTTTCTTTTTTATAAAGTAGATATTTTTTAATTTCTTTATAGTATTATTATAGTTTTATTCTCTTTACTAGTAGATCATACTATATCTCTACTAGTTTATTAGGAAATTTGCTATTCTTATGAATACAAAAAACTAAAAATCATGTTTGATTTGAAGAGAAATATGATACTATTCAAAATAAGGATAAATATCTTTCGTATATTGATCATGAAGTCAACAACGAATGAAATCCTTTTTTTCAAACAGCAAATTCGTCATTTCATCATTGTTCAGCTAGTATCACACTAATCAAATTCTGATAAAAGTGTTTTTTTTATATAGAACTTCAGTTTTCCTTTTATATATGAATCTGTTATCTAAGTTACTTCGAGGAGATTGAGAGGAAATTGAACAAGATCATCGCTTGTTATAGACTCAACAGTATGGTCAATTTTCATCGGACTGAACGAGTTGAATTACACAAACAAAATTTAGAGTGATATTTTCACACCTTGACCGTTACTACCCATTTACCTAAGAACGTTTCCTCAAGATGTTCTAAGGTAGCGTTTCAGGGTAATGAGATGTGGACGTATGAATTATAAATAATAATAGTAGTTTTCTATGGTAGTAAACTTCTGTGATTGCGCCTTGACTTATGGCTACTAATAAAAATTTTGTAAAAGTTCTAGAAGGAACATAATATTTATGTGATATAATAGCTAGTGACGAGTTCTAGTTTTATCATAAATAAATAGGTCGAAAGTCTTCAAATGCAGCCTGGAGAAGAGAGGATATTCTCGATCTACTGTAGTTTGATGAAGTGAATATTCTTCAAGAACTTTATTTTCTACCGTTTTTAAGTTAAGTTGTTCTCTTTTCATTTATTATTTGAAACGAAGAAAAACTATTGATCACTAATATTACATCAACAATTATGTATGACTTTTCGTCAATAAAATACTCGATATGAAATTTTTGATGTAAAGATTCATCATGACAACGGGATATTTGACTTATAATTATATAAATTTTGGCTATTCGACTTTCTCAAAGTAATTCAGAATCATAATATGATGCTGTGACTTATTTTATGTATTCTTTGAATGAAGAAAAATATATAAATAATCAAGGTGATTATTCGGAACATTTAATAGAATAAACAATTCCTAAATTTGTTGTTCTATTTCTTTTGTTTTGTTTCGTCAGCATTAATTTGTGTTCATTGTAAAATATATAGACGAGTACTTATTAAAAAATATGAGAAGAAGATTATGGAAGAAACCAAAAGACAGAATTAAATAATAACTCTTAACAAAAATTGATTATAATCGATTTCTAATCGATTTGAATCGTTCTAAATTTGATTTTTTTTGATATATTTGTTATATGATTGACCATGGGTGCGTGTGAGCATCAAGTATATTCCATATCTATAAACTTCTATTCAAAGATATAGCAAACCATCTTGAGCATGTGGGTGTGAGTTTAGGTAGCTGATAGAGAGAATAGCTACACTTACCCATATTCGCACCCACACCCACACCCACACCCTCCCCATTACGAATAGCATATGACCAAGGCGTTTTACTTATATCTTCAGATACCAGAATCGGTGTGGATATGACTTGGATGTAGCTTAAAAGAACATCTTACTCACACAGAATTGGAAGTAATTCAGTTCACTGAGAATTCCTTTTTTTTCAAAATTACGTTTCATCTAAGCATTTGTACCGTAACAAATAAATAATACTGAAAATATTCTCCTTTCATTACTAAACACAAATCAAAATTATATATAAAATTACATTCAAATACAATAGTTTTTTCCAATGTCGAAAATAACTTGCTGACAAATATCACTTTTATATTAGTTAAGAGAATAAAATTTTACAGTTGATGAATACGGATTTTAAAACTGCCTACTCCTAGTCTTTTTGATAAATATTTCACCCTTTAAAAAAATATAATAAAATCAGTTGGATCTTAACTCTGTCACATGATCCTTTATGCATTTTCTGATTACATTTTTATTGCATTCTTCGCGAAATAGAATCAGAATCATTAGAAGAGATAAAAGCAAGATCAAATTTCCACTTATCGATATGTGAATAAATGCATCTATTATATTTCGATTTAAATGACTTAAGATTCCCTCGGTGTTTTAGAAATAAAAATACACACTTTTTCATCATATTCTCTTATTCTAAAATCAACTATGACTACAATCAATATCTACTGCTACGTCGTTTTCATTCTTCTCAGGTAAATAATTATTCATTTTTATCACTGATTTTATTAACATCCATTGATTTTATATTTTAGCATAACAGGTTTGATTTCTCTTGTATTTTATATGTATTAGCTTCTCACTTTCATAGTGCAAATCAAAACTCAGATATGTGAGAAAACACCTCAGTATAGTGAGTGCTCGACAAACAGTGCATGTGGATGTTTTCATATGATGGGTGCTGATGACGATACAGGCGTCTGTGGCTTTCTTTGGCCAACATGCTCTCGTCTTGTTCGGTGCCATTCATCAGACAATTCATGTCGTCAACCGAATACCATTTGTGTTCATCACCCTCAATGTGATGATTTTCCAATTTGTTACCCGGTTACAATGATTGATTACAAGATGTGTCCACCAATGAAAAGTGAGTGGATCAGTGGATGATAAATGCAATATTCTTATGCACACTTTTAAGATATTTGAAACTATAAATTTCATTTGTTTCAGATAAGAGCATTCTCAAATGGAAACAAAATGCCATGACTGTGGCTGGTGGAAATGGAGCAGGACAAGAACTAAATCAACTCAATCGCCCTGTTGGAATCTTTATTGATGAAAGGAAAAATATTTTCATTGCTGATAGTGAGAATCATCGAATTGTTGAATGGAAATATAATGGAAAAGAAGGGCAAATCATTGCAGGTGGAAACTGGCAAGGAAATCAAACGAATCAATTGAATGAGCCAACAGATGTGGTTGTTGATCAAGAAAGTCATTTGATCATCATTGCTGATGGGAGTAACAGAAGAGTAATTCAATGGTTGAATCAAAAGCAACAAATTCTCATTCATAATATTGACTGTAATAGCTTGGCAATGGATAAATATAGATTTATTTATGTTTCTGATTATGGAAAGAATGCAGTGAGACGATGGAAAATGGGAGAATACAATGACGAAGGAATTGTAGTGGCAGGTGGAAATGGAGAAGGAGATCAACTCAATCAATTCAATCATCCAGATTTTATCTTTGTTGATGATGATCAATCTGTTTATGTATCAGATTTGAACAATCATCGTGTGATGAAATGGAGAAAAGATGCAAAAGAAGGAATTGCTGTGGCTGGAGGAAATGGTGAAGGAAAGCATCTTAATCAATTGTCTCATCCCGAAGCAGTAATTGTTGATGATTTGGGTCAAATCTACGTGGCTGATAGTGAGAATCATCGAGTAATGCGTTGGTGTGATGGGAAAAATAAAGGTGAAATTGTTGTTGGTGGAAATGGTGCAGAAAATCAATTGAACAATCCCATGGGTTTATGTTTTGATGACGTAGGAAATCTTTATGTTGCTGATTGTTGGGAGCATCGAATTCAAAAATTTGAAATAATATTGTGAATTAAATTTTTTGTTAAATAAAAAAATAAAAATAAAAGGAAAAATAAAGTTTTATTATTGAAAATGAATGAAAAAGTCGAGTAGAATTTGAAGAAAAAGAAATGTATTGATAGGAAAAGAATAAGGAAAAATCTTTTTAGGCAGTTTTTCTTCAAAATTCAATTTAACTTTATAATCCTGACTAAAAAACTCGATGAAATAAAAATGTTACATAGTTCATCTTCTATTGATTTTGAAAATACTTTTAATAAAAGTTGAATTAAAAAATGATTTATTAAAACAGAACATTGTTTTTTCGGTATTTTTCTTTACTTGAAATGTTTAGTTGGAAGAAAAGACACGAAACATCAAATATTATCCTTTTATAAAGTAGTTAAAAGAATTTATTCGATGAAACAAATATTCAAAGTGAGACATTTACAGATTTTTTACTTATGTCGAAATTATTACAAAACATCACAAGTTTAGAAATTCAATTTTTTGAAATCATATGAAAAATGAATGATAAAGAGTAACACATAATAATTATTCTAAGAAGTCCGAGGACTCGCTTAGCTCTTTCTCGTAGAAATGTATCCTCTTCACATTTACTAGAAAAATAATTGAAAACTGAAATATCGGTCTCCGATGTTTTTTTCCTCTGCCCCTCCCCCCTCACCAATGGTCACCCAACAGACCCCAGTTTCGAAGTCCCCGCATCGAAATACTTCTAGAAATGTCTTTTTCGAAAAATCGATTTTCGTTGTTTTTTTGACCCTGCGGACAGACAAGCAAACAAACAAACAATTTTTTTTCTGCTGGACTCTTCTCTACGAGAAAGAGAATAATGAAAAATCTTCGAAACTTGTCTGAAAAAGTTTTCTAACTTTTTTTCTAAGATTATGATATAGAGTTTATAGCAAAAAGTATGTTACTCATAAAGAGTACACGAATTTAATTATTGTCAAAAATGTTCGAGAAGTGTCAAAGAAAAATGTTCAAAACTCTAGAAAAATTTATTTCTGATCATCACTGTTAGGAAAGTTGTTAGATAAACGTTTTTAAACAAGTTTCGATGTATCTTGATTATTTGTTTTTGACAATGAAAATCGTATTTCTTCATATTTCTCCAATTAAAAGTCATTCAACAAATATTCATTTTCAATTGATCAAATTCATTAATAAATTCAATATGTAATTTTTCAAAAAGCTTTTTTTCTAATCACTCAATGAACGAAATCTTGATAATAATTTATTTTGATTTAAAATATAAATTTTAGTCAACTTCTTTAGAATTTCAATATACAAATATATGTCATTTTTATTTTCTTATTTTATCTTGTCTTTCATTCAAGCCGATCTAATAAGAACAATATAGATATTATTATTTATGTAGGGTGTGACTAGAATCTTCCTCGTTGTTCTTTCGAAAGTCATTTTTCTCGTCCAAAATTCTATGACGATATTTCAGTCATTTCTTTTAAATAATAGATACAAATGCGTCGAAAGAAAGAAAGAAAGAGAACAAATATAGATCTAGATATATCTTTTCTTTCTATCGTTGATAACATACTATTCGTCGAAATAAATATTCTTTGTTTTATTTACTGTACATAAGGAGAAGATTAAGATGAAGTCAAACATATACTATCATTCAAGGTAAGATAAATAGATTTTGTTTTATTTCTATTTCTGTTTCCTTTAACAAATGAAATCTTTTTTTTTATTTAGTTAATTAATTTGAATAAATTCTTCGAAAATCAAACTATCACAATGCGTCTCTTATTTGTATTAGTATTATTATCGTTAGGTATTTGTTTTACATTCTTGAGAATAGATGAATAATATTCCATTTGAAATATTTTAGCTATTGGATTTGTTGTTGTTGACGGCTTCATACCAACTCGTGTTAAAGAATGCGATGCTCACTGTGTAAAAACTGAAGATTTTCTTAGCTGTTGTTTAAAGAAGCGACCCTTCTTTACTTCAAATACTTGCCTGGGCAAACGAGCATATTGCATAAGATAATATGATTATCATCTAATGCTCAAATCTTATTCTCATAGACTAAATAATTCAAAAAAATCATTTCTTCTCTATTTGTTTATGTGTAATTGAATTGTGTATTGAATAAAATCTTTTATTATATAGATCAATATATAATCAAATTCGGAATTAAAAAATCTATTCTTTGATTTTGTCTCGAATCTCATATAAATATGTGTAACATTGAGTTGAAGAGATATGATTAAATCTACTTTTATATTTCGAAGTTTAACATAAAATTTGAAAATTTTGTCAATGAATTGTGAGAAAATCTCATTTAATTAAAAGATATTGTATTGTGAATAGATAGATTAATGAATAATATTCTTGTTTAGATAGAAATTTCTTAATTTAATTGTTTAGGTGGTTTTATTATTATTTGAAATTGATGATCCTATTTTGAAAAATGAACTGATTTAGGAAGAGTATAATGTTGTAATTTTTTCAGATATATTATATTATAACTTATATATTTTATGAAAATAATATATGGATAATTATTGTATAATGCAATTTTACCGATATTATTACGAAGTTTAATAAGATAATTAAGTTTTATTTTTTGTATAAATAGATGTCATTTATAAATTCATTATTTCAACAAGTAACGCTCGTCGGAGAACTCGCTTAGCTCATACTCGTAGAAATGCATTTTCTTCATACTTACTGAAAAAACAATTGAAAATCGTGAAAAACTGATTTTCGATTTTTTTTTGACCCTGCGGAGACACAAGTAACCAATTTATGTTTACTGGACTCTTCTCTACGAGAAAGAGAATATATCAACTCATCTAGAGGGTAAAGTTGTAGGTGTAGATCTATGTTTCATATTTACTTAAACTCAAATCTACATGAAAACATTCTTTCATTGTAAAAACATCACATAAATCATTTGTAGTTTTATTTAAAATTAAAACGAAATCAATTTTTAGATTTTTTTCGAACTATCTTAGAATATTATATTAGCTTTATCAGTGAGATTTTCTCATTTAAAGAATTCTTTTCGGCTTCTTCGACTGCTGAACAACGTTCTGATTATCAATGAATCATTAAGTTCAGGAAGTGTTAATGCATACACAAGTCGGTATAATCAATTTGTTAGTATAAACTAAGTAATACAATTACGCGATCATTCAAAAATAATTAATTTGGACGCATTTCCAATACCTACTCTTTTATAATTCGAAGGAAATTGTAGTATCAGTGTTTCTATTTTCTCTTGATTATACTATTTTTCTGTATACCAGTTTATTAAACGAAAAATTTCATTTCTTCGTTAGTTTGTTTAGCTCAAAAAATGGAATGCTTCTAAACATGAAAAGTCTATCTTATTCATTCTTCGCATCTACTATAAAAAATTCCATATTGTTAGCACACGTAACTCTAAGGATTTATTTGCATTGATAGTAATTCTTCGTTGATAAAAATAGATTAAGATGAAGATTTTTTCTTTACAAAGCCATTTGATAGTTAAGAATAATTCAGGGAAGAATTTAAAAATTGACGCATTAACTGCTCAGGTAATTAAAAAGTGGCAAAAAATTGATGATTTCCACGTGAAAACACGAAACAAAATGACATTTTTTAAATTGAAATTTTCATCAAAATCATAGAATACACGGAAGATATATTAATAAGAAGTTCGCTAATTGATTAGCTTCCTAACATTTACTCTAATGTGAGCGACATGTGCAATAGTATAGAAGAACATTACATGGAAAATAAATGAACGAAAAAGATCTGAAGGTTCAGAAAAAAAAAGAAATAGATACATATATATATAGGGTCGTATTTGTCATCTTACGATATAGAGAATAGAAGGAAGAGAAATATCTAGTACGAATGATTCATATTATAACGATGCTGTTAAAAGATCATATCACTTTATAAGAATCAAAATATTAATAACAAAATCAATTCGATTAATACAAACTATGCGTCTCTTTTATATATCGATAAAATAATAAAGTTATTAATTAAATACTAATTACAATTAGTTAAAGAGAAATTTAAAGGGGATAATATTGATGGGACGAATATATTCTCAGTTGAGGTGTGCCCACGAAATGAGTTTAATGCAAATTTCTTTATGTTTTTATTCTCTGAATATTAACAAATAGTGAATGCTAAATATTCTCTAACGAGATGTAATGACAAATAAATGAACGAATTCTTCGATCGTTTTCAATATCAAAATGTAATATATGTATACTATCATAGTAATTCTGTTCGAACACAAATAAAAGATGGAACAAGACCAAAATCAAGAATCGGCTCGATTACATTACGAATATTATTTTAAAATACAACATTAAATAATACAGAGTTAAATGAAATTATTAACAAGATAAGGCATTCAGTTTATATTTACTAATAAAATTGTTACATCTAGCTGTGTAAATAATTAGCCAGTAACATATACTTGTTTGTATATAGTCGACTAGCGATGTACACGTGTGTACATAAACACTTTCTTAAGTTTATATCTAGAAAAATAGATATTCATTTCTTCTCTACACTTCTATTCAAAGACATGGCAATGGAAAATAAAACACAATGTTTTACATGTAATAAAGACAAAATAACATTTTCTTGTGAAGGATGTTTACAAAGGTTTTGTTTAATACATTTGCCAGAACATTACCAAAGATTAAATGAAGAATTAAATCATATTATTGATGATTATAATGAATTTAAAGAAACGATTAATGAACAGAAACAAAATCCACATAATCATTCATTAATCAAACAAATTAATCAATGGGAAGGCAATTCAATTGCAAGAATTCAACAAAAAGCACAAAACTGTAGAGACATTGTCATTGAATCATTACAAACACTTATTAATGATATTGAAATGAAATTTAATGATTTAAATAAGCAAATACAACAACTACATAAAGAAACTGACTTTAATGAGATTAGTTTAAATTATTTAAGAAATCAATTAATACAAATTACACAAGAATTAAATAATCCATCAAATATTTCTATTCAACGGGAATCACAACCATTTATTAATGAAATTTCAATTATTTCATCGAAAAGTAAGGTTTTAAGAAATAGTTTCTAGGAGAATAATTCTCATTTTCTAAGAATTTATCTTAAAAAACTATAAAAACAAAAAAGTGATGCAAAAGATGACAAAAATAATCCAGAATAATATTGGTTTATTCGATCAATAATAATAGAATTGATAGGATATGAAATAATACTAAATGAAAAAACTAGTTTTTCTTCAGTTTCACAAGATACGATAGGTTGATAAAAACAAAATTGAATTACTTTCAAATTGTTATTTAACAAAAAATAAGTCAGCAAGGTCTTTTCACATTTTCGAATTAAATCTTTATGAAGTTATTTCAAAAATAAATTATCTTTCAATAAAAATATTCTTTCTCTTCAAAATTTCGATTCGAAAAACAATAAATTTCAAATTCTTTTTCTTTTTCAAAATAAAATATTTCTTTTTTTCATTTTAAGAAATTTTATTCGAAAAAACACTGAAAGATTTTTTCTATTTCTTTCTTCTCAAAAGAATTTATTTTTATTTTCCACACACCAAGCTTCAAATGTTTGATGTTCTTTTTCAGTAGAATTTTTTTGCCAAAACTCAACAAAAAATATTAAATAAAATTTGTCTTTTCGTTACACATTTTTCTCAACATTTCATTCAAAATTCAACTTTAACAAAAAAAACACTCAAAGTTTCCTTGCAATCTAATCTTTTCTTTTTTTTCTTTGATAAAAAATAGAATTCTCTTCTTCTTTTTTTGATCAAAATCTTCTATTTTCATCCTTTTCTAGAACCAAAATTTAACGAATGGAAACCGAATGCCATCACTGTGGTTGGTGGAAATGGGCAAGGACAACAACTAAATCAACTCAATCGTCCCGGTGGAATTTTTATTGATAAAAACAAAAATATGTTCATTACTGATTATGAGAATCATCGTATTGTGGAATGGAAATGTAATGCAAAGGAAGGACAAATCATTGCAGGTGGAAATGGCAGAGGAAATCGAATGGATCAATTGAATCACCCAACAGATGTGATTGTTGATCAACAAAATCATTCGATCATCATTGCTGATCGTGGGAACAGACGGGTAATCCAATGGTTGAATCAAAAGCAACAAATTCTCATTGATAATACTGCTTGTTGGGGCTTAGCGATGGATAAACATGGATTTATTTATGTTTCTGATGAAAGGAAAAATGAAGTCAGAAGATGGAAAATGGGAGAGTACAACAACGAAGGAATTGTAGTGGCAGGTGGAAATGGACAAGGAGATCAACTCTATAATTCTGCGTCTATCTTTGTTGATGAAGATCAATCTATTTATGTTTCAGATGAGAGCAATCATCGTGTGATGAAATGGAGGAAAGATGCAAAAGAAGGAATTATTGTGGCTGGAGGAAATGGTAAAGGAAGAAATCTCAATCAATTGTCCTCTCCTCAAGGAGTAATTGTAGACGATCTGGGTCAAATCTATGTGGCAGACTGGGAGAATCATCGAGTAATGCGTTGGTGTGAAGGAAAAAAAGAAGGTGAAATTGTTGTTGGTGGAAATGGTAAAGGAAATCAATCAAATCAATTGAACGGTCTTTATGGTTTATCTTTTGATGTCGAAAGAAATCTTTATGTTGCTGATGATATGAATCATCGAATTCAAAAATTCGAAGTACTTTTGTAAATGAAATTTTTTTTAAACAGAAAATCGAGAAATAAAAACAAAAGAAAAAGTGAAATGTTATTGATTGTAGAAAAAGACATTTTTTTACAAGAAAATAATCAAGAACGATCTTTTTTGGCTGTTTTCTTAAAAATTGAGTTAAACTCCATAATTTTGATTAAAAACTTCTAAGAAAGAAATGTTAAGTTCTTCATCTTTTGATAATTTTTGTTAAATTTCATAGTAGAAAAGAATTTTTCAATTCGAATTGAATTGAAATAAAAATTATTCAGAAGGAAGATTTGCTGTTTGATTAAATTCTATTTAAATATTTTTTGTTTTTTTCGATTCGATAAAATTTGGGAAAAGTTGAAAGTTGAAAAGAAAAAGAAATATTTTATGAAAAACTGGTAATAAAAATCTAATTGAAACGAATATTGTAGAACAAAACAAATGCTGAAAAGATTTTTCTTTAATAAATTTACAAATTTTATCTTTTTCAAATTTCGTTCACGTTTGATTCTGAGGAAATTTTAAAAAAAAAACGATTTGTCAAAATGAAACCCATGGAAATTTCTATTTAGACGAAAACGAAAAAAAAGAACTTCAAAATAATACAAAATTCAAGTTTGATTTTTCATTTCAAAGATATTTGATCAAATAAGAATATTTTTGTAAGATTTCTTTTCATAAAACTTTCAAAAAGATTTGTTTTGTCTTTCAAAGAAATTTAAATAAATATTTTGAGAATTTCTTTATCAAATTTAATTTAACTTTTTCAAATAAAAATTTTCTTCTTTTTCATTAAAACTACTGATTAATTTCCAATCAATGAAATTTTTTGTAAATAGAATTTTTTTATATCTGATGTAAAGAAAAAGAATTTGAAAATATAAAAATATATTTTAGATATATTATTTATTGTAGAGAGAAAACTTTTATAAAAAATTTCTTGAATTATTATTAAGTTGAAATATTTCTATGAATGAATTCAAATTAAATTATCCTCTATGATTATTTATTAATATAAAACTATTATGAAAATAATTCATTTTCTATTTTTATAAAAAATAGCACATGGATATATGGATTTAATGATAATAATTTGAATGAAAATATCTAAAAGATGAATTTGTATTCATGATGATAATTTAATATTATTGTTTAAAAATAAATGATAACTAAATTGACTAATTAGACAATTTTTTTGTAATAACAAAGATAATTCGAATAATATTAAAGAAAAGAGATATAAACTATTATAAAATTAGTTGAAATTTATTCAATTAAATTATTATACTTATATTTTGAAAATTTAAGAAAAACAATAAAATTTCAATTATTTCTTTTAGATCGAATGAGAACTAAGAGATAAATTAATATCTACTTTCTTATCTAATAAGTTTATAACTAATAAGTTTATCAAAAAAAACAGTTTTGACTTTATTTCAAAGAATATAATGAAGAATTAATTTATTTATTATTTCTCTTAAATTCTATTTGAGAAAAAATATTGATTAACTAATTATAGCATTTCTATTTTATTAAACAAAATTTTTATTAAAAATAGTTTCAATTTAAAACATATTCATTCGATATTATACAGGATGAATAATATTTTCATATATAACACGTTAATTAAACAATTCTTGATATTTTTTTTACATAAATGTAAATTGAACAATAATTTTGATTAAGTTTCAACAAAATTCAAAATATAAAAGATGAATCTAATACAGTAAAACCTCTCTAAGATGAACATCAACAGAACTTTCTAAAAAGTGTTCATCTTACAAAGGTTTCATGGGTGTAGGTGTGAGTAAGGCTTGGGTATAGTTGAAAAAAGCATCATACTCACACAGAATTGGAGACAATTCCTTTCATTGAGAATTACTTTTTCTTCAAATTTACTTTTCATCTAAGTGTTTATACTATATCGATGAGATATTACTAAAAATATTCTCCTTTTCTTACCAAACTCAAAACAAAATTATATCTGAAACTACATTCAAATACAATAGTTCTTTCGAATGTCGAAAATAACTTGCTGACAAATATCACTTTTATATTAGTTAAGAGAATAAAATTTTACAGTTGATGAATACGGATTTTAAAACTGCCTACTCCTAGTCTTTTTGACAAATATTTCACTCTTTGAAAATATACGCATATCAGATAAGTCTTAACTTCATCACATGACGATCTATGCATTTTTCAATTACATTTTTATTGTATTTGTTATAGGATAGAATCAGAACGATTAGAAGAAATAAAAGCAAGATCAAATTTCCACTTATCGATATGTGAATAGATCCATCTATTATATTTCAATTGAAATGACTTAAGATATTATCTGTGTTTTAAAAATAAAAGCACACACTTTTTCATCATATTCTCTTATTCTAAAATCAACTATGGCTATAATCAATATCTACTGCTACGTCGTTTTTATTCTTCTCAGGTAAATACTTATTCAGTTTTATCAGTATTTTTGTTAACATTCATCGTTTTTATATTTTAGCGTAACAGGTTTGATTTCTCTTGTATTTTATATATTTATATGTATTAGTTTATCACTTTCATAGTTCAAATTAACTCTCAAATATGTGAGAAAACACCTCAGTATGGGGATTGTTCGACCAACAGTGCATGTGGATGTTTTCATATGTTGGGTGCTAATATTGATACAGGCGTCTGTGGTTTCCTTTGGCCAACATGCTCTCGTCTTGTACGGTGCAATTCATCAGACAATTCATGTCTTCAGCTGGATACCATTTGTGTACACCATCCTCAATGTGAGGATTTTCCACTTTGCTATCCAGTTACAATGACTAACCAAAACATGTGCCCACCAATGAAAAGTAAGGGGATCGGTGGATGATAGATGTAACATTCTTATCCACACTCTTAAGATATCTAAAACTATAAATTTCATCTATTTTTAGATAAGATCAATCTCAAATGGAAACAAAATGCCATCACTGTGGCTGGTGGAAAAGGATACGGACAACAATTAAATCAACTCAGTGGTCCTTATGGAATCTTCATTGACGAAAAGAAAAATATTTTCATTGCTGAGTTTTGGAATGCTCGTATTGTTGAATGGAAATATGATGCAAAGGAAGGACACATCATTGCAGGTGGAAATGGGGAAGGAGATCGAATGGATCAATTGTTTTATCCAACAAGTGTGGTTGTTGATCAACAAGATCATTCGATCATCATTGCTGATTCGAATAACAGACGAGTGATTCAATGGCTTAATCAAAATCAGCAGATTCTCATTCGCAATATTGACTGTAGTGGCTTGGCAATGGATAAATATGGATTTCTATATGTTTCTGATCTTAAGAAGAATGAAGTGAGACGATGGAAAATGGGAGAATACAACGAAGGAGTTATAGTGGCCGGAGGAAACGGACAAGGAAATCAACTCAATCAACTCAATTCTCCTGGTTTCATGTTTGTTGGTGACGATCAATCTATTTATGTATCAGATGCAGTCAATCATCGTGTGATGAAATGGAGAAAAGATGCAAAAGATGGAATTGTTGTTGCCGGAGGAAATGGTGAAGGACGAAATCTTAATCAATTCTCTAGACCTCGAGGAATAATTGTTGATGATTTGGGTCAAATATATGTGGCAGATGATGGAAATCATCGAGTAATGCGTTGGTGTGAAGGAAAAGAAGAAGGTGAAATTGTTGTTGGTAGAAATGGAAATGGAAATCAATCAAGCCAATTGAGTAGTCCTATGGGTTTATCTTTTGACAACGAAAGAAATCTTTACGTTGTTGATAATCGGAACAATCGAATTCAAAAGTTTGAAATAGTTTTCTGAATGAAATTCTGATTTTCAAAAAAAAAGAAAAGAAATTGTTTTATTGAATAAATAATCGAGAAATAAAAGAAAAAGTGAAGTTTTATTATTGAAAATCGATGACAGAAATTCAATAAATTCTAGATAAGAAAAAAACAATGAAAAATCTTGTTGATTTTTTTTTATAAATCTTGAATTCAATTGGTAGTTTTTATTAAAAAACTCCTATGAATAAATGTTAAATTCTTCATCTCTTGTTAATTTTAATCGAATTTTACAGAAGAAAAGAAAAGAAAAGAATTTTTTAGTTTGAAATGATTTGTAATGAAAATTCTTTGAAACGACGATTTCGTGTTTTAGAAAATTCTATTTGTAAAATTAACTAACGTTGAAGAGAAAAGAAATGTTTCATAAACAGTTGATAATAAAAGTTGGATTGCAATATATTTTACTGAATAAAACAAATGTTGAAAAGATTTTTGTTTAGTAAATTAACAAATTTTATCATTTTACAAATTTAGTAGTTCGATTTTAAAAAATTTGTTAATAAAAGCAGAATTAAAAATTAATTTGTCAAAATGAAATCGATAAAAAGAAGTTTTATTTGAAATTTCAAAAGGAAAATAAGTTAAAGATTTTAGATAAAATGAAAAATTAATAGAAGTTTTATGAATGATACAAAATTCATATTTGCTTTTAATCTGAAAAACTTTTTTCATCTGATTTCTTTTAATCCAACGTAGAGAAAATTTTGTTCCCGTTGAGATCTTTTCAAACTTCAATAAAAGAAAAATGACTTGAGAGTATGAACATTATTTTCACTAGTTTTTGACTCAAACGTGACATTTGAAAGTAGAGTTTTTTAAGAAAAACAATCATTAGACTAATGGAAGAAATGATCGAATGAATAACAAAAAATGATTATGATCAGCTTAAAATTTTATTTGAAGTTAATAGACGCTTAACCAAATAATTGAGTTGCATGACCAAATAAATTCTCAAATTAATTTATCAAGAATCCATGTGGCTTCAAGAAAGTGTTTTTATTTGTTCTCAAAAATAAAATAAAAAATATTTGTATCATTTGAGAATTTTATGTTTGAAAAGAGATTCATAAAATATGTTGAGCAACAAAAACCAAACAAGGGAATTACAGATAAAATGATCGCAGTGGAAAATTATTGAATTTTATTCCAAATATCTTAATCTACTTAATATAATATTTTAGATAGACCATCTTGAGGGTGGGTGGCTGTGGATGTTGGTGATGAGATCTTTATATTGACACCTGTGCCCATACACCTGCCCTCAAGATAGGTTCTGCAAAACTTCTTTGTCCGGTGTAATGCTGATTACAACGTGAGAAGCCTGTTGTCGCTCCTTTTTGTTCTTTATTTTTCTTCTTTTGTAAAATAAGAATCATCCTTCTCTTCACAATATTCACTTTTTAAATACTCAACGATATCAGTAGTACGTGAGGAAATGACAGAGAATCAGCATTCTTTAGGACAAGAGATATATCATGCTATAACAAAGCAAATGGGTGTTGAGCAGCTCTATTTTTTTAAATACGAACAGCACGAGAGGAAGAAAAAAATTATCCTTATCTCTTCTGCGCAATGGTGCAGTGAGTCACTCTGGATTGTGTACTAGTTTTTTTCCTTGAATGTTCTTCCTTGGTCAGTCACCAACGTATATATAAAGCACCAGCACGACTGCAGAAACATACCATTTTCATACTTGCTCAAATTCGTCGGCAACTCAATTCTTAAATATTCAAGGAACAACATACGGCAATGCAGATTATCAGTCAAAGGCTTTGCTTGGCAGTCCTATTAGTTTTGATGGCAACAAGCTGCGTGGTACACGTGAAGGGGGAGCTAGTGATGTTGGCAGTAAATCAAGGTGCGAAACTCAATAATCTTCTTCATCCTTCAATTAGCAAACGTGCTGGTCCTGGTTGTCCTTCTTACTTTGATCTTGATGATTGTCTTTATCGTAATTGTCCTTCTCGTTGTTCTATTTGTTGTGGCAGTATTTGTTATTGTGATCCTGATTGTAATGGTGATCGGAATCTTTATTGTAATTGTGATCGTGATAATTGTCTCGAACGTTGTCCTATTGCGGGTGCTTGTGATGTTTACGATTATAATGGTTGTGCTGATCGTAATACTGGTCATTGTAATGATTATTTTCGTGACTATGGTTATGGTTGTTGTAATTCTGTTGCTGCTAATGCTGTTGTTGATTGTCCTCTTAATTGTCGTAATTGTTGTCCTATTGCTGGTGACGATGATACTAATCGTGCTGCTAATGCTAATGTTAACTTTAATGTTCGTCCTGCCCGTGCTGTTCAAGTTCTTCATCCTCGCATTATTGTTTATCCTCCTCGTACAGTTGAGCTTATACCTACTGGCAATTTTAGTCTTGTTCACCTTCACCCTCCTCTTGAACTTGCTACTCTTTATAATATTACTGCTGGTGCCGGTGCTGGTGCTACTTTTGCTCCCTATCCTGCTTGTCTTCTTGCTGCTATTCTTGTTGCTTATACTGGTAGAAAGTAAACTGAGTATGTTGTATGAATATAATGTTTCAATGATAATCCATCGTACTTTTTTCTATATAGGTTAAATGGCACAAATACAAGTATGCACCGAAGATCGAACATTGCCATCAATCATCATCAGTAATACTGACCATTATTCACTAGTTAGCGTCGTCCTGTCATATTCACACATAGTTAGTTCCTGGTCCTATATTGTCAATCCTTCTTTTACTTTCCCCTCTGATATCGTTCATTACTTTTTCCCTTTTTTCTATATTGTTCAGATTTTCGATTTTAATAAAATATATGCACTGAAAACGTACTATGCTTTTCTTTTTTGAGAACCACTCCAAATATGTACATTAACCATGAAGAACGCATCATTGTCTTCGTAAGCTGAACACTACTCATTCAATCGATTAGACGTTTCATTGAGGGTGGGTGTGTGTGTAATCTTAACTATTACCTACACCGACACCCACACCCTCACATCCAAATATTACAAAAATTAAATTTTATTCCTGAAAATATTGATTAGATTTTCAAAGATTCTCTTTAGTTGATATTTGTGTAAAGATATTAGAGAACAAATTGTTTATTATCTTCAAAAAAATATCATTCTGATTTTAATATAACACATTGATATATTAATTCGATTTTAATGATAAAAAACAATGATCAATATATCATATTATTCTTTATTCAATAATAAATAAGAATTTAAATAATTAAATTGATTTTTATCAAATATTGATGATTATTATAATACTTTACCATTGAAAATATTTTTCAACTAAAAATTATTTAAACAAACATTCAATCTTCACATATTTATATGATAATGATTTTAATTTATTTTAAAAACATGTCAGATTAAATTTTTTATAGAATTTTTTCAAACATGTTTTATATAATGAGAAACAGTTTTATTATGAATCTATACTGAGATATATAAGAATAAGTTTGGCAATATCCCTTCATATACAATACTTGTATTTTCATGATTAAATCTGACTATTGTTAAAAATAAAGCTATTCTATCTTTTTATTTGAAAAAACTGTCAAGAGAATCTAATAATGAATCAATTCAATACTTAATTAACAGCAGCCGAACACATATCTTTCTTTTTTTTAATCATGTGCGCTTTCTAACACTATATCTTATTTATTTCGATAAAGTTTTTCGTTTTAAATTAAATCATTATATTTATCAATGTTTCTATTTTCAATAGATTTTCTTTTGTTGGACAATTTATTTGATGAAAAAAGAATTCTCATTTATACCAAAATAATTACAAAACATCACAAGTTTAGAAATTCAATTCTTTGAAATAGTTTCATTTCGGTAAGTTTGTTTTTTAAAATAATACGAAAAATGAAAGCAAACATGACAATGCAGTTGAGTGAATGAGAGATTGATATATGATCTATGAGGAAGGTAAAGTTATAGTTGTAGATCTATGGTTAATCTTTACTTACATCCAAATCTACATTAAAACATTCTTTCATTGAATAAATATCACAAAAATTGGTCAGTTTTTTATTTGAAAATAAGATGAAATCGATTTTCGACTTTTATCCAACCATCTTAGATATTACATTATGAGAATTGATCTATTCATATGTGAATCATTATATTTTTATTTCGCGTCGTCATCGTTATACTATCAACTTTGACTGATTACTTTGTTGGTACGTCGTCAATGTGAATACCGAAAAATGTTTTGGAGTCCGTCGGTATCACATTCATCTCATTTCTATGCTTGGAATCAAACAAAGATTACACAATGGAATAATAGATTATTACACTTTGAATGCAAATTATGTGACTTCATATTTCATTTATCTTTTAGTTCTAGATTATTTAAATATCTATGAGGCGCCCATCGTCCAAGAATCTTATGTTAGTTATTCTATGTATTTTAATTCTATTTACTTTATTATCTGGCTACATATACACAAACTACACATTCTTAGCGACTATTTTGAATACTCCTACCTCGTATTCTTCTCCAGCAGATGGTTGGAAACCAGTTGGACATACTCTTGATGAACAGAATTTACTTCATGATATGTCTATTGTCGTTGCTGCATGGCCCGAATATGCGGAAGATAATATACCTACAGTACCATGTTTATCAGCCGATGGTCATTTGCTTGTATTAAGTGTTGCTGCAAGTCGTATACGTTATGGAGTAAGTCTAACTTTTGTCACAGTTTATCCAACCGATATAAAAACTGTTTTACCAAAACACATCTCATCTCATCCACTCTCGTCAAATCAACAGAGCCTCTGGTGTATATTTAGTGATGGATCAGTAACACCTGTCTACACTTATGATTTGAAATATGGTAATGATCGAGTATCTCTTTTGGATTGTCCACTTAGTCAATTTGCTAATGATCAATTATGGAAATTGAATCAAACAATACGAGTCTATCTTGCATCAACAACAACAAAAGATAGACAAATACCGATACTTAAAGCATTCGTAAAAGTTCCAGTAGTTTCTATCACTTCATCAAAGTCTAGTCAAGAATCTTTTACATTATGCACTTCACCTTTACATAACAAAGCTAACTATTTAGTCCAATGGATCGAGTTTCATCGACTAGTTGGATTTAGTAAATTCGTCATATATAATACAACTGATACTGATAATTATCTCTCAACTATTATTAATATTTATACTCAAAAATATCCTGGTCTTGTTGATGTTGTACAATGGGATTTTTCTACTCTTGGTCTTGTCGATATTTTACGAGATCGATATTTTCAGGTAGAAGCACTGCATGATTGTCTAATTCGTTATGGTGATCAATCAGAATGGTTAGGTATGCTCGATCTTGATGAATACATTGTACCACTACCTCCATACGAAACTATTGTTGATTATGTTCATGCAAATTTTGGTCGAAGAATTATAGGATCAATTAATTTATGGAGTCAGTTCTTTTGCAATAAAAACGCTACTGCATATACTCTAGAGGAGAATGATACAAATCGATTAACTATTGAACGATTCACTTTTCGTGCACGTAATCGACATAAAAGTGGACGTGAAAAGTATTTATATCGACCACGTTTTGTGCAATATCTATCAATTCATCATCAAATAATTGGACTTTCAAAAGAACAACCATCAGAAAATCACATAACACTTGCTCATTATGTATCGATGAGTACTCTACGTACAATGCCAGGATGTGGTTTTAACGAAACCGTTGAAGACACTGGTATTCGTAATCGATTCGTTAATAGAGTAAAAGATGCAATAGCAACTTTAATGAATAAGCATTGAAATCGAACAATTTTATACAAAAATATTTAAATGTTGTTTTTATTAATGAATATAGATTATTTCCTACTTTTATATTTCACGAAAGAAATCACAAAGAAGATTATGGTAATATATTAATGTTATCTATATTCGAGTAACATCAAAAATGAATTTTGTCGAGAGCACAAGTTATTGTAATGAGAGTAGGACATTTTAAGTATCATAAACTTCCGTTTTATTGTTACAATTATCAAATATTACCATAGTAACGAAAACAAAATTGATCTTTATATCTTGTTTAGTTTCTTTAATTAATATTAAAATATATTACTTTGTAAAATGCTTAGTAATAATTTAAAAACAAATCTATCAGTCATATGTTCACATTATAAAAAATGACTTCAATAATGATGTCATTGATCTGCTATTATTAGATTTTATTGTTTGTTTTTAGATTATTTAATTAAAATATTTCTCACGATAGAAAATGTATAGAAACCAAATGTTAAAAGTAAGTTTGATCGTCATCATGATTATGCTATTTTATCTATTAAACATTCATTCAAAATCACTATACACTTTACATCTATTGAAGAACAAGACTATATTTAATGATTCCAAAGAGTGTTATATTATTTTACGTGAACGTGGTGGTCGACTTGGAAATCGTTTATTTATGTTTGCATCAGCTTATGGTCTATCACTTAAATATTCATGTCAGTTATACATAGATCGAAATATTATTGATGAACTACAACAAACATTCAAGATTAATTTGACAAATTTGTTGTCGAAATCACAATTAAATAATTTGACTTCAATTACAAAAATACAGAATCATTGTTTATATATTTCTAATCTTTTATATACAAACAACAGTTATTCGATTGAATTATCAGGATTCTGGCAAGTACATAAATATTTTATCGATCATATGGAACAGATAAAACAACAATTACGTTTTAAACAATCAATTTTAGATCGAGTGAAGAATTTTCTCGACAAAAATATCAATAAAAATGTTTCCACTTCCGTAGGCATACATATTCGACGAGGAGATTTTCTACGTGTTCGACGTGTTTCATCCAACAAATATATATTCAATGCAATGTCTCATTTTCAAATAAAATATCATTCAGTTATGTTTATTATAGTATCCGATGATAAAGAATATTGTCGAAAAACATTTGGTCAGAAAAATAATGTATTAGTGACACCTGATTCATTTAGTACTGCTGATGATTTGGCTACATTGACTCTATGTGAACATACTATTCTTACTGCAGGAACATTTGGATGGTGGGGAGCTTTTCTTTCACATAATCGATTGGGTGATGTATTAACTGATTCAAAATCAGATCATACTCCTCTTGATGCTAATTGTCGACAAGATGACTATTTTCCATCATGGTTTTCGTTTTTAAACAGTACGAATTAAATTATCAAAATATTCTACCAAAAAATGAATATGTTTTAATATATTATCTTTTTTAGATGAGATTTCAGATTACTTATTATCGACAATTATGCGTTTTTATACTAGTTGTCATTGGTATTGGTTTAGTCTTGTTTATTGATCAATCAAATTTCAATAAGTTTTCAATTCGTAGATCCAATTATACAAGATATCTTTTATTGAAAAATAATGAACAATATTCAACAACTGTTGTAATAGTATATTTTCCATTGAGTAAATCTAAACATAGTAACGCTCAATATCAATCGTGGCTTGAAAATCTATTAGGATTTTGTCAATCACCTATCATTATATATACATCAATTGAATATAAACCGATTCTACAACAACTTCGCCGAAATAGTTCATTAAGAACTCACTTTATTGTGGAATATAATTTACCGTTTGAAATATCACCAATAAAAAAACTTGTTCCTATCTTTGAACAACAATATCTCACTGATCCTGAACGTGCATATCACTCGATTGAATTGTATGCTGTATGGTGTGCTAAACCGTTTATATTGAATCGAAGTGTAGAGCTTAATCCTTTTCGAACAAAATATTTTCTCTATATTGATGCTGGAGCTTTTCGATCTTCTAATTATCGTTTTCAATCGTGGCCATACGAACCTTCAATTCATTCAATTCTTGCTAATAACAAACTTCTTTTCGGTATGATCTCTCCGCTTCCTCGTCAGTTTTGTCCATTATTGTATACTGTAAATAAAAGTCTCATTCGACATGATCTCATTCAAGCTGGTCTAATGGGTGGTACTGCTGATGCTATCCATTGGTGGACATCAGTATTTTATGAAACAATCGATATTTATATTTCAAAGAATTTTTTCATTGGAAAGGAACAAAATTTAATGAATGCTATTGCACTCATGTATCCACACAGGATCAATATGATGCTTTCATTTCGTACCTCTTGTGGCAATAAATGGTTTGCTTTCGGACCATTACTAGCAAATCAAGCTGAGAAACAAAGATTGGCTTTTTCTATGACCTGTCAACATCAGAATTTATCTGAAGTTATTATTCCTTTCGAAAATATTTGTAATGATCCTAGAAATGTTAAATAACAGGTGAGTCAAATAAACTAAATATACTTTTATCTTGTATACAATCTATTAAGATGGATATTGATTTTGAAGTTTCTTTTCTTAGTAATATGGTTCCATGAATGTGGTCTTTTAGTTTTTATTAATTAATAAACATATTAATAAACATCATCACAACATCTTTTCATATTTTAATATTTACCGGTAAAAACTATGCCTTCAGTTCATGACACTTCTGAAAAAAAGATGTAATATTTACATGTGCATTTAAGTATATAAGAATGTAGAAATATTCAATACTTTGACTTGTTCTCGTACTCATTATATTAGATTTTCAGAGAACGCTTTCTTTTTGTTTATTGTTTATTGTTTGCTATCTACGGTGGTTTATTAATTTAAAACTATTTTCAGATAACTCGAAATAATAAAATATTCGTTAAGTTTCTATTAATAGTTTTTGTAAGTACTAGCTTACTCTTTTTATATTAAGATAAATTTGTGATTATTATAGTTATTTAGATTAACAGAATTAAAATATGAATTATGTACGAGTAGAACGTTTTTATACATTGCTTCTAATATTTATTTTATTTCTTTACATTATTATATCAAATATGCTACTCAAAAATGATAATAATAATATTTCATCATGGCCAAATTTATTTAAATCGAATTATTATAAAAATAAACAAATATTCGATATCTCAATCAATAATAAAAGTCTTCCTAAAATACTCATTGTATTAGGTACACGTCCAGAAGGAATAAAATGTGCTCCTTTAATTGCTGAATTAAAATCGGATTATTATCGTTCAAAATTTCAAATTATTGTTCTTAGTACTGGTCAACATCGAGAAATTCTACGCCAAAGTTTAATGGGATTTAAACAAACAGTTGATATTGATTTAGATTTAATGATGAATAATCAAAGCTTACCGGATTTATTTCATCGAATATTTTTTCAAATAAATGAACAAATAAATCTAATTAAACCAGATTTATTAATTGTTCAAGGTGATACAACAACTGCACTTGTGTCTGCTTTAGTTGCTGCATATAATCAAATTCCAGTTGCACATGTTGAAGCCGGTCTTCGAACATTTAATTTATCAAATCCATTTCCTGAAGAACTTAACCGAAAAATAATTGATTCATTTGCTAAACTTATGTTTGCACCAACAACATTTGCTAAAGAAGTACTTATTCGAGAAGGTGCTTGTGAAACAGATATATTTATAACTGGTAATACTGGTGTTGATGCATTTTATCAATATTATAAACAAGAAATTCCAAATAAAAATAATTCAATATTAAGAATAATTGATAATTTTAAAAAGAAGTCATTAAATAAAACTCATTCAGTTGTTATTCTTGTTACGATGCATCGAAGAGAAAATTTTCAATATTTATCTGATATGTGCCGTGCTATAAAAACTATAGCTAACAAACATAACGGAAAAATTTTAATTATTTTACCTGTTCACCCAAATCCAAATGTTAAAAATGTCGTATTAAAAATTTTAAATAATTTAGATAATGTTAAAATTGTTGATCCAATATCATATGATATATTTGGATATGTTTTATTAGAATCAGATATAATTCTGACTGATTCAGGTGGAATTCAAGAAGAAGTAGTTAGTATTGGTAAACCAGTTATATTAATGAGAATGACAACTGAACGACCTGAAGGAATTTATCTTGGTACAATTAAACAAATAGGGATTTTTTATGATGATATTATAAAAGCAGTGGATGATGAATTGATAAATATCAAAATAACGAATCAAACATCGAAAAGAAATATTTTTGGTGATGGAACTGCATCGAAACAAATTGCAACTATTATTGAGAATTATTTTTCCGGAAAATATAAATCAAATATAAAATGTATGACAAAATTTCGTCAAGATTCTATTGCTCAATATGTTTATTCATATAAAAATATATCATCACATACTATTCGCCGAAATATGATAATAAATTTAACAAAAGTACAATCGGCTCTTAGTCTGGATGAAATACTTAGAATTCCTAGTCAATATAATATATCAAAGAAAAATGAGGATAGATTTGCACTTACTGCGATTATTGGATTATATAGACGTGAAGGTATAATTCGACGATGGATTGAAGCACTTCTTATACAAACACATCCACCAAAGGAGATTTGGTTTATCCATTTTGCTTCACCTATTGCAGATAAACTTGATGTTGAAATTAAAGAAATGCGTTCATTATTCTATAATGGATCAGATTATTGTAATAAATGGTGTATAGAAAATAAATGTAAAATGAATGATACCAATAATAATGGGATTAAATCTAATTGTACCGAACAATGTATAGAATTTTGTATGAAATTACCTTCAATGTTATTTGTTGGTATGGGAGAAATGCAATTAAAATATTTTGGAAGATTTCAACTTGCACTACAATGTCGAACAAAATATGTCATTGTTTTTGATGATGATTGTATACCTCAAAAACGATATTTAGAAATTGCAATGTATACAATTAATACAAAAGAATATCGAGGTATTTTAGGAACGAAAGGTACACCTGCAGCAGAGAATTATTATTATGGTCCTGTATCAAAAAGTAATCAAATAATTGAAGTTGATGTCGTTGGTGGAAGTTGGTTTATGGAAAGTGAATGGGTTAAACTTATGTTTCATGATAAAATCTATTCATGGAATACAGGTGAAGATTTTCATTTATGTGCAAATGCACGTAAATATGCTAATATTAGAAGTTTTGTTATGCCTGTTGATAAGAATGATGATAGTACACATTCATTTACAAAAGATTATTTACAGATTAGTAATAAAGGAGATACAACTGGACGAGTAAATGGAACTTCAACAAGTAGAAAATTTATTATAGATCAATTATGGTCACGTGGTGATCGTTTAATGAATAGTTATAGATCATCAAAACCATCATTATTATTATTTGCAGAAACACAATATGATACTATGTTATTAATATCACTTGTACAACAACAAATGATTCAACTCGGTGGTTTAATACATTTTGCAACTTCAAATATGTTAAAAACAGATATAGAAATGATTAAAATTAGAAAAGAATTTCAATCAGTTCATGATTTTATGATTGGTCGTGATTTTAATATAGATCCAACACCTATTACTGCTGCAGCAGAGATTCATTATGGATTTGATATGGTTATGCAAGGTACACAAAGTACAGCAGTAATTATTCTGGGTTCTTCATCAACAATAAATATGTTTGCATTAGTATCAGCAGCATTTTTAAGAAATATTCCTATTATTAATATCTATATACAAGATAATATTGTGGATTTGAAAAGATCAGAAGTAATCATGACAATGTCTTCATTTACTCTTCGAACTTTTACTAATCAAACATTTAGTAACTTGCAATCTCAACAGTTAAATAATCTTCTAGTTCATCTTTATAAATAAAAAGAGTTGAATTGACACTCATGTCCTCGAATTAGACAACTACTCATTGTTTTCACAATTTGTTTTTTTTATGAAATTTTGTTTGAAGTATAAAAGTAAAATGCATTCATGTTAGATATAAACGTTATTAGTTAATTTCTACTCGACTGAATTGTAAAAATGAATCAGGGCTCAAATCAAACAAACATTGAAGAAGTCAAAAGATCTTATTTTAGTAGAAAAATCCAAATGGTGCTGTTGATAGTTATCTTAATCGTATATCATTTTATAATCCTTCCTTAATTCTATGGATGTCCTAATACTTTACATTCATATGCCAAAAAATATATAAATCAACGAACAAATGTAAATATAACATGTGCGGATTCTATTTTAACTTGGTGTGCAGAGAATCAAATTGAATTATCAAAATGTTCTTGAACAATAGAAACATTTCGGAATCATTTTTATAACATGGCAGCTTTAATCAGTCGTCCATATCCTGATTCAATGAATAATAATAGTGGACTAGCCTTCATTCGATTAGGAGATGGAGAAATGTTACTTTTATTTGGAGTTTCAGTTAAGTCTATTGACCGATGGTCATGGCCTGGTGGTCAATCAACATTAGGAGAAGATTTAAGAAAAGCATTGAATTATCCGAAATATCAATATAATACATTTAGTCCATTTTATTATGGAATTTATGATGCTAAAGGTATTTGTCCTTTTCATGAACTTGTTTCAATGATTTATCAGCATCCAAAATATTTAACATATACAAATTTATTTGTCAATTCTAATTATCCTTCCACGAAATTATTACATCAATCACTTATTCGAGATTATCGAAAAAAGATTATTCTAATAATTAACAATGAAACTAGCTCACAAAAGCTAACTGAACTGAATGCATGGACTTGTGAAATATTGCTCTATCCAGATAATGGACCTTTGTTGTGGGAAAATGATAAGTTTAGAGAGCAAGCAATTGGGAAAATTGTTGACGCAGCAAAGCGATACAGAAATCGATTATTTTTATTTTCAATAGGTCCACTATCGAGAGTTCTCATTCATCATGCCTGGCTCGAAAATCCTTATAATCGTTACATTTATTTTGGTTCTACAGTCGATCAAATGACAAAAAATAGAACAACTCGACCATATCAATCGAATACAGAACTCAATCATGATCCGTCGTATCTTATCAAATTTGATACGAACAAACGTTTATTTCGGGTGTCATCTGTAGACTAAAAATACCTTCTATTTTGTTATTAGTTTTTGTTTCATCATATGTTTGTGAGGGATGTGTCGCCTGTGGAGTGTTGGGAAGTTGCACATCTTTTTCACTTCTAGAAAATTTTCAACTTTTTCCAGCTAAAATTGTATACTTTATTGTAAAAAAGGGTGTGGATGGATGTGAATGTGGGCGAATTTCGCAGGCAACCACACTCACACCCGCAGCTATCCTGATTAGCACAGAAAAAGTCCAATACAGAACTGGAGAACAACACACTTTCATCGTCTCTTAGCAGTTTGATGCTTCAGTTTCCAAGAGTAATGAGTTTTCTCTCTCCATTTCCCCCTTATGGAATTTCTTTACATTAGACAAAATTTTTATTAAAATTAATTTCAATTTAAAACATATTCATTCGATATTATACAGTATGAATAATATTTTCATATATAAAACATTAATCAAACAATTCTTGGTATTTTTTTAAATCAATGTAAATTGAAAAATAATTTTGATTAAGTTTCAACAAAATTCAAAATATAAAACATGAATCTAATACAGTAAAACCTCTCTAAGATGAACATCAACAGGACTTTCCAAAGAGTGTTCATCTTATAGAGATTTCATGGGTATGAGTGTGAGTAAGGCTTGTGTATAGTGGAAAAGAGCATCATACTCACACAGAATTCGAAGTAATTCTTTTCATTGAGAATTATTTTTTCTTCAAATTTACTTTTCTTCTAAGTGTTTATACTATATCGATGAGATACTACTAAAAGTATTCTCCTTTTCTTACTAAACACAAATCAAAATTATATCTGAAACTACATTCAAAAACGATGCTTCTTTCGAATGTCGAAAATAATTTGCTGACAAACATCACTTTTGTGTTAACAAGGGGAAGAAAAATTTATCGGTGATCAACACGGATCTTAAAACTACCTACGCCTCGTCTTTTTTATAAATATTTCACTCTTTAAAAATATAATAAAATCAGTTGAATCTTAACTCTGTCACACGATCATCTATGCATTTTTTCATCACGTCTTTATTGTATTTGTTATAGGATAGAATCAGAACGATTAGAAGAAATGAAAGCAATATCAAATTTCCACTTATCGATATGTGAATACATCCATCTGTTATATTTCGATTTAAATGACTTAAGATCCCCTCCGTGTTTTAGAAATAAAAACACACACTTTTTCATCATATTTTCTCATTCTAAAATCAACTATGGCTACAATCAATATCTACTGCTACGTCGTTTTCATTCTTCTCAGGTAAATAACTATTGATTTTTATCACTAATTCTGTTAACATCCATTGATTTCATATTTTAGCATAACAGGTTTGATTTCTCTTGTATTTTATATGTTTATATGTATTAGTTTATCACTTTCCTAGTTCGAATCAAATCTCAGATATGTGAGAAAACACCACAATATGGTGAATGTTCCACAAATAGTGCATGTGGATGTTTTCATATGGTAGGTACTCATGATGATACGGGCGTCTGTGGTTTTCTTTGGCCAATATGCTCCCGTCTTTTACGATGCAATTCCTCAGACAATTCATGCCTTCAGCCGAACACGATCTGTGTTCACCATCCTCAGTGCGATGATTTTCCACTTTGTTACCCAGTTACAATGGCTGATCAGAACATGTGTCCACCAATGAAAAGTGAGTGGATCGGTGGATAATAGATGCAATATTCTTATCCACACTCTCAAGATATTTGAAACTGTAAATTTCATCTGTTTTAGATAAGATCAATCTTAAATGGAAACAAAATGCCATCACTGTGGCTGGCGGAAATGGATTAGGACAACAACTAAATCAAATCGGTCACCCTTATGGAATTTTTATCGATGAAAAGAAAAATATTTTCATTGCTGAGTTTTGGAATGATCGTATTGTTGAATGGAAACACAATGCAACGGAAGGACAAATAATTGCAGGTGGCAATAGCAGTGGAAATCGAATGGATCAATTGAATCAACCAACAGATGTGATTGTTGATCAACAAAGTCATTCGATCATCATTGCTGATTGGGGGAACAGACGAGTGATTCAATGGTCGAATCAAAAGCAAGAAACTCTCATTCAGAATATTGACTGCTATGGCTTGGCAATGGATAAAAATGGACTCCTTTATGTTTCTCTTTATAGGAAGAATGAAGTGAGACGATGGAAATTGGGAGAATACGATGACGAAGGAATTGTAGTAGCAGGTGGAAATGGGGAAGGAGATCAACTTAATCAACTTAATTTTCCTACTTTTATGTTTGTTGATGAAGATCAATCTGTTTATGTGTCAGATACAAGCAATGGTCGTGTGATGAAGTGGAGAAAAGATGCAAAAGAAGGAATTGTTGTTGCTGGAGGAAATGGTCAGGGAGGAGATCTCAATCAATTTTTTTATCCTGAAGGAGTAATTGTTGATGATTTGGGTCAAATCTATGTGGCAGATATGGATAATCATCGAATAATGCGTTGGTGTGAAGGAAAAGAAGAAGGTGAAATTGTTGTTGGTGGAAATGGTCAAGGAAATCAATCAAATCAATTGAGTCATCCCACAGGTTTATCATTTGATGATGAAGGAAGTCTTTATATTGCTGATGCTGCGAATAATCGAATTCAAAAATTTGAAATAATTTTGTGATGAAATTTTGATTTTGAAAAAGAGAAAAACTAATTTATTGAAATAAAATGAACGTTTGATTAAAACAACATTTTATTGAGTTTATTTTGATATTTTTCATTTTTATTTTTCATTGATTCTTTCGTTTAATGCATATCGATACGTACGATTATTTTCATTATTAATGATTTATTTTAAAGTGTTTGTAGCAGAAGAGAAAGAAATGCTGTGACACTCGCATAAAAGTCAAATTTCATTCACACTATCTAAGCAAAATAAATGATGAATGATGAATAAAAAATCAATTGAAATGAGAAAATAAAAAGAAGGTAGGAGAGAAAGAAAAGGACTCATAGTTATTTATCATCTCTCATTAAATTTAACATTTGATCAGAATTAAAATAAACTATATTTTTATTTATGATTTATAAGTTTATTTAATTTTCACAGTAAATCTTTATACATTAATTCATATACCTTGCAAAGGTGCAGAATCTTCCAAAAAATCAAAAACTTCCCTCTCTGCGCGGGGACGCACAAGCCAGATTCTGCACCTCTGGTGATTATGTAATTACACAATTAATCATTCTATTTTTATAATCTGTAGATTCTCGTTCTATGAAATATATTGGACATTTTACGCTATTTATTAAAAATAAAATAAAAAAAACATGAATTTTATGACAAAATCTTTATGTTAGACATTATTTGACATACCAACACCATGCAGAAATACTTCTTTTTTTTTGTTGTTTTTCCTTTCTCTTTCTTTTTTTTCTCCTTCTAAATTACAATTTTATTTTTTTGTTTTTCTTTTACCATCTTAACTACGCTAGTATAGTTCATAAATAATCTGAATTTCTTTTGTATGCTTTTCATTATATATCGATTGAAAAAATCTTCATTTTAGATTTATAATCACCATGGCTAACAGCTGCCAAGGTGATTTAAAATACTTAACTGACTGTATGTTCTTTATTAATGGCTACTGCAAATTGAACGATACTTGTTGCTATCGGCATTGTCGTGAAGCTGTTGAACAAATAAACAATTGTTTGAAATGGCCAAAAACATGTCGTGATGTTAATTGTCCTTATCGACATCCAACAAAAACATCTGAAATGGTACCGCCATCATCAAAAACAAAAAGTTTAGTGAGCATCTTTTGGGATATTGAAAATGTTCCTATACCAAAAGGACAAAAACCTTTCGATATTGTTCAACGTATTCGACAAAAACTAATCATTGAACGTAGTTTACATGAAGTTGGTTTTTCTTGCTATTGCAACAGTATTACAATATCGGAAAGTAATCAGATTAGTTTACATCATGCTAATGTTCGTATTGTGCATGTACCTGATCGAAAACCAGGTGCATGTGATCGACAAATAATGCTTGACTTAGTTCGTTTCGAACGTATTTGTCATTCACCAGCAACTGTTGTATTAATATCGGGCGATATTGATTTTATTGGAATATTGAATGGTCTTCGACATCAAGCAGGCTTCCGTGTTATTGTTATACATAATAAACCAGCTAAAGAAGAATTAAAAGCAACAGTGAATGAACATTATCCATGGGAAGTATTTACAGTACAACCAGCCGTTGTAATAAATGATTCGAAGCCAATTGAAAATGAGCGAACATCACGAGCAGAACAATCAAATCGAACACGTCATTCTAGTCGTAACAGAAGTTTACGTCGTAGAGATCCATCACCAAATGTAGCAGCTAGACAACGAGCCATTGCAAATAATCAAGATATACAAAAATTTCAATGTCCTGAATGTAAAAATGAATATGATTCTATTCAAAGTTTACGACAACATCAAAGTGCAAAAGCACATCAATTCAATTGTCCTGTATGTGATGAGAAATTTTTTACAACACTAGCACAAACTCAACATCAAAAAGACAAAAATCATTATGTATTAGATTATAAATGTTGTCAATGTAATCGTTATTTTGCTAAAATTGAAAGTTTAAATCAACATCAACAAGCGACTGGTCATATATTATCTTCATCACAGATATTAAATCAAAATGAACCAATTCGTCCACAAACAATGAATAATGATAATAAAAAAGATGCTCAACGAATCATTCTCGAAGGAATTGAAGCCATGAAACAAATCTATTTAAAGAAATCTCTAAAAAAATAAATAAGTATCTTATTAAACACACCTCATTCTTTTACTATTATTCACTCAATAACTTTTGAGTGAATACTAAATAACATTCATGTTTATATTAGCATGTAGTAAAGGAATCAAAAATTATTAAATTATTTTATATTTATTAAAAAAGATTGATATTTTACTTTGACAAGTAAAATAAATATAAATATAAATTACTTATAATTTATGAATAATTCGAGTTTTTTTTCATAGTATAGATTAAAAATCAATTTTTCGAATTATTCTATTGATACTTATTTTTTTATATTGAATTTCGATCATTTTTTGTTTTGTATTACTTAGAATTTATATTTAATAAACAGCATATATACTCACTGTAGTACTTTACATCTCACATCCTCAAGATGATTTTTAAGCTTGATGTACTATAAATACTTTATTTTATAACAAATTCTATTTAATGAAAAAAAGACAAGAAATTAAAATAAAACTACAAACAACAGCAATAATAAAGAAAAGAAACGTGAAACATGGCACAAATATAAAATAAAAATGCGTAATAACTTAGAAAAATTGAAGTTTAGTTATTTTTAATTTATTCCAGCATCACCATGTACATTGTTAATCATTGTTTATGACTATTAAATGATTGATTTTGTATTTCACCATTTGAATTATGATTCGATAAATGTTTTTTTGGTGATTTAGATTTAAAATTTCTATTAGATAGATCATCATCATGTTGAATAAGTGTAACATAAGAATTTTTTGACGATACTATCATCGTTGAATCTATTTCATTATTATCATTCTTAGATGATAAATTATGATTATTATTATGTATATTTTCTATATCATTCGATGGAAGATTTTTTGATAATGGACGTAATCGTTTAATAACAAAACAAATTGCTATCAAAGTTAATATGGTTAGAATAAGCATAACTGTCATCATTATATGAAGACGTTGAAGAAGAGATGAAGCAAATAATGGACCGACTAGAATAATAAAATATTTATGAATATGAGAATATTCTTTATGAGCTTACCAATTGTTCCAATTCCCATAATTAATCTTTGTATACCTTGTGAAAATCCTTGTAATTCTTTAATTGTTAATTTAGTTAAAATCGATACACTCGTTACTGCTATAAATGGTAGACTAAGTAAATCAAATATAACAAAAAGAATAAATAATGTAAGTAAAGGTTTATTAACAACAGTTGGATTTGGATGACCAAACCAATGTAATGAATGTGATGCCCATGTAAAAAATGTTCCTATCATACAAGCAAATGTTAATGATATCAAACCAAATATAAGTATATTTCGATCTTCAAAACGTTTCGATATAATTTTTACAAGTGCAATATATACAAAAATAATTTCTAAACCACCAACAGCAAATAAGATTGATGTATGTACAGTTTTCCATTTAAAATTTGTTTCAGCAAACGATGTAACAATTGTTTCTAATGCTGTTTGATTAAAATAAGTTATAAATGTTGTAAGAAATAAAACAAAGATTTCAATACGGATATATTGATCACGATATGTTTTAAATGATACTTTTTGTTTTTCTTGTTCAGATGTACGATCTGATTTTATAATAGAATGTATTCCATTTGATAAGGATGACGATATTGGATTTGTTGTTCGATCATAAAAACAAAACCAACAAACTACGATTAATATTAACCAAATTGTAGCCATTAAAAAACCAGGACCATTTAAATTATATACATGAACAGGACCGATATTAAAATTCATTAAACTAATAAGAAGTGTAAAACATGGTCCAATTAACAAACCTAGAAAATAAGAATAGTTTTGAAAACAATATATATTGAATATTTTGTCATACCAAGTTGTCGACATCCAAGAATAATTGATATGGCTTTTGTTCGATCATTTTCTGTTGTACGATGAGCAATATCAGCAAGAATCTATTGAATAATATATAAGTATTATCAATCGATATTAAAAATATGAACTTACAGATGGTACAGCACCCATTCCAACACCGGCAATTAATCGTCCTAATAAAACACGACGAATATCCTTGCCAATACAATAAAGTATATTTCCAGCGACTTCAAATACGCTACATATTATAATAAGAAATTTAACACGTCCAGTCATGTCAGAGATTATTCCCATGATCATACCAACTATAGAACCAGATATACTGTAACATGAAAGAGTTAAACCAACATATATATTATCACTAGCCATAGTTTTCACATAGTCAAAAACAGTTGGAAGAATAACTGCATATTCAATACCGGTCATAAAAGCGAATAGACATATAGTACAAAATGTTAACATAACACGTCTATGACCACGTGTCCAACGAAAAAAATCCGTTGATGGTATTATGATGTTTGTAGGTTCATTTTCATCGATATTATGAAGACTTGCAATGCTTCTTCTTACAGGTATGGAGTCTGATGGAGTAAGTGAATGAATATCATTCGATGAGTTATTTATTTGTTCATCATCAGCAAGCATATGTTCCGATGATGATAATGTACCTAATCTGTTACCATTCAATGATGATCTATGATGAGAATCAATTAAAGATCCGTGCATTGTTGGTTTGTTTGGATTAAAATCTAAATTATAAATAAAATAATTAATTATGTCAAACTACTTCACTCTCTTATTATTTTGTTAATCTTACTTGTTTTTCTTTGTTATAATAATAGAATGTATTTGACATGAAAGAAATTTCATATTATAAATAAGCTGAAGAAGTAAAAATGTGTCGAGTAGTGACATAATATCAAATAGTAATCATTACAATAATTTTCTTTCTCTTCTCATTTTTTTTTTCTTCTTCGGTCATATTTTGTTAACACATATATCGTCTATTATTAGCAATAGAACGAAGCAAAGATGATGAAAGAGAATTGTCGAGAAGAGAAAAAAGAGATTTATTTGAGAGTGTTTCCAATATTCTTTTTCTCTTTGCTTTATTATTTATTTATTTTTTAGACAAGGATTCTATTGAAAGATATGTTAATTATCGATCACATAGATATAATATAAGAGACTGTTGAATAAGAGAAAAAAAGAAGATCAATATTTGTTATGAACAAAAAAGAAAAATGACGGCCTAATATCGAATCTCGTATTATAAGAAAAAGATCTATTTTTTCTTAATGTAATATGAAACAACCATCTTTTCAATTATATTCATCAGATTATATTGATAAATGATGTACGTGATTCTAACAAAAGAAATGTATTATTACAAAATTCTTTTTGATGATCCTCGAAAATTTAATAAAATATATAACGATCTTTTTTTCATCGTTGGTCTCACCTCATTGCATTAATTGTTCAATATTGCTATCATGATCGATCACCAATGAGAGAGAGAAAAAATTTCAGTAAAAACTGACGCCCTTCGTTTTTCTACTGATGATGTTGTCGTTGTTGTCGTATGTAACGTCTGTGGCGAATGTGTATGATGTACGAACGTCATTTGACGTAATCGCGTGGAGGAACAACCTACCGTTCTTGTTCGGTCGATGCAAAAAAAAAGAAAGAATGTTATAATTTAAAATAGAACAGAAGAGAAAGAAAAAGAGAAAAAAAGAAATCTATTCTGCATTGACAGGTACGATTTTCGAAGGAAAGAAAAATGTCTTATTCTGCTATTGTCTAATGAAATGATAAACGTTCAATGTCGAGATATTAGTCGAAAAGAACTGATTTTTTATTCTTAAACGACGTTTATAATGATATAACAACAATAAAGCAAAAAAAAAAAAGAAAAAGGAAAAAGAAAAGCAATGTTTAACAAGACAAATACAAATAATTTCTCGATTTTCCGGTACGTCATTTAAGTTGTTCCAAAAAAACTGAGAAAGAATTAAATAGAAAAAAAACGAGAAGAAGAGATAATAGGTTTTCTTTGTGAGACATAAATTGAGCTATACATTAAAATAAGTGTTGAAAAATGAAAACTAATAACAATAATATAATTCAACAGAAAGAATTGTTTAATGAGGAAAGAAAAAAATAATATCACCATTTAAAGTTCAACTCTGTTTATCGATTCCATGCCATACTAGATCCTGTTCTTCGATCAGTAAAAAACGAACGAAGTAATAAAACAGTACCAATTGCTACGATTATAATCAAAATAAATTGCCCTAAAGACCAAATTTGTACACGCTCTCGTAAATCTTCTGCTCGTGCACGTCCTGTAGCTTCACGTAAACGATGATGTGTTTGATAATCAATAGCTTGCTCGAGATTTTCATGTATTCTAGCAACATTTGATTCAATCTAGAAAAAAAACGGATGATATTATTTGAAAAAATATAAGATTCTATATACCATTGTTAATGCGCCTGCTGCAACTTTTGGTCCTGGACCAGATATTTCATGTTCCGGATCTCCATCAACTTTCCAATCTATGAAAATAAATTAAATATTTCTTTTTATATTTTTTGTTTTCAAACCTATATAAATAACTTTATGGGTAATTGTTGAAAATTCATTACTAAAACAAAATACATAAACACCATCTTCTTCAACGGTTTTTTCAATTTGATCATATTGTTTTTTAGTTTCTTTATATAGGATTTTTTCTGATGGAGATTTTAATTCAAGATCAACATCATAATTTCCACCTGTTACAACCTATGAAATAATATAAAATATAATTAGATATGCAATTACGTTTCCGAATATTCAAACTAACTTGATATTCTAATGTAAATTTCGAGCCAACTTTAAGTTTCTCATGAAAACATTCTTTAGCATTATCTGGTAATTCAAATGTTAATTCACTAGCACCAATTTGTTTTAGAAGAAATATAATAGAGATTAAAAAAGTAGGTAATGATAAGCCTAGCATTGTTCGAAATATGAAAGAACTAATTACAAATATGGATGAATGACTCTAGTAGTTCTAAAAAGTATTATTTTTATTTTCTATTGCAAATCATTTCGATCAACCAATGAAAATAAAGACCACATCATCATGTGTCATTGGAATCATTTTTGAATTTTTTTATCGAGATTTTCTTAGAAAAAAATTGCGAATATATTTTTACATATAATATTACGTTGAATACTAAATTTTAATCGTTTAGATTTTATATGGATTATGTGTCGCCACATATACCTTACTAAGCAACGATATCGTATTAGAGAATATGAATGGTTGTTGTACAATTTAATCAAGGATTAAGATTAGGTATTTATTAGAGATATTAGAACGATGCCCCAAATGGATCCATTATTTATGGCGATGAGTTGTTATCGTCGTCGAAAATTTGAACAATGTGTTGATATAACAACAAATTTATTAGACAAAAATCCAAATGATCAGGTAAGAGATTTACATAAATTTATCAATAGGAAATTTTGGGAAATTGTAGGTAGCGTGGTTATTAAAAATGCGTGCTTTAACAGAACAACTTTATGTTGATGAAACTGAAGTAGCTGATATTGGTCTTGTTGATATATTAGATGATAATGCTTTTCATCAAGCACCCATGCCTGGAACATCAATGCGACAACCAACAGCTGATGCAAATAGTGGAATGAATGGACCAAGTCCAGCAATGAGACCTACGACTATGTCAGGTCGACCTATAACTGGTATGTTACGATTAGGTACTCAATCAACACAGGGTGGGAAAAGTATGGAAAATGCATTAAAAACTGCTCGTACAGCAGCAACAGCAAGACCAATAACAGGAGCTACAGGTCGTTTTGTACGACTTGGAACAGTAAGTTAATATATCTATGTTTTTTAGATGATGAATTAAATATTTGTAGGCTTCAATGTTAAGTACTCCAGATGGTCCATTTCTTCAAGTAGGTCGATTAAATCTACCTAAATATGCTCAAAAAGAAGCAATAGCTCGATCTCTTTTTGAACATTTATTTCATCATGCAAATGATATTCGAACAGTATGAATAAATAATAACTATCTCTATTGACTAATATTCATTCATTATTAAGGCTCTTCAATTAGCTATTCTTGCTAATGAAACATTTCAAAATAAAGATTGGTGGTGGTTAGTACAAATTGGTAAATCTTATCATCGGTATTAAAATTTATTTTTATATATTCATATACTAACATCGATTTCTTTTTTTTAGTTTAGATATGTTTCGTGATAGTGAAAAATATTACCTTCTATCATTAGAAATTCAACCTATGGTTGATACATATTTATATTTAGCTAAAGTATATCTTCGTCTTGATCAACCATTATTATCAATAAAAAAATTACAAGAAGGTTTAGAAAAATTTCCATTAGAATTATGCTTAGTTCAAGCTATTGCTCGTGTTTATGAAGTATATTTTTAGAGAAAACAAAATGATTATTTAAATTGATTTTATTCCTAGGGTCTTAATAATATACCACAAAGTATTGAACATTATCGACAAGTACTAAAATTAGATAATACAAATATTGAAGCAATTGCTTGTATAGCTGCAAATCATTTTTATAATGATCAACCTGAAATATCATTAAAATTCTATCGTCGTCTTTTACAAATGGGTATATCATCATCAGCAATATTTACAAATATTGGATTATGTTGCTTTCATGCTCAACAATATGATATGATTGTCGCTTGTTTTTTAAAAGCATTAGCAAGTGCAACAACGGATGAAGAACGTGCAGAAATTTGGTATAATATTGGTGAAATGGCATTAGTAAGCATAGATTTATATATGATTAAAACTTCTTCGTTCTGTTTTTTTTGTAGTATACAACTGATATTAATCTTGCGATACAATGTTTTCGTCTAGCACTTGTACATAATAATGATCATGCCGAAGCTTATAATAATTTAGGTTTAGTTGAATTACAACGAGAAAATAATGAAATAGTAAACATAATAATGCTTTAATCTTATGAAAAATATTTTCTTCTAGGGTCAAGCTTATTTACAAACAGCTCAAAGTCTTGCACCGCATATGTTTGAACCCTATTTTAATTATGGTAAATCGATGTATCAGGTAAAATAAAAATAGTTTTATAGAAAAAATAATTTTGTTGTAATATTTTTAGCAAGGTGATTTACAAAATAGTTTTCGTGCGATCAAAAGTTCACTTGATATTTATAAAAATCATTCCGATTCAAAACAAATTTATGATGAATTAAAAAAAATGTTTTCCGAACTTTAATGTCTTCCTTCATTTTTTTTTGTGCTATAAAACTTCCAAATTGTTTTTATAAAACGTGAATATTTTGATAATTTCTTAATAAAATATTATCGGTTATTCGTATACAAAATAAAACTGTTACTGTTCAAAATGGAAAAAGAACACTATATAATAGAATAGAATTCAAGAAAGAAAAGATAATATTCGTATAAAATTATATATCTAATGAAGCTGGTGTTCTTTAAATATTATTAATTTTCTTTGTTCTATTCAATTGCTCTTCCTCTCGACGAATAATCCACATAAGATAAAAGTACATCAATGCACTTATTATAAAACTAATACCACCAATGATAAATGCTATATCAAAACTGTTTGTAGCATCACGGATAGCACCCATGATCTAAATAAATTCTCAATAAATATCTATTTAAAAACATTCGAAGACTTACAGGTGGAGCAGATAATGCAGTAATACCTCGAAACATTAATGTTAAACCTAACGCATTACTATAACGTTCAAGGCCAACAGTTTGACATACAATTATTAGACTTAATGAAACATGAAATGCTAAAAATATAAGTTATATAAAAATGTTCATGAAAAGAAAATGAATTTTACCAATAAAGCCACCCCAAATAATACAATAAAAGATAAGGTGTATATGTGTTTGACATAATGGCACAAGTAATGTAGCAATACCAGCAACAATTAAGCCGATGTTATTAACAAGTAATGGTGACATATAAGGAATTTTTGTTATATATCCAGATGCAAATCGACCAGCTGTATTACTGAAACCTAGAAAAAATTGGAACTTTTTTTTTTAGTATCAATTGTATTTATAAAATCATTATACTTACCAATAATTGAGAGTAGAAAAACAGCTGAGGCCTTAGGAATCGATCTCTCTAATTCAGCTAGTTTTGGAATAAATAAATAAGGTGAATAAAAACCAATCATTGAACAAACATTTGCCTTTTGGAAAAAGTATTAAGAAAAAAATGAGAAAAGATTTTGTAGTTTTTTTAATAGTTTACCAAACAAATAATAAGCATTTTCTTATCAGTTAAAATATTAAAATCTGCCATCGAAAGAAATATATCCCAAAATGCTTTCATTTTTGTTTTTTCTACAGTTTCAGGAACTTTTGTTGTTTGTTGAATGTAAGTTGGTATATCAGGTTGAGACGTATATTCAGGTAAATCTTTCGTATCACCTTGATAAAGTACATCTTCTTTATATAAACTAAAATATTTTAATAAGAAATCATATGAGAAAAGAAATTTTACTTACGGACGAACAGCATCTTCAGCTTTAATACTTTGCCGTGATTTTGTTGATATGGCCGAATCAGCACGTGATCGTTTTTTAATTTCTTGTTCAATTGTCACTTCAGAAAAATTTGAATCTGGAGTATGTATAGCTTTAGTTTCATTAATTAAAGGAGATGATGTCTATAGAAATAGTACAATAAGATAAATTTTAAACGAAAATATATAACTAACTGTGTCGTTAAATACATTATCATCAACTCTATTGAAATATAAAAGAATACAAAATTTTTATAAAATCTTCTATATATATATGAAACAAAAAACAATTTGTAATGGAAATGTATCGAGAGCATATAAATTTTATTTAAAGATAGAAGACAAATCCTAGAATCTGTCAAGATTAATAAAATTCAAGAAAACTAACTAGGAAACCGCCTGAAGTAATTCATCGATTTAGAGTCTGGGCCCATAGCTTGTTGTTGACAACAAACTGCATTTTTACGGTATATTTTAACAGAATAGTGCTGTAGTCCCCCTAGAACACCAGGAAAACTGATTTTTGAATTTCTTATCCTGAAACAATAATATCGAATTTGCTCTTGTGCATTAGCTATATAAAAGGCACGCTTTTACCACAGCCGTATTTTGTGTTAGAAACAACCAAAACATACGACACATCGACCATGAACTACTCTCGTTAAGAGCTGTATCTGTTCAAAATTCCAAAAATCAGTTTGTCTGATTTTCTTTAGGGAAACTGAGATTCTATTAAAAAATATCATAAAAATCCAGTATCTTCTCAGGACATTCATAGCTCACTAGGTACTATGTGATGCACATAGTCTCAACTCGAAATCGATGAATCACTGTTCTTCTGTATAGTTTAATAAATCTATATTATATCCTATCAAAGATACTAGTGGCTACTTCTTCTAAACTTGTCTGGATTTTGATTTATATTAAATAAATTTCTTAAATGCTAAGCTCATTGTGTGGCAAGTTGCATTATTTGAAGTAAATAAACTTACAAGTCACTCGACGGTAAAACACGTCGTTTTCGAATTGGTTGTAAAGGACGCATAAAAATGCAACAAATAACACAACAAAGAAGAATAGCAGATAGAATAAGTACAGCTGTTTTCCAACCAAAGATGTCGAATAATATACGCGACATTGGTCCAAATATAATTGAACCAATTCCTGTACCAGCTGTAACAATACCTACAGAATTCAATTTTATTAGCAATTTAATAAAGAAAAATATTTTATTATACCTGTAGCAATGGCACGTTTTTCTTCAAAATAATATCCAACCATAATAATACTCGGTAAATAAACAAGTCCCATACCAATACCACCGATACAACCAAATAATAACCACATTATATATATATTTGGTGCTCGAGTTGATGCTGCAACAGCTAATGCTGCAATAACACTTCCAATAATACCAATTTTACGACAACCATATTTATTAGAAAGTGCAGAAGCTATTGGTGCTATATTTAAAACAAATAATTTGAAATGATAAAAATAGGACTCTTTAAAAACATTACCGCTAAGTAAATAAAAACCACAAGCTAAAGAACTAACGAGCGTAACCTCCCATTCGTGACAGTCGAACTCTTTCCGAAGAGTTTCTGATATTGCACCAAATGCATAAAGAAAACCATCAACAATTAAATTAATCATCTGAATGAAATCAGAAGAAATATTTATAAATATAAATAATAAGAACTTACAAAACATGCTATAAGAACAACCCAACCATAACCTCCATCAGGTGGTATTGTTATATAATCATACTCTTCGTTATCTTGTGGTTTACATAAATTTCTCTTTGCATCTTTTTCATCTCGTAATTTTGATTCAACCTTGTTCGTCATATTTGTATAAAAAAATTAACGAGAACTACTTGCTTTTTTTCAACATATTTTTTCTGTTTAAAAGATTACGAATGTTTTTCCTTTATATATATATAATCGATATCGTAGAAAGGCATATAAAATTTTTATATAGTGATAAGACTTGTTCTGTTCTTTTTATCTTGTCCTTCTTTTATCAAATATCAAAGTACTACATATATTTAAATAATGATTCATCCTTAAATACATGTTTAAAATCAGGTCTTCAAACACCAGGAACCAACAAATAGTTACGTTCCAAGGATGAAAGTATAACTGAATCTCAAGTACGAATAATATATCAAGAAAACCTAACGTCAAACGATAAGGTCTTACACAATCAAAAACCATCAATTCAACAACATGACTTTCCACCAATTACCCTTCAATTCGAATCTTTGAACAATATTAATAATAGAAAATTAATTGAAGAGGTAATTAAAGAATGGAAGATTAAAAATAAGAAGAAACTTGATATCATTGGCAGATATGGATTTAAGAATGTATTACTCATGTTTGCGCAAAACATCACAACTCTTGATGAATTACTTGATAAAGACAAAGGGCCAATCAAAACCTATGTCAGGGAAATCTCAGTCCCCCCGATGACACACATTTGCTTCGACAGATCTTGTATTGCTCTATCAAATATGCTACTCCACTATGGATCCGAAAACTTTGAAAAAATATCGATTCTGATAGCCCTGATGGTGAGGAATCCAAATCTATTATCAGAATTTATATAGCATAAGGTACTTGATATTTGGACTACAGCTCTTCAGTAAGACGTGGTATAAGTTTTGTCTAAAAGTAAGAAGTCTTAGAAATGATTCGGTGGAAGTCAGTATAAACGTGTCACAAGTGCCATGGAACCACGCAATACTTCTTTCAAAATCTATTTTATCTGTCACTTTTGAGTAACTCATGTAATTGATATCGATTTATTACAATTCGGTTAATAAAATAAATTGAATAAATAGCAAGTATAAAACTTGTTACAATATATGAAAGAATCGATTTAAATATTAATATAATATAACCCATCATGACTGATGAAATAATTTGTAATGCAAAATAAGTACTATCAAGTATACCTAATAGTGTACCTATTTCATATGTTTGTATTGTTTGATTATCAACAAAGAAGATTTTGAAAAATAATAAAACTACTTCTCTATGTGTATGATACTTTATGACTAATGTATAAGGTATCGATGTTAATGAAGCCATTCCAAGATCAGACAATGATACCATAATATTAATAATAATTATATTTCTTGATATGTACATAATAAGCATAGATAAAGCAAAAACAAACATACTAAATGAAAATATTAAATGTATACGAAATCGATGAATTAATGTTTTAAGAAATAGTGCATATAGTACACCAACAATACAATGAAAAAGTAAACCATATGATCCAGCTCATACACCTTGATCATATCGAAGACGCTCTTCCGATAATTCATCCGCACTTGGATCACCGATATAAACAGTTTGATCAACAAAATCAGTAAAAAGTAAATTAAATATCATTATAACTGACCTACATATTTAATTTAAGATTAATTCAACTGTTTTTTTTTATAAACAAACCATGAACAACATTCAGCTAATGTTAAACGACGTAAAACAAATGGCATTGTAATAAGAATTTTTAAGAATTTTATAGGAAATAAAAAATGACATATATGAATATTATTAAATAAAGATTGTTCATCGAGATTATCATTGATTACTGGAACTTTTTCATTTGCTGATATTAATGTACAACAAAGTGTTATGGAAAAGAATAATAAAATTACGTAAAATGTTAATTTTTCTTGTCCTTGCATATAATTACTTAAGTACGATTCAGTCCAATCAGTTGCTGTAATTAAATAACCTAAACATCCTCCTATAAAACGAAAAAAAAGCTTTGAAAAAAAAGTATTCTTTCTATTTACCAAATGATGTCATAAATGAATAAACAAAAAAACAGGAAGATTCTTGTGATGTACCTTTATAAATATCATAAATTAATGATTCACATGGATTAAAACAAGCCTGAGCAGCAAAATAAAATAAAATACAACTAATTACTAATAAACTAAGGCCAATTGTAGGTGCTTCAATAAGATTACCTATTAAAAAGAAAAAGAATAAACCCTAATAGAGGACCACAACCCATTATCCATGTCATTGATAATTCAGATATTCCAGCTTTAAATAATATAGGTGGAATATAAGTAAATGCTGATGCTGTACAAAATTCTAATCCACATACTAATGATGTTACGATCGCGAGATGAAAAAATTTCATGTGTACATGATTAAGTTACTGAAGAAAAAAATGAGATGAATACTTTATAATTTATTAAGATTCGTAATATTGATCATCCGAAAATAAAAGAGGATTTTTTTCTTATAAACAATAGTTTACTTCGTATTTTTTCATTTGTATGACTATATTTGAATATAAGACACATTAAAAAAAGATTTTATATGGGTAAATCATGTAGTTTATATAAATATCACATATTATTTCGTAGTCAATCACTTGACTGAAAAGAACAGTGATAGAAAAAAAGAATAAGAAGAAAAAAAAATTGAATCAAGTAAGTAATTTAATACAGCGCAGTTACATAAAAATTGTCATGATTTTTAATTCGTTTGACAGATGCGAATTTTTAGATTACACAAAGCATACAACATTTATTGATATTTATTTAGTTAATTTAACAGGGTGCATATGGAGCATTTGCTGCTTGCACTGTCCATGGTAATTGAGGTGTTTTATCAGCAGGAAATTCATGTTGGGGTCCAGAAAATATTGGTGGTGGTGCTTGAAGAACAGGATATAGATGATGACGTTCAGAAAATGGGGCTGCTTGAGCAACAGGAAATTCATGATGGGCTCCAGAACATGGAGGAGCACTAGCAGCAATTGTTGAACTATCTTGAACGCGTGTACGTATATTCATTCGACAAGCGATGTAAACAACAATATACATCAGACACATGAGAAAAACGATACCTAAATCGAATAACAATAAAAATATTTAATATTATGAAAAATCTCATCACTATTCTTACCAACGCAAACAACTTGAATTTCAAGAAATAATTTTTTTGCAGTATGAGTTGTGTAATATTTAAATCCTGGAACCTTTTGTAATAAATCAATTAATGATACTACTTTTGGTTGTGTTGAACATGTTGGTGTTAATAGACATATATCTGGATGTAAGATGAATATTATATCAAATCCAATTAGATTACCCAATGCGACTAATGCAACCAAATTCCAAATCAATGCACATCTTGCTGCGTCAATCGTGGGTGTACAACATGCTTAATTAAACACAGAAAATATTATTTGAATATATGTCATTCTTTTTTTCTTAAAACCTACCTGTGACAAAGAGTAGAATCCAATGAATAAAAATTACGATTGCTGCCCATATACCACCGAATATATTTGTATGCCAAAAGTCCATTAAAATATTACCAGCTTCAGTTAGAAAAATAATCTAAATTAATGAAAATATATGTTTATGAGATAGAGAAGAAAAAAATTCTTTACCAATCCAAGTAACATTTCTAATGCAGCTAGAAATGCAATAAAACATCGTGGCCAAGAACGTTTCCATGCATAATTTCGTTCGAATTCAGCTTGAATAACAGGTTCCATTGCCATTTCTTAATATTTTTTAATAAGATTTATGATAAGTCGAGTCTTTTTATGCTCTTAAATAAAAACAAAAAAAACTATTCTTCATCAATCATATAAATTCAAATAATTTCTTAGTAAATTTATATAGTAATCATTCATTTTGTCTAGTATACTCTACCTTTAATATTAATATAAAAGAAAAATAGTTTAATAAAAACAAGAGGAAATTAGTTAATTTTGTTTTTATCAAAAACTCTTTGTGAGTATATATAAAAATAAGTTGGATAGAATAAAACTCGGTGTTTTTTATATTTGAAATCTAGCTTTTTCTCTCTCTCTCTCTCCCTTCATTTTTTGCCTTGTAAACATATGACGTGGGATATAATTTTATCTTACATATCTCTGACGTACTTTTAGATCTCAAAAGTACAGACCGGAAAGACCTTCTGCGTTCAAAAAAAAAATTATATGATTAAAGGAAAAGAATGAACGAGAAAGAAAAGTGCGTCGAAGGAAAACAACATCAAAACTACGTGATAAGATAAAATAAAAAAAAAGAGATCCGTCTTGTCTGACAGCTTAATAAGTTTTCTAACAGTTTAGACTAAAAAAAGAAAGGTTTTTTCCTCTTTCCTAAGCCTGACAAAAGAATGATCTTTGAACTTACTTATAATTTTTCAGAAGGAAAAAGGAAAAAAAAATGAATATGGAACTTTCTAGATAGACGAGATATTTATAATTATCATCTTTGTAAATGCAAGAATGATTATGTTTCACTAAGGCTTCTTCCTATTCAAGGCAAAAAAAGATTCTGAAATATAATAAGATTGAAAGTGCTTAACTTACTATTTTAAAAAATCGAGTCTTCAATATAATAGTACTAACATTCTTTTATCTAAATTTGTAAGAAATATTTTTTGAATAATATCATTCATTAGCTTTTAATTAATATATATATACGAGATGCTAGACTGTCAGGATAACCTAGGATCAGAAAATGTGGATCAAATTTCTAAAAGATCTTGATCAGCTGCAAATGACTCTTTTTCATGAATATTAATTGTTAGATAATACATTAAAATTGAATATTGATCCATCATAATAAGATTCTATAACATCAATCATCAAAATTAATAAGAAATGACTCAATACTTCTAACAAATATAGATAAGTCAAGAACAAATCTATAATCCAGCAATTAGTATAAATTAAATTTATTTTGACAATAATTAATATATTCTATACAAATGCACAAGCAGATATTTTTTTGTTTTTACATTCTGTTTAGAAATTTCATTCGGTAAACTCAATGTCTGTTTGAAGAACAATAAATATGGCCTCTATTTTGCTGCCAGTAAATATACTTATCATTAAGCACATTTCCGGATTTTAATTAGTTAAATTAATATTGAATCGAAAAATTTTACGGATATTCCTGATATTTTTTATGGAAAATATCATGCATACTTTTTGTCAGGGGAGTACTGACGTAAGGGATGTGGGGGGCGGCACGCTTCCCTGCATTTGAAATTACTCATGTTACAAGCGGGCCAAGTCTGGACGTCACCATCCGCTAAATGTTTTGTCACGTCAATCTGCCTTGGATGCCTCGGTAGGCTCCTGCTATCTATACTAAATAAAAGAAATTAATATTTAAGCTAATTTTTTCACTTTACAATTCGTCAAATTTGGATGAACAAATATCTATCTATTACTAAGTTTTCCTTTTATTTTTTCTGTAGTATAATGTCATAGATAAGCTTAATTAACTTTCTAAGTTTATACAGATAGGCATTTCCTATTCTAGTTGATCTTTTGTCCGACATATCATTCTACTAGGAAATTAAAGAATACTATCCATTGATTAAAAATTAGTGCAATTGATCTATTTATATGTCTCTATCATGCTAAAGATAGATAGACATCTCACTTGTATGCATACATACATATATATATATATATATATGTCTATCTCTATTGAACTTTAAAGAAATATTTCCCAATGAGAAAACGATATAACAATGACTTTTGAACTCTTTTTTTCTTTTTCTCGGTAGATAACATGATAGATAACAATACAATAAAAATAAAAATCTTCAGCGAAGATACCGCCATTGATGGACAATTACTTTTACAATATTTTATTGCTAGATAAGATATGTGTTTTTCTTTTCTAATTGTCATTGTATAACTTTGACATAATTAATATATTTTCGTTTATCTTGATTAACAACAAATAAAATGATTCGTTTATTTAGTGTATGTTGACAGAAATTAACATTAAAGTCAACCATGATATTTACTCAACGTGATTTAATTGTAAAGATCTATACCGGTCAACTAACGACATAGATTCACTTCTTCTTTTATCGATTTATCAAAACATAAATGTGTGACAACAGATCGCCTAAAGGTTCATCTTCTTCTTCTTCTTTTTCACTTATTCATCCGTGTACAGATGATAGTCCGAAACACACTGGATTAATAATAAAAGTCATCCTTCTCTTTCACATATATATATTTATATACGTATATATATAGATATAAATGTAAGTAGACACACACGATTCTCCATCATTCTTCTGATGAATTATGGTCTTTTTGCATGAAGGGGGAATAGATAGAAAAGAGAGTGGAGAGAGAGAGAGCAACAAATCTTATCTATCTATACAATATATATATATATGTGAACGTATTGTAGAGAGAAAAAGAAAAAGTAGAAGCAAATCATCATCGACCGGTTATGGTAGTAGTGCTCATAATGTTTGTGTGTTGATTAACGAAATCAATGACGAGAGCATACATAGATATGATGAACTTTACTTTCGAGAGTCGTCGTCTGTTACTTCCCCTGCTGAGTATAAATATATATATATATGTATAAAGAGAGACATGAAGAACACGAGATAAGATCGATGACGAGTGAGGTCTTTTTTTTTTGTTGATATGTACACATAGAGATATTGCCTGACCGATCATAAATTTTTGTCCTTGTCATTTTAAACAGGTGAGTAAGTAATAGATAGGATTAATCATATTATAAACGACCCCTCGTTCAATTTCAATTTAAATTCCACTTGATTATATTCTATCAAATTATCTATATTTTCGTTTTGCTTCAATTCATTTATTCTTATATTATCATTTTGATTACCAATGAGTTCAATTATTTGAATATAACATCTGTGTATATGTCTGTAGTGAATTTTATCTTTCCGCCGTCTCTCGTACTGATTCTGATTGACATGAGTGAGTTCTCTTAGCCCTTACGGCATTGAACATCTTCTAGTGGTCATTATGATGAAAACGAGAACTATATATTCTCCTCCTCATTACAGATATAATTGATTCAAATATGTCTACTTATTGATGAAGATATCCTGGGTATGTTAGCATTCGAAATGCCATGTGCCTTTTTGTTAACATAATTATTATTCTTCAATGTTTACTACTCATCTTGTTCGGTCATTTTCTTTTCACTCATCTGATAAAATAAATAAATGCCATACTAGAATATTAGATTACCAAACAGGAAAAAAAGGTGTTTAATCACAATAAATTTCCTTTTATTCAATCTTTTAAATATGTCAACAACAGGTGCCAAACTGATAATTGACAGTAGAATAGAGCATGAAATAGGGAGTTATGTCATCTAACATACGTTATGCATATAGGGAGAGAGAGAGAGAGAAAGAAATGGCTAATTTATCGATGTAGTTGTGGTTCTCCTGTCATTTATTGAGAACGTGTGTTTCCTAACATATACATAAGAGAAAAAGTCTGTGATTACGTGGTCAAACTTCTTTCCTCTTCGATAACATCTGTATAATGCCTAGAGCAATATTATCCATGCTTGAATGTCCATCATCAGTTAGACAGACCATCTGACGACAACACAACAGGTAATTGAATAAGGGTTGGATTCGATCTCGTATTGAGATAGTCATAGACACTTCAATCTATACCCGTTGGCTATTGGACAGAGACTATACGATTGAAAATGACCGACGTTAGTTTTCTTTTTTTTCTTCTTCATCATTTTGTGCGAAAAAGAGAAATGTACAAATTGTCGTTCATCATCACCTTTATTCTCTCTCCCTCTCGTCGTCTTCTTCTTATTCTCTCGCATCGAAAGTTCTTGTTTGATATTATCGACGAGAGAAAAGGAGATCGGAAGTTAGTGAAGTGAGAGAAAGACGAGACGAGACACATTCATTCAATGCATATATACACATACATGTATATATATATGTGAACGTTTAATGTTTGTATTTTAGAATAAAAGAAAAAGGAGAACGAAAGTGCACTGTAGTGCATCCATCCATCTATATACATATATATCGAACAATTTATACATTGTCAGATCGAAAAACAATCATAAAGAAGAGAATGACGATTGTTGACTAACCCGTCGGACATACAAAACCTTAAACGACGACAATAATAATAATAATTGAAATATGTCTTACAATTTATTCATCATTTTTATATATATTCTAATTAAACAATGTAAATTTTATTTTTTTTCTCATTTCATTTAAATTTATTATATTATTTTCTTATTAGCTTATTGTTTTCTTCGGTTGGAAAATATGACAGTAACATATGGTGAACATGTTCAATTTCGTTGTCAATTTTCACAAAATTTCTCTGCAAAAGATAATATAATTCAATGGAAAAAATTACGTTTCAATGATGATGATTTAGTTATATCAATAAATGGCAAAGTTCCTAAAACATTCGAAAAATTTTATCAAACTGATTTAACAAATGAATCTAGTTCATTAGATTTATTTCAAGTTAATCGACAAGATTCAACAACATATACATGTCAAACATTTGAAACTCAAACAATTCTCTGTCAATATAATCTTGTCGTACTTAGTAAGTCAAAATACACACATATGATATATTATTCCCTCGTCATCAGATATAGTAATCAATAAAGATAAGGATCATGATGATAGATGCTTTTCTTTTTTTTTTGGGAACGGAAAGAAAGATTCTTTTATTGCTTATGTAATCGATTTCTTCTTCATTTAAGTCAAACCCGAAGCTCCATCATTAATAATTAATGAAGAAAATATTCAAGAATATCAAATTATTACATTGACATGTTCTTCATTAAATGGAAATCCTTCACCTCAATACATCTGGTATCGTAATGATACACTTATCAAGTATGATATTAATGATTATTTCTTTTTGTTCATACATTCAATTTTTGACTTCTCTTTTTCTTCTAGTTCACTGAATCAACAAGTATCTATGACAGATAATAGTTCAATTTATACATTCAATGTAAGTCGTTTTGACAATCAAATAAAATATGAATGTCATATATCAAATCAAGCACTTTCAAAACCACTTCGGGTTGAAAAATATTTACATGTTAAATGTAAGAATACAGATAAAAGAAAGAAAGAAAAAGAATATTTTGTTTATTTAAATCATTAGATCGTCCATATATAAAAATTCTTGCTGAACCATCTCTATCATCATCATCGATTGATGAAAAAATAATTGGTATTGAATATACTGAACAAAAATTCACATGTCAGATAGATGCTAATCCAGCTGCAACGTCAGTTTATTGGACAATCAATAGTACAAACATAATTAGCCGTAAGAGAAATACAAAAGAACAAAATCGATTAAGTAAATAAATTTAATTTTCCTACGTAGGTGAAATCAATATTTATTTACCACGATTAACATCAGAACAAACTGGATTATATACATGTGTAGTTGAAAATTCTATTGGTAAAATAAATCAATCGATTTATCTTGATGTTCAATGTAAGAAATCAATCGAATATAACTATGATTATTCTAATTTTGAGTTATTTTTTTTAGATGCACCTCGTGTTCGTGCTATAGAATCTCGTATAATTGTTAATCGTTCCGATTCAGCTATACTTCGTTGTTCTGTTGAATCAAATCCATTACCATATCAAATCATATGGTTTAAAAATGGTTATGAAATCTTTCGACAAAATCAATTATCTGATTTACGTATTGATCATGTTGAAAGAAATGATTCAGGTTTATATACATGTATGATCTATAATCGTTTACAAAATAATCTTATACAAAATGGTTCAAGTACAATTGAACTTATTGTACAAAGTCGACCGATAGTTGAAACAACCTATTCAAAAATAGCTGCAGAAGTTGGACAAATCATAACATTAACATGTCGTGTATCCGGACAACCTAAGCCACGAATATTTTGGAAACGAAATGAACAAAATATTGATTGTGATGAAATCATTGATGAAAAATGTTATTTAAAATTAATTAAAATTACAAATAAAGACTTCGGTTCATATAGATGTATAGCGGAAAATCTATTAGGAAAAGAAGAATGGACATATACAATTGTCTCAAGAGGTAAATATCTCATCTAGCAATTATCTATTTTATGACATAATATAAACATTAGCAGAGTAATGCATACCCTTGAAAGTTTCAAATGTCATTATGAATGAGATAAACTAGAAAGTTTTTTAGGTAATCATGTTACAGGTGTCTTTTCACTTGCTCGATTAGTTTTATTATATAAAGCCTTTTGAAACTCTTTTAAGCAAAACTAATATGAAGTTGTCTCGAGTGTATATAAGTATTTGTAAGCGATAGAGTTTCTTTAAAAGATTGTTATACATATTTCAATCGATGTACTTTACATATATTTATTATTCTTTGATCATTTTATGTTTCTATCGATGACAAAACTTTTAAATATTCTATTTGCTTTTTTTTTCTATTATTATTACAAAGGTAAACCAGAAACTCCGCATGATATACGCGTATCTGATGTAACATCATCTTCATTTAAAATTCAATTTTCTCCTTCATTTGATGGTGGTGGTGGACCACAACGTTTTTTAATTGAAGTTACTGTTCATGATAAAAATACAACATTCAATTCAACGATTATTAATGAACAATTACCATTTAATACATATGAATATACAGTCAAAGATTTAAATGAAACAAGTTTATATATGTTTCGTATTAAATCAATGAATATTTATGGTGAAAGTCCATGGAGTAATGATATACCTGTACAAACAATTGAATCAATTATAACATCAGATGGTATTGATAAAATTTATATATTTATTTTGATTTTGAATTTTTTATTTAATTAGATTTACCACAACTACATGTAATATCATATAATTCAAAAGAAAATTATTTACATTTTGATTATTTACCTGGTGATGATCATTTACGAAAGATAAATAATGAACAATTATGTTTAAATATTCGTCAATCATCAGATGGAAATATTTATCAAACAATTAATCAATGTTTAGCAATACATAATAATCGTGTTAAATGGTTTCTCGAGAAAGATTTTCCTTATTTAAAATTTTCAATTTGTTCAATAAAAAAACAAAATATATGTGGACAAGAAATTGACATGAAAGAAGGTATTTATTTGATTTTCAAATGAATTAATCGTATCTTTTTTTTAAATTAGAATCAAATAATCGAAGTACAACAGCAATGATTATTGGTATTGCAGTAACAACATGTTTTCTGATTCTGATTATATCAATTATTATTGTTATATTATGTTGTCGTTGGAGAAAAAAACGTTTAACATCAAATGTAAATAGAACAAATAAATGTAAGTATACGAAGCTATAGGAATTAAGTCAATAATCTTTGATCGAAAGTTATTTTTTCAATAGTTTCAAGAGAATGAGAAAACTTAGAATCGATTTTTACTCTTTCAGTAATCATTATGAACCAGATGACATTTTGAATGGATTAAATAAGATAGACTAAACAATCATCAATGTGTTAATCTGAAATTCGTGCTCGATTGAAAAATATTCATGTCAATCTAACTCGCGTAATTATAGGGTAGAGAAATTCAATGTTTAAATAATGTGTTAAATGTCATTAAAATAGAGATACATATGTTTAATGAAGAGTTATCAATTGAAATACAAGAGCAGCCATTAGACTAATTCACATTATCATAATTGATGATGTTCTTATAATTTTTTTTTATTCTAGTTGGTATTAATGGTCTTGAAAGAGGTGTTAAACCGTAAGTAGATAAATTATGCAAAATTTCTTTTTAATTTAGTGTTTTCTTTTGAATAGAATTATTTCTGAACCTCGTCTTCAAAATCCCTATTCATTATATAGTAATACAAATTCTCATACATCGCCATATGATTTTTCAGCAAATGAATATCAACAACGGAAAATTGCTAGTTCATTTTCTCATCCATGTAAATATTTTCGTATATTTTTTAATAATAAATTTTATGTTTTCTATTAGGCGATATTATTGATCGAGATCAACCAAAAGATGAACTATCTGTTCATGATACATGTTCTACGTGTACGTAAATTTGTTTTTGTACTTTTTTTATTAATAAACTGTTTGTATATTTATTTAGATGGTACTGCAACTCGTACAGCAACTATTCGTACATCACCTCATTGGTTAATAAATAATGGAGGAAATGGTTCTCGATCAGGCTCTAATCCATCATCGGAATTTAGTTGTTTAACACAAAATACAAATATTTTATTTACTAATAATGAAATAAATTTAAATCATACACCACCTCCAACATCACATTATGGTTTTCCATCAATTGTATCCTCATCTTCGAAACAACATCCATTAATGAATGGAAATTCAACAATACGATCATCATCATTTGATCAACAACAATCGTCCAGTGGTAATTCAACACCAAATCGTATGAAAAAACTTTTCTATGAAGTTGTTGTTTAAATGATTATTCTTTTCTGTATTTACCGGTGATATTCTCTCTCTTTATTACATTTACATTCATCAGATATGTATCTCTTGCATTTGTGTGTGTATGTGTGTTTTGGTTAGTTAATATATGTATTTCAATAATAATAAAAAAGAAACAAGATTCATGATGTCATATATCCATTTGAACGTTTTTGACGAAGTATAACAGATTGACGTAAACGTTCAATTAATTTTTCACTTGTCTTATGTAAATGATTTAATTGTTCTATTGCTTGATAACCTCGTCCATCTTTTAATATTTGACTTAAATTTAAAGCAATCGTTTCCAGTGGATAGAAATTATGGAAAAATTCAGCGGGATTATTTGCATAACCATCAGCAGCTACAGCAATAAATTCACAAATACGATGTAAATAATGAATATATTTAACTATTTCATAACAATGTTTTAAAAGTGCTTCACGTTTATCAATTTGTGATTTTATCAATATCGTATCAAAATGACTTTGTTTATCTAATGGTATTGTTCCAATAAGACGTTTACAATTTTCATTTTGTTTTATTTGATTTTGATAAGCACGTTGGTGTCGATGAAATATTGCATGATCATAAAGTTTACCAGATATATGACGTTCTTTGACAAAACGCATTTTCTGAAGTGCTATCGTTGGTTTTGGACAAGCAAATTCTTGAGTAGCATTATAATGATCTTTCCAATAGCACGAACAAAGCCAACAAAATTGAACACCACATCGACATGTCATATGATTACAACCACCATCTTTTACAATAAAATGTTGACATGATATACAATTTCGACCTTCAACTCGTAAACAAGTATCATTATTACTAACTAAATCTCCATTTCGACTTGCTTCTTTTATATATGCTCGATAAGAACTACATAATGCTGGAAAATGTGGTTCTTGTTTACAATCAATACAAAATTGATGACCACAACGACATCGAACATTATCAATATGTGAATTTATTATTTGAACAATATTTGGACAGAATTTCGAAGGACATTTAACATACGAATGTGATAAATTTACAAGACATTTTTCTATATTACGTTCATATATATTCATACAACGAACATTAACCAAAGATAATATCGTACCTAAAAAGATTCACTAGCTTATATATACTTTAGTCTTAGAAAGATCTTACCAGCATCTACAATTGAACAACAATTCCATTCTGGACAAAGTATAACTTTAATATTTTTAACTGAATTTTCAAGATATTGTTTCCAACATTGATCACATAATCCATGTCCACAAGATTTTAATACTGTCATCGATATTGATTCATTGATATCACAATAACAAGTCGTGCAAATACTTGGTCGAATTAAATTATAATCATCAATAGATATATTATTATTATTATTTAAATCGTTAAGTATTAATTTATTTTGTGAAATTGTTTTATCTAAATTTTTAACTCGATGAATTTGTTTATTAATAAATTCATTTTCACTTAATTCACTTTCTGCGTCATCTTTAATATATTTTCTTTGATTGATTTCTAAATCAATAGGTTTAAATAAATCCAATGATAATTTTGTAATAAAATCAATTGTTTTATTAATTAAGTCATCGATTTTATAAATTGTATCTTTTGATTGAGATAAATTTTCAATTTCAATTGTTTCTGTATTTAAATCCATATTTAAACTAACTTGTCCTTGACAAAAATTGTCTTGATTATCTACATCATCAGTTAAAATAATAATTAAATAACAATTCAGTGAAAAATGTTTCGGTTGAACAGATTTTAAACGATCCGTAAGACAAATTAAATATTTTACTGGATAACATTGAGCATGAATAAAATTTTTTCCATAAACTTTTGATAAATGTTCAATTTTAAAATCTGTTCGATGTAAAAATATTGTACGATATGATAATGACATAAAATTATTCGACAATTTCGTTTCTGATTTAACTATTTCATTATTTTGTTTCCTGTTTTCTGTTGATGAATGATTATCATCATAATAAATATGAGATGGTTTCGAATGAAACTTATCAGTTGTATTAGAATTTATTGATTTGGAGGAAATATTTTTAGATTGCTTTGTTGATTTAATAGGAATGAAATCATTTAATTGCAGTTTGTCATGTTTTATAGAAGTATAATACTATAAATGAAGATATATATATAAAATTTCGAAAAAAAAAATAATTATATACCGATGTTATTGATTCATCATCATCCGTGGATAAATTTTCTTTTTCATCTTCTGAAAAATCTAACCGTTCTTTAATCTGAGTACATTTTGTTCTTTGAGTACTTGATGTTGTTTTTTTACCTATAATATAAATAAAAATTTTGAATAGAAAATTTTGTTAGAATTACTTTTTGAACCATATTTTTTTCGAATATTAGGTAAACATTTTTCTTGTGACGGTGGAACTACAGTAACATAAGTTACATTATTATCTTCAACATCAGCATCATTATTCTCACGTTTTCTTGAATTAGTCGTAATTCTCACATTATTATTGTTATGTGGCGTATTATGATATTCATATAAACGATATTTCACTTGATGTTGATTAAAAGTTTTTTGTTGAGATTTTTTTGTTTTTCGTTTTTGTTCCGAATCAGATTGTGTATTGAGTTCATCATCAGATGAACTACTTTGATTCGTAATGTATTGACGAATATCATTTAATAATTGCCATCGTTGGTTTTTATTTAATGAATATGTCACATTAGGTTGTTCAATACCAAATGGATCTTGTTTTTCGATAGTATTATTCCATGTTGCTTGTATATAGGATTTATTAGATAATTGATTTGGATTATAATGTAAATAAAGACTTTTACCATTAGCATTACTACGTCTAATAGGCCTTAAATTTGGTTTTTCATCGTCTGTATAATTGGAAGCCATCTATATATAATAAAACTATACTATTCTTTTTAAAAATAATAGAATACATTTCTCTTTATATAGTAAAATATGTTATTAGCAAGGTATTGCGAAATTCAACTGTCATGAGTAAGTTGACAATAAATTTAGTTCTTCTCCGTCAGATTCCGCCCTCTGTCTTCATTGAGAATAGTTGATAAATAAAATGACAAGTATGAATGCATGTGCTTGAAGACAGGGTTATGTATTGTGATAGATTTTTGTTAATTTAAACAAAATGCAATCAACATCATCGATAAAATCTAATGATTTCAAGTAGAAAAAATTTATTTATCAATTTAAAAAAAAACTCCTATTTAATTTTTATAGTTTTTCAACAAATACATCTAATTTCTGGTCAAATGGAGCAAATCGTAAACGAAAAGTTGATGAATGTGATTTAGAAGAAAGGTAACAAAGAAATATTTTCTTATATATCTATCTATCTATTCATTGTTTATTAGTTTTCAAAACAAAATGTTTTTAACCGAAGAAAAATTAATTCAAAATATGCAAAGTCTTTCATTAGATTTATCGATGAATAATAATTCAACATTAAATGTTCAAACTTTACAAGAAAATAAGTATAGAAAACGAAATTTATTCGTTTATTTTATCATTATTGAATTTTATTTCTTATTAGTGAAACAAAAATTAATCAAAATCAATTAAATCATTTTTCTCAATTAGAAACTCAATATGAATTACATAAATTATTTAAAGATAATTTAGCAAATAATGATTTACAAGATAGATTTATAAATAGAATTTATAATATTGAACGGTAGAGTACACGTATTTTAATTTTCTAAGAAAAATTTCCCTTTTTTTTCTAGAAAAAGATTCTCTATGCAAATTGTACCATATATACCAATTCATCCAGCACAACTAAATAATAATAATCATGTAGTAGTAGAGGAAAAAGAACAAAAAATTGAAAATAATATTTCTTCAACTGTAAAAATTAGTCCAGTAATAAAAGAGGAAAATGATGATCATTTATTTAAAAGACCATTTTCACCAGTACCACCTTATACAGTTGAAGAACCGACTGAAAATACAACGAAACGAATTCCAAGAATGAAAAGGTTAGAATATAAATATGATAATTTAATTGTTTATCCTACTCTTTTCCATAGGAGTTACTCACAATCTGTAAGATATAATAATAATCTTACTGTAGTAGAACTAAAAAATGATACAAATGATAATTTAATTCATCATTCACAATCCGATTATTTTATTGTTGAACCAAGTACACCTGCGTAAGTGCAATAAATTTCTTATTTCATAGAGTTAGAATTGATTCTAGATCGTTTGTTGGTTTCTTTTCATGAAATTATAAATAGAACAGAAAAATCTCATATTTCTCTCTAAAACAAATATTTTGAAGAAAATAATTTATTTTTCTTTTCTATTGAAATTGTATCATTCAGAGTAAAGCTCGTTGGTTAAAAAGAAATAAACCTTTTTTTCTCATCATTCGGTACCGCTATAGTTTTCATCTTGACAAGCAATTTCATATATTTTTATTACCCACGACGTCTACCACTTTATTATTCTCTTTTGAAGTGCCAATGATTCATTTTGTTAGCTATCAATTTACTAGAGAAAGAGAAAAAAAAACAGAACTTATTTCGTGAATCACTATATTATACTGAATAATACTGTGTCATTGTACTTTATTTTTTATAATAGTTTGACTGAATCTCCAGCAGAACATATTCCTACTTCGCTTTCATCGAAACAATCATCGATACAAATAATCGAATGTTCTGATTTGACGTCATCAAAAACTAATATTTTTTCAAAACCATTTACTAATGATAATATCAATGTAAAATCAAATTTTTCATTTGATGGTTGTTATGAAGAAATGGATGATGATGATGATATTTAAAAGACAATTTTTTTTCCAAATAATTCAAATATATTGTTTTTTTTTAATATTAATTTATCTTCAGATAATTTTATTAGTAAACTGTGATATATTATAACCCATGTCATCGATTCCAATAACACAACTAGCAACTGATATGACTATATCATCGAAACAAAAAATAAATTCATCTGAAATTTCAATACAAGATTGCACATCTCAATTTGATTTAAAAAAACTTCGAGATGCTTTTGTTAATTGTGTTCAATCAGATCATACGCTTCTTCTTCAGGAATATATTCGTGCTTATGAAGAATTATGTCTGTAAGTATAAATACAAATATATATAAACTAAGAGTAATTTATCGGCATTATTTAGTTTTGTTTCTTCTCTTGGTACTGTTTTTGAATGGATTACAAAAGATTTATCAAATAAATTACTTGTTCTTAAAGAACATCAACGTCTTGATCCAATTAATTATAAATCTATTCAATCAATGATTTCATATGAAATCGCATCAGGACGAATTCAAACAAAAGATACATCATTATTTATTCAACCTGGAAAACCATTACAAAATGGATGTCGAACATTATTAAGATTACATCGTGCATTAGCTTTTATTTCTTGTTTTTTAAGTGAAATGCGTAATGCATCCGATGATGCTAGTTCAGCATCTATTGCATGTAATGCATATTCACATACACTTGGACGTTTTCATTCATGGCCCGTTAGATATACGTAAGAAAATATTTTCAATTGACTAAAGTGATATGTAACAGCTGTTTTACATATGATACATCTAGGTCATTCGATTTAATAGAGTTAACTAAAATGGAAGAAATATTTTCTCAATTTTCATTCTATTAATATTAATAATATTTTTTTTATTATTTAGAATTCATACTGCTATTAAATTAACAGTACCAAATCGTCAAGATCTTATTAAGAAATTTGTTAGTAATCGAAGTGCTGAAGAAATTGATGTATTCTCCGGTGAAATAGTACAGTCATGTAATACAATTGAACATACAACACAGAAACTTTTTAGAAGTCATCATTTAACAAAACTACCATAATTTTAAATTCTTTTCTCTTTTTGTATAATCGGTGTTTTTTTTATCATGAACAATGAATGTTTATGTATATGTAATGCTATCTTTTATGAAATTTTATTTCATTTTTTCTGATAATTTATGCAAGAAATGCACTATTAATGACAGTTATTTTTAGTCTCTCATTTATATAAAATTATTTGGTTACAGTTTTATTTCTTTGTCATACGACTTATGTTAGGTAATTATTTAATATAATTATCATATTTATAATAAAAGAGAAAGATTATTTTGAAATATTTAAATTAATAAAGAGAAAAGTTTGGAAGTTTTTGATTTTTGGAAAATTTTGTGTTAATTTTAATTCTGATCAAATGATAAATTTAATGAGAGACGATAAATAACTAAGAGTCCTTTTCTTCCTCTTCCACCTTCTTTTTATTTTCTCATTTCAGTTGATTTTTTATTCATCATTCATCATTTATTTTGCTTTGATATTGTAAATGAAATTTGACTTTTATGCGAGTGTCGTATCATTTCTTTCTCTTCTACTGCAAACACTTTAAAATAAATCATTAATAATGAAACAATCGTACACATCGATAGTCATTAAACGAAAGAATCAATGAAAAATAAAAATTAAGCTTTGAAATTAAAACATTGACTAAAATAAGAATTCTTTCTCCATTAAATTATTCAATAAAAAGACAGAAAACGAAAAATATTAAATTAAACTCAATAAAACATTGTTTTAATCAAATGTTCATTTTATTTCAATAAATAATTTATTTTCTTTTTTTCAAACAAAAGATTTTCATTTAGATATCAATTAAATATTTTTGAACTCGATGATTGTGAATATCAATGACATAAAGATTTTCTTCAACATCAAATGATAAACCAACGGGACCAAATAATTGATTTGATCCACTTCCTTTACCATTTCCACCAACAACAACTTCACCTTCTTCTTTTCCTTCACACCAACGTACTATTCGATCATTCATATAATCTGCCACATAGACTTGACCCAAATCATCAACGATTACACCTTGAGGTGACCGCAATTGACTGAGATTTCCTCCTTCACCATTTCCTCCGGCAACAACAATTCCTTCTTTTGCATCTTTTCTCCATTTCATCACACGAGCATTGCCTGTATCTGATACAAAAACAGATTGATCTTCATCAACAAAGATAGAAGTAGGAACATTAAGTTGGTTGAGTTGATCTCCTTGTCCATTTCCACCGGCCACTACAAATCCTTCATTGTATTCTCCCATTTTCCATCGTCTCACTTCATTCTTCTTAAGATCAGAAACATAAAGAAATCCATATTTATCCATTGCCAAGCTCGAACAGTCAATATTGCTAATGAGAATTTGTTGGTTTTGATTCACCCATTGAATCACTCGTCTATTCCCTTTATCAGCAATGATGATCGAATGATTTTGTTGATCAACAATTACATCTGTTGGATTATTCAATTGATCCATTCGATCTCCTTTGCCATTCCCACCTGCAATGATTTGTCCTTCCGTCGCATCATATTTCCATTCAACAATACGATGATTCAAGTAATCAGCAGTGAGAATATTTTTGTTTTTATCAATGGAGATTCCAAAAGGGTGATTGAGTTGATTTAGTTGTTGTCCTTCCCCATTTCTACCAGCCACAGTGATGGCATTTTGTTTCCATTTGAAATTGATCTTATCTAAAACAGACGACACTTATAGTTTCAAATATCTAGAAAGTGTGAACAAGAATGTTGCATCTATCATCCACCGATTCACTCACTTTTCATTGGTGGACACATTTTTTGATCAGTCATTGTAACTGGATAGCAAAGTGGAAAATCATCGCACTGAGGATGTTGAACACAGATTGTGGTTGGTTGAAGACAAGAATGGTCTGATGAATTGCATCGTAAAAGACGGGAGCATATTGGCCAAAGAAAACCACAGACGCCCGTATCATCATGAGTACCTGCCATATGAAAGCATCCACATGCACTGTTTGTGGAACATTCACCATACTGAGCTGTTTTCTCACATATCTGAGAATTGATTCGAACTATGAAAGTGATAAACTAATACATATAAACATATAAAATACAATAGAAATCAAACCTGTGATGCTAAAATATAAAATTAATTAATGTTAACAATATGAATGAGAGAAATCAAGAACTATTTACTTGAGAAGAATGCAAAGGACGTAGCAGTAGATATTGATTGTAGCCATAGTTGAATATAGAATAAGGGAATATAATGAAAAAATGTGTGTTTTTATTTCTAAAACACGGAGGGGATCTTAAGCGAATTAGATTGAAATATAACAGATGGATCTATTCACATATGAATAATTGGAAATTTAATATTTCATTCATTTCGTCTAATGGTTCTGCTTATATCCTATAACAAATAGAATAAAAATGTAATTAAAAAGTGCATAGATGATCATGTGATAAAGTGGAGATTCAAGTGGTATTAGTATATTTTGAAACAGTGAAACATTTACCAATAAGAGTAGGAGTGTGTAGTTATAAGATTCGTATTCATTAACTAGAAAATTTAATTCTTTTTATTAAGATAAAACGATGTGGGTGTAGGTATGATCTCTATCATCTATTCAAACTCACACCCACACCGACCCTCAAGATTGAAATATAATTAAAACCTTTTTCTTTTTATATTGTGTATTAATAGCTAATAATACAAAAGTCTATTAGTAAATGTTCGAATAAAGGTTTTACAAAAAACAAAACAAAAAAAAATAGAATAAAGTCTATTTGCTTTTCATTTTCTCTACGAATGTTTGGTTCTTGGAGATTTTTTAATTAATTCTTTGACAATACTTGGATCAGTTAATGTTGATATATCACCAAGATTACTAGTATCAGGTTCAACTATTTTACGTAAAATACGTCGCATTATTTTACCACTACGTGTTTTAGGTAAATCAGGTGTAAAATGTATAACATCTGGATTAACATGTGCACCAATTGTATTACGTACACTTTTTATAAGATCTTTTCGAAGTTCTTCACTTTCTTTAGTATCATCTTTCAATACTACAAAGCAATACATTCCTTGATTTTTCTTCTTATCTGGATAACCAACAACAGCTGATTCTGATACACCTGCATGTTCATTAAGTGCAGCTTCAACTTCAGCTGTACCAATATTATGTCCAGAAATAACAAGAACATCATCCTATAAAAAAAAATAAAATTTATTATTTAACTTTTTCAAATTATTTTTCATCTACAAACCACTCGACCAGTAATACAATGATAACCATTTTTTTTAATTTCACATCCATCACCAGTAAAATAATAACCAGGATATTGTTTAAAATAAACATCAACAAAACGTTCATGATTACGATAAAGACTACGTGCTTGACCAGGCCATGAATCTTGAATACATAATTCGCCAGTATTTGGTGGTGTTAATGGTTTTTTAGTACTTTTATCGAATAATTGTGTTTTGATACCAAAAAATGGAAGTGTAGCTGAACTTGGTTCTAATTCCCAAGCATTTGCTATAGGTGTAATCATAACACCACCTGTTTCAGTCTATATTACATATAAGAAGAGAAGTTTTCTAATGAAAAAAAATTAAGAATTTTATGTTACCTGCCACCATGTATCAATAATTGGACATCGGCTATCACCTAAAGAAAAGAATTGAGTTTTACAAAAAAACAATAGAACTATTTTAAAACTTACCAACAACAGAATGATACCATTTCCATGCTTCAGAATTAATTGGTTCACCAACTGAACCTAGAATTCTTAATGATTGACGGCTTGTTTTAGTAACATATTTATCATCATGTGCCATTAATGATCGAATAGCTGTTGGTGCTGTATAAAAAATATTTACTTGATGTTTATCAACAACATTCCAAAAACGTGATACATCAGGATAAGTAGGTACACCTTCAAAAACAACAGTTGTTGCACGATTTGATAATGGTCCATAAATAATATCTAAATATTTATATATATTATTTCAATATTATAAAAAATCAATATTTTGTTACTTACATGAATGACCTGTTATCCAACCGATATCAGCAGTACACATGTATACATCACCCGGATTATAATCAAATATATATTTAAATGTTAAACTTGTATATGTTAAATAACCACCTGTTGTATGAACAATTCCTTTTGGTTTACCTGTTGAACCACTTGTATAAAGCTATAAATAATAAACAAATATGTTTTTATTGAAGTACATATTATTTTAACTTACTATAAATAATGGATCTTCTGCATTCATTTTTTCAGGTGGACAATTTTCATTGACTGTTTCCATTTCTTTATGTGCCCAAAAATCTCTTCCTTCTTTCCATTCAAGTGTTCCACGTTGATCACTACAAGCATCTTTTACGTCAGCGTTATTACCATAATTTCTTTCAAAAACAAGTACAGTTCGAACATTACTACATTGTTTCATTTTTAAAGCTTGATCAATTTTACTTTTTAATGGTGAACATTTTCCACCACGTAAACCAAAATCACTTGTTATTACTACTGTTGAATCACAATCAGATATACGTTCAGCAACATTACTTGCACTAAAACCTCCAAATACAACTGAATGTATTGCACCAATACGTGCACATGCAAGTAATGCAACACAAGCGTCAACGACCATAGGCATATAAACAGTAACACGATCACCTTTTTTAACTCCATGTTTTTTTAAGACATTAGCAAATTTTTTAACATCACGTAATAATTCACCATAAGTAACATGATGACGAGTTTCAGTTGGTGTATCTGGTTCAAATACAACTGCTACTTGTTTAGATGCACTACTATCATGATCAATATGACGATCAAGACAATTATAACAAACATTTAATATACCATCTTCATACCATTTTATATCAACACCGCGGTCAGTACGATAATCAAATTCAGTATTTTTTATTTTTGTTGGAAAACGATACCAATCTAAACGTTCAGCTGCCATCTTCCAAAATCGTTCAGGATCATTAATTGATAAATCATAGAGTGCTTTATATTCATCCAATGATTTAATTTTGTCTGGTAACGATGATTCATTCCATGTTGAATTGGTTGATGCCAAACGATACGATGTAATATTTATAGGATTTAACTGAAAACCAGTAGATGTAGATAATAATGTTGATGTTCGCGCGGCGGATGTATGTATTTCATTGTTATTAGTGAAATTATGGCTTAATTTTGAAGAACTCTTTGAAGTATGGAACGTAGATAATGTATTGAAAAGTGAAGCCGATCGAGCAATGTCTGAAATATAAGTATATACAAAATTTAATAACGAAGTCATACGATAATTAAAAAATCAAAGTATGCATATAAACAAATATGAGTAAAATAGAATATTAAAAACAAATACTTACCATTTGTATTTTTGAGCAATATGGGCAAATGACGAACGGTTGTTTTACCACAGATATACTTCGATGAAAGTAACATTGTTATAGATCTTTGTTTTATTTAAACTACAAAATGTTTAGATGCCATTCTTTGATGTAAATTATGTGTCTAGCTCCTTCGTACGTATATAAAAGTTATTTTTATGATATGAGAGAGAAAAAATCGTGATAGCTGGAGGAGTCGATGCAGCACTCCTATTTTGCGATTCGAGCAATACTACATACGTTCGCAATGAAGAACGATAAAAAAAATAGAGAAGAAAAAAGCTATACACCACATGATATACTATTTGCCTTTTTCCTTTCTCTCTCTCTCTCGTCGTATGCATCAAGAAAGCTGTATGAATAGAAATGAAACTTATTGTGAATGGTAAAAGCGACAAAACACAGTAATGTGCTTATATTATACTAATACAGATAATGTACCATTGTAATAAGCTGATCGTGTTCGGTCAAAACGCTGTCGGTCACAGTTCAAATAGTCTATACACCGTATAGTGAATAAAAAACAATTTTCTTTGCTCACATTAACGACTTATATAACAGATTACGTTTATTTCTTTTGTTTACATGTCTGCTGCATTATTGTCTCATCTACGAAGCAGTCGATGCCAATGAGCAACACAATAGAATACATCATACTGTCAGTCATTTGATGAATTCAATTTTGTTCTATTTTTTCTTAAACATACATTCAAGGCCCATAGTTGATATTATTTATCTTTATTTTCTCTTCTATAGGTTTTTATCTGATTGTTTTACGATTGAAATCTATACAAAAACAATATAGAGGAAAGTAAATACAAAAAATAAGCCACCTCAATTACCTTTGACGATAAAAATAAATATTTCTATTTTGAATATTATAAAAGATGTTTGTATATGTGATTTTATATAGATAAAAAAAGTAAATGGATTTATTTTCTAGTACTTTCTCTGTAGCAGCCATGAGTACAGATGAAATACATATTTAGTTATAATGAACTTTTAACTTCGATTAGGTACTTTCTATTTTTTTCCTAAAAAAGTAATCTATTCTGAGTGACACTTCAAGGAATGATCTATAAAGGTATGCATGTGACTAGAAATACTCTTTTTGGCTAAAGATAAAATATATTAATAGTTATTTATAGTATTGTATTCATCATGACACGATTATGCTCATCAAAAAACTAAGATAATATATATTTACATTTTGTACAATCTTTTTTGTCAATGATCATGCTATTTAATTTCTCTATTCTATTAAAGCTAAATGAAATTCAGTTCTAAGATGTGATACTGGAAAAGTAATTGAGAGGATCAATATAGGTAACATATCTTTTATTAGTAAATTTTATACATTAGTCAGTTCTTCTTTCAAAATTATTACATATGAATTAGCTTTGTTTTTTCAAGTCATTGTTATTAATTTCTAAGATACATATCAGTATATAGGTATTTTATTGATCAATAATCATTTCCAGAGTATTTATAAAATTTCATTTATATCCTGTAAAAACTAAACACAATTAACATATTATATTTTAAATGTTAATTATAATGATTGTAATACAACAATGAAAATATTCTATCTGTTCTAGTTGATAAACATGAATATTTATCATAAAAGCATTAGATTTTTAGCAAATATGAACGAAATTATTGATTCTTTTATCAATAGAAAGAGAAAAACTTGTTGTCATCATATGTATCTGATGTTTATTTGATGAAAAACATTATTGAAAAAACGTCGATGACAAAAAAGACAACTAAAACAATTTTTTTTGTACGTATGTTTCCATTTTTACAGTTGTCTTCAATAATTATTCTTTTAAATTTTTGTTTGTTTATGCTTTCGATTCGGATAATCGTGTAGATGAACGGCGTTTTGATTCACTACGTTTACGTTCACGTTTTTCCTTGGCGTATTGTTGAAGTAATTTAGCATATCTATAGAAGAAGAAATATTTATAAAAATTTTAGGGAAAGCCAAAGTATTATTTTCTTACTCATTTTGAAGTACACGTTGTTTTTCAGCACGTCGTTTTTTCAATGCTAATGCATGTCTTTTACGTTGAATACGTCTTGGTGTAATTAAACGTTGAATTTTTGGAGCTTTAACACGTGGTTTTTTGCTTTCTTTTGTTAATGGTCGTTTAACAACATATTTACGTACATCATCTTCTTTACTTAAATTAAATAATTTACGAATATGATTGGCACGTTTAGGTCCAAGACGACGTGGAATTGTTTTGTTGGTTAAACCTTCAATATCTCCTTCACCACGTTTGGTAACAACACAAGCAATGACGGATAAATTGGCATCAACAATACAACCACGAACTGATTTACGTTTACGTTCACCTTTTCGTCGTTGTCGATAACATTTATGACGTTTATCAAGTAATAAACGTACACGTTGGTTTGTTAACACACCTTGCATCATCGGAAAACCTTGTTTATCATTTCCACCTGTTATACGTAATGTATAACCTTTCCATTCGTTGCCCAAACAACTGGCATCGACTTCTTGAGCAATACGTTTTTCCATAAATGGACGTAATTTACGATCATCATCAATATCAAGTAATTTTTGACAACCTGTTACAGGATAAGCGATGTTCAACTTCATGATGATACAAGTTCACTAACGTGAATCTGAAGACAAAAAAAAACAGAAAATAAAATAATATATTCATAATTCGACTACGATTAAAACTGATAATTTTATAGATCTAAAATCGAATCGATAAATTCGAATGTGAATATAATTTTGAATCAATACTATATTATTTCTCTTCGAAGATCTAAGAAACTAAAAAAAAACAACATTGTATAATCCAATCGATAAACTATGCAACCAATCATATACTTCAATGAATAAATGAGAGAGGACTGAAATATTATCTAGTGTACTCTATAGTAAAATTATTATAATAAGTTTTTCATTTAGATGTCGTACACAATCATACAAACAAACTTTTAATGCATGAATATTATTTTATTAAAAATTTAACAAATATTAAATCTTATACTTCTGTTGATTATATTGAAAATTTATTATTTATACAGACGTCAATGTCGCAGAATAGTAAATTTTGAATTAAAGAACTTGATTGTAAGTTAAAGATTATTCATCTTGAATTGAACTTGTATCTATAGTAATTATTTGTGTTTCTCTACAATCAATTAGATATGTTTTATAGTTTATGAAACTATTTTAACAAATAGTCATGGAGAATATAATACATTTCCTTTTTCTTGTATATGTTAATTCAGTAAGAGATGACGCTAGCTAATGATATTAATAGATAAGAGATAATTAAAATAGTTTAAATGAAATATAAAATAATGAGATGTTTGATTTTCTTAAATAGATATATATTGAATTGATTCAGTTACAGAATAAAATAAACGAATGTATTAAGAGATTCGTTATAGAAACGATAGGATGACTCATCCTCGTGAGTTAACAGCCGATTATCATCAGGAAAAAAGGAAAAAAAAAGGTTCTTGAGATTACACGTGTTCGTGTATTAAAAGTTTGAATAATGTATAGAAAATTTTTAAATATGTGGTATCAAGGTAGTTGACAAAATTTTTTCGTAAGAAAAAAAAATCAATATTTACAAATATCTAGGATCCATGTCTTCTGATAATAGAACTGAACATAATGAGTCAAAAACGGCTGAACAAGTAACATATTGAGTTTACATTATAATTTAATATTTTTTCTAATACTCAGATTGAAGCATTACGTGATTTAAATTCAACATATGTTCATCCAGTAAAATGTTCCTATCAAACAAATTCAAAAAAACTTGTTCAAAAGAAAAACCTAATATCAGTTATTAAACAGGTTAGAATAAATAAGTCTTTTTTTAAATTAATTGTATATATATATGTATTACAAATAATAAATTCAGCGTGAAATGGGTTTAATTAATTTTCATCGATATCCAGATGCACGATATCGTTTGATGAATAGGTAATTATTCTTATAGATTTTGAAGGTTCTTTTTCTATTTTCTATTTTTCTTTATAATTTTTGGATTATTGCCAAATGAAGGTGAAGTCATCGCAACAATGGCAAGACCAACATTTTGTGGACAATTTTCCGAAGATGGACAACGTTTTTTAAGTGCTTGCCAAGGTTTTATAGAATAGAAGTACTTGTTCTCTTTCATAAATATATTGTTCTAGATTATCGTATTCGTTTTTATGATACAACATCATCAAAAACATTTCCACGATTGGCTGAAATTACAGTTGATGATGTCGGGTGGTCCATATTAGATACAGCTTTATCACCTAATCGAAAGGATGTTGTTTATTCAACATGGTCAGATTGCAGTAAATAAAACAAAAATAGGAATTTCTCATTTACATGTTTTCTTTACAGTTTATTTAGTAAAATTGACTGATAATGAACATGAATCAAGTATTATTCCATTGAATTTACATCCAGAATCACATAGTTTCTCAATATTTTCTTTACAATATTCTGTTGATGGGTCAGAAATTATTGGTGGTTCGAATGATACTTGTGTATATGTTTATGATCTTCATAAACAACAACGAACATTACGTGTAAATATTTTCGAAAACTATTTCTAATTAAATTTCATATATTTAAAAATAGGTTCAAGCACATGGAGATGATATAAATGCTGTTCGTTTTATTGATAATTCCAATTCATTAATAGTCAGTGGTTCTGATGATAATCTTATTTTAGTTTGGGATCGACGAGCATTGAATGAATCACAACCAAAACCCGTTGGTACATTTGCTGGTCATACAAATGGAATTACTTTTATACATAGTCGCGTAAATCTCTTAAACAAAATAATTTGATTTTTTTCAATTCTCCTTTTGCTTATTATATAGATGGATACAAGATATTTAATTTCAAACAGTAAAGATCAAAGTATTAAATTATGGGATATGCGTCGTTTTGCAAATGAAGCAACAATACAAAAAAGTTATACTATATCAAATAATATTAATAATAGTTGGGATTATCGATATGATGCCTATGGACCACGACGTAAAAATAATTTAATTTTGTTTCTGATTGTAATCAATGTTTTTTTAACTTAGCTCAAAGATTTGATTTACCAGGTGATCCGAGTGTTCGTACATATCGTGGTCATTCTGTTGGTTATACATTAATACGTTGTTATTTTTCACCAGCATTTACAACTGGACAAAGATATATTATAACCGGTTCTTCGGACGGTTGTATTCATAGTTCGTATTAAACGCTTCTTTATATATTTCGAATAAAAAAATCGATGAAATTTCTTTATAGTCTATGATATTCTTACTGGTTCCACGGAATTATGTCTTCGTGTTAGTCATGATCCTGATGAAAGTCGTGAAAGATGTGTACGAGATGTATCTTGGCATCCATATGAAAATTATATTATATCAACATCGGTAATATAGAAACTAATTGATAAGAAATGATTTCATTAAGTTTTTTTAAATGTTATCATTGTAAATAACAAAAGAAAAAAGTATAAACTACTGATAAAGAAATGCAAATAGTACTCGTTTATGGTACACATGTAAATAAATGTAATTCTTCTTTTTTTTTTTCTCTTTTAGTGGGATAGCTATCGAGCACATGTACGTTGGACACATTCATTTGATGAATCTATAGATTCAAAATTATCTGCTTCATCTGATCCAAAAATTATTTCTGTTAAAACACCACATTTATTACCAAATAGACGTCCAACAACATTACGTAGATTATTAATTCAACAGTTTTATGGTGATAATCTTGATGATAACAGTGATAATGATGATGATGACGAAGACGATTTGACTTTACCAGAATAATTAACTTTAAATTCTTTTTCTCTTCTTCTTATATATATTCTATTTGTTTTATAATTCCTCCTAATTGAATATAAAATCATAAATTGTAAATAATTTTTTCTTTTTAACTTCATATTTTAGAAGAAATTAAAACTATTTCTACAATGACATCAATACGTGAAACATCTGTACGTCAACATATATTTTCATTATATAATTTATCAGCAAATGAAATCTATTTTGAAGATTATATTGTTAATTGTCAAAGTACATTAAATGATGATCAAGAAACCAAAATTAAAGGTCGTTTAAAAGTTTGTTCAAAATCCCTTGTTTTTGTTCCAATTGATATTCGTTCACCCATGATTAAAATTTTATATAAACAAATAACAAAATTTGAAGATAGTAAAAAAAATGAATTAAGTCTTACTGATTCAACAATTATATCATCAATATCAAATACAAATAAAAAACAACCAAATAGTTTAATTCTTATTTGTTCATCCGTTATATTAATGTCAATTAATGGACGTATTGAACCATACACAACTCTTTATGGTACACATAGATTTTATTTTGAATTTATTTATACAAATGTTGAAGATTGTTTATCTGTTGTTGGACAATTATATCGTGCAACAACATTACCCTATTCTGAACAAGTTATGATGATTGAATCTATTGTACAAGGACGATTAAAAATGTTAAAATTTGATTTAACACAATTACAAGATTTAAATGAAACGATTCTATTTGAAGAAGATGCTTATGTTATTAAACCATTGATACAAAATCCTGGAAGATGTTTATTAACGAATCAATGTTGTTATTTTCAAGCATTAAATAATATAAATGAGCAAAAAGTTGCTAAATATGACTTACGAACATTATATAAAATAGCGAAAAGACGTTATAAATTTCGATATATTGGTTGTGAATTACAATTTAAATTAATAAATCAACAACCTAATCAAAAGAAAATTCTTTATTTAGTTTTTGCTAATGAAAATATTTGTTCAAAATTTTATGATACAGTTACTGCTCAAACATCTGTTAAAATTGATTCAACAACATTTGAAAATATGACATTACGATGGCAACAAGGAACCATATCAAATTATGATTATTTACTTTATTTAAATGATCGTGGTGAACGTTCATTTCATGATTGTTCACAATATCCTGTATTTCCATGGGTATTAAGAAATTATACATCAACAAATCTTGATTTGCATGATCCACAATCATTTCGTGATTTAAGTAAACCAATTGGTGCAATTAATATTGAACGTTTAGAACGTTTAAAAGAACGCTATATAAATATGAGTTTACCATCAGATCATCAACGTTTTCTTTATGGAAGTTTTTATTCTAATCCAGGTTTTCTTGTTTATTTTCTTTGTCGTATTCATCCTCAGTTTAGTCTATGTTTAAATGATGGTCGATTTGATCATCCAGATCGATTGTTTCATTCACTTATTGATACATGGAAAAGGTAATAGATCGATTTTATTCATATTATACAATTATTTATTTATATATTGTTTTAAAGTGTATTAACCAGTGATTCGGATGTCAAAGAATTATTACCAGAATTTTATATGTCATCGGAATTTAAAGATATTGAAGATGATGATGGTGATCGTCAAGATGGAGAATTTTTAATGAATAAATTTGGAATTGATTTTGGTATACGACATGATGATGTACCTGTTAACGATGTTATACTTCCACCATGGGCCGAAGATCCACGAGATTTTATTAAAAAAATGCGTTTAGCATTGGAAAGTGATTATGTATCACAGCATTTACATGAATGGATTGATCTTATATTTGGTTATAAACAACGAGGTGAAGAAGCACATCAAGCCGATAATTTATTTCATTATTTAACATATGGTGTACCAGAGAAGCATGTATCAACACCTATTGATGAATATAATGAACAATTATCATTTGAAACACAAATTCTAGAATTTGGACAAGTACCAAAACAGGTAATAAAGAAAAAGAAAGACGATTGTATCTGTTTTTTGTATTCATCTTATAGCTTTTCTTCAAACCACATCCACGTAAATTAACTGAACAAGAATTAAAAGAACGTAAGTAGAGTCAATTTCAAAATATACTTGGTTTAAGCACTGATTTTTTTCTACTATAGATAAGCATGAAGAAAAAAATACTTCCACTAATATGGCATCAACTGTAACTGAGAATATTACTAACTTAACTGATCTACAATTGACTGATCAATCCATTCAACGTTTACCATCATTTGAAGAACATGAATTAGGTCAATTTGAATTTGATTCTGTTTGTCGTTTACATAAAACAGCTATTACAAGAATTGTACCACATCCATCATTACCATTAACACATCTATTAACAATTGGTAACGATGGATTTTTACGTAATTATATGGTTAACAAAAGTAAAATGGATACATTCTGTTTTGTATCATCACGTCCATTAACTTGTTTAAAATCGATTCCAGTTCATTTAGCAATAGACACAAATGAAAAATGTTCATTAGCATTTATTGGTAGTTCTGATAATGCGTTATATATTTTTAATTTAGAAACAGGTACATCTATATTATCACAAGTATTACATGATGATATTATTACAGATTTGTATGTTACAAATCGATCAATACCAACACTTTTATGTACATCATCCAATGATGCAACTGTTCGTTTCTGGTCATTAGAAAATTTACTTTTTATGAATGAAGATAAATATATATTCCAAACAAATTATCATTTTTCATCAAAAATTCAAATGCAATATGATATATCATTTGATTCGCCATGCACTTGTATGTATGTATTAGAAGAACATTCACTTTTATCTGTCGGTTGTCAAGATGGTTCAGTATATCTATGTCATTTTCAAACTGGACAAATATTAAAACAATTAACATCATCATCATCATCATCATCATCGTCGTTACCAATTTTATCGTTATCATTGCGTTCTGATGGTCTTTTTCTTGCTTATTTGTCAGCAACAACAGTAACATTAGTTGATATTATATCAGGTACAGATGTATTTACAAATACATGTTTATCAAATGAGCAAATGTTTAAGTCTTTATTTTATTCTTCACAAATGTTAATTGTTGGTTTAACGAATGGTTCATGTGATGTATGGAACTTAAAAACTGGTGAAAAAGTTCATACATTAAGTATCTGTGATAAAATATCTATAACAACAATAACACATAATCATGGAATGTTCTTTTTTGGTACTGATGATGGTTCTGTACATTCTTATGTATTTGCCAGTCGATTACAGTTATCTATCTAGTCTATGATCCGATAATAAATGCAAATGGTGGAGTAGAAATGGAAAAACAAAATATTTTTTATTTTAAATATTTATTATTTTTTAAAAACGGTATTAATAAAGTAGAAATGTATATGTCTGTGTTGTATTTATTATATATTTTATATTATTTGAAAAGAACGAAATCGACCTTCGTTGATGATAATAATAATAAACTTTTTAACAAATAGCTTGAATGTTACAAGAAAGAAATTTTGAGCTTATAATAGTCACGCACTAAATATGAAGAACTTGAGAAGTGAATATCGAACATATGGATTATATCATTTTCCTCTAGAATGACTGAGTAAAGTCATAAACATGAATGTATCATATATTTGGAATTAAGAGGAACTATGCATTCACATCTACGCCGTATTTTCTGACATATATACAAACAACCAATCAATCCAAAATGACTCCCATCATTCTCATTTTTTCGCTTGTTTCTCTAAGACGAATGAATTTTGGGTAATATGAAACTGTAGCGTCGATCTTAAATTCGTTCAACTTTAGGATTCTCCTTGTTGATCAATTTAAATCTGTTCTTTTTCCAACAATATTTTAAGCATGTGTCATTTAATAAAATATCATTCTTCACTTCTTACAATATACTAATAGATATTAAAAGAAAAAATTCATTCATTCAAAACAAAAAAATATCAAAAAACTTCAGATCTTATAGTAGACTTTTTTATAATTAGCTTACATTCACACTAAATACACATATGAAAACAGGATCGTCTAATCATCAATAAATGGAAGAGATGTAGTCTCTCGTATAATGTTGGTTGTATCACTGTAATAGGTAATGAAAAGCATAGATGTCACGTTGAACTCTTATGTATCATGTATGTTAACTGTCAACCGTATAACCGTTGCTCTTGTACATTTGATAACTGCACAACATTCGCTTAGCCATGAATTAATTTGATTGGTATACATTTATAAAATATTCATTTTACAATCTTTCTTTACAGTCTGTCAAATTCTTTTTGATCGCATACTGATTTTTAATCGACAAAATCAGGGACGAGGGTAATTCGCGTCATACAGCAGACATTATTTACGCTAAATCAAGAGTGTTGATTTTGATAAACGTTTTTTCCATTTTACAGTAATTCGATGTAATTGTAAGAAATAGTAGAGAGGTTCCTGTATCTTAGATAAAATTATGCATTCGACGTTTCAAACATATAAGTAATCCTTAACTAGTAGATAATACAGCTGTTACTGCACATGAATACTAATCAACTAATTGTTAAAGCATATGAACACCACGAGAATATAAAGTAAAATAATTATATAATTGTAAGAAAAATGGCGAATATTTCGAATTATTCAAAATAAATGAGCTTATCTACTATTTCTTATTGCGGTATTGTTTTATCTATTATTAGTTTGTGATTTTTTTAATTGTGTTAATAATTTTGTAGTATCAAATATGTTAAGATTTCATCAAAGAATACCGTGCCAATACCGTCACAAATGCAGCCAAGCTGAAACATACCAATCTACTAACTTGAGTAATTCGAAAGAATTACATATTTTGTCATCGGCTAATAAATACTCGTGGTATCGAATATTTCTTGTGTGTCACAGTATTCTTGAGGATGTTTGAGGCTTTATCAAAATATCAGCTACAAAGAATTTGTTTTTCAATAAATTTTTCGGCTTATTTTAAACTACGTGGTATTATTTTTGTTAGTTTGTTAAGAAATCATTTGAATTACATATTATAAGTTTGACTCAGCGGGTAATACGCATGATTTAAAGATACCACACTCTTTGGAAATTATTATATTCCACTGTGAAATATTACAATATTATGTTTTTATCCCAGTTTGTCATTCTAAACAAAAAGAAATATCAAAATAAGAAAATAATTAAGTATGTTAGTACTTGTAACAAGATGGTAACCGTGAATCATAAACATTTCCATCATCAATATTAACAAATAAAAGTCTAGATGCTCAACCAATATATGACTCAAAATTAACAAGGTCCACGATATAACATATTATTATAATGAAAAAAAAAGAGAAGGTCACTAAATGTAGTTAAAACTGATACAACAACAGCACCAAATAAAACATATCTTGGTGTTCTTTTTTCATTTTTTTCGTTCTCTCGTTGATAAGTTTTCTTCTTTCCTGTTGTCTCATTTCATGCGTCATTTTTTTCTCAGTTATAGACGTTTTTTTTGTATTTTGCATTATGAACACTTCTTTTTTTCTCAATGGGAGTATTTTAGAGAGCAGATCTGGATGATATCATATATAATATGATATCATCTTAGGTCTCCCTCATCTCTCTTTTCCTTTGTTATGAAACTATATATGTACACGATTTTACAAAATAAAAACAGAAGTTAGATAGCGAACTATTAGGTTCGCACACCACCACTCTCTCTTCCTCTCTCGATTCTCTCTCTCTAACACTTGTTCTGCGCAATACCGCAGTCAGTCGCTTTCGATTGTTGATATATTTTTTTCTCTAACATTCCTGCTTGCTGACTCACCAACGTACATATAAAACACCAACACGACGGCGGAAACATACCATTTGCACACTTACTCAAATTCGTCCGCAACTCAATCCTCAAACATTCGAAAAGCATCAGAAAATAATGCAAAATATTACTCAAAACGTTTGTTTGGTAGTCCTCCTGGTTTCGATGGCAACATGCAAAATGGTTCGGGTGCACCAGGAAGTAGAGGAACCGAATCTAGCTCAAAAACCAACTAGTGCTGTTTTTCGTTCTGATGGTGATGATTGTGGTGATGATGTTGTTTGTGGTACTTGTAATTCTTGTAATGCTGGTCATTGTGCTGGTGTTGATTGTGCTGCTTGAGATCTTGATATTTCTTATAGTTTTGATTGTGGTGGTTGTTGTCTTGCTTGTCGTGCTTGTGCTGCTGGTGATTGTGGTGCTGATGTTGCAAGCGAAACGACAACAACAATAACTCATGATCATGACTTGTAATAGAAAATAAACTGGGTATGTTGTGTGTATAGTGTTTCGATGATAACCTATCGCTATTTTGTTCTATTTAGGTCAGGTGGCACACATACAAGTATGCACCAAAAATCAAACATTAGCATCAATAATAATGATCATTATTCACTAGTTAGCGTCCTCCTCTCATATTCACACCTAGTTAATTCCTGGTGCTGTATTGTCAATCCTTTTTTTGCTTTTCCTTCTGATATTATCGAGTACTTTTTCCCTTTTTTTCGTTATATTTTTCAGATTTCAGTTTTAATAAAGTATATACATTGACAACGTACCATGCTTTACTTTTTTGAGAACAGCTCCAAACATGTGCAATAACGATGAAGAACGTATCATTGTCGTCAGAAGCTGAAAACCACTCATTCAATCGATTAAAAGTTTTCAAGAGGGTGAATAGGTGTGCGTGTAATCTTAACCATTACCCACACCCTCAAGATGGTTTGTTTTTTCTCATAGTTGTAATATGAACGAAGAATTCAAGATTTTTCTCACAACTTTAGATCTTATGGATTCAGAGACTTATGAATAAAACTGAGCATATCGCAATGATATACAACATATTCAAAACACTAAAAAGTATTTTCATTAATTTTCCTAAACAAAATGTACAAAGAAAGTAAAGACGTCATAAATGTTATTGTTAATTTCTCTAACGACATAGTAACGATGTTTTTCTTCCAACATCAGCAGATATTTGTTATCATCATTTTTTTTGTAATACACAGTTTTCTTTGACGATGTAATTTCCATTATTCTGATTATAATAGACGAACAACGTTGCACAAAATGTGCTTTTTTCTAACGTTTCTTTGTAAAGAAAATCAAATTATCTTCAGATGGTTTTTGTGTTATATGTACATTTTATAATATAGCAACGTACAACTGGAAGAAAAGAGAGAACAGACATCATTCTGTTGAACGGGACATATTTAATTCGAAGAAAAAAGACTGATTATTTGAGAAGATGAAGAATTATGGAAGTTACTTTAGACTGCTGAAGAATAGTTTCACTTAATTGATTTATTTCATAAAGTATTTCTTACGTTGACAAACAGAATTAAACTTAATATGAACTAATCTCATATTATAAACAAATGGAGTAATCACTGTTTCTGTATAAAAGAAGATTTTAAGATACACGTATTTTTCTTTTCTGCCTGCGCATAAACTACGCAAAAGAAAATCATCGTACGAGATGCATGACTTGTTTAAAGTTAACCTCTACTACACAATTTTGACAATAAAATGCAAACTTTTTTTCCATTATATTGATGAAATAAAAAAATTGTCCTTCTGAATATACTTTTTTCGAAGTGAAGCTCTTTTACACATTCCTGACAAGACAAGGAAGTCATGACTAGTTTTCCATCGTACTGATTAAATAAAAGAATATCTATAATGTGTGAAAAGAAAGAGGCGTAGTTGTAATAGGAAGAAATGATTCAAAATTATCTTACTAGTTTAGAACTTACGAATTTAGAGATTTATGAACAAAACAGAACATATCACAATAATATACAGTATATTCAGAACTCTAAAGAGTATATGCATTAATTTTGCTAAATAAAATGTACAAAGAAAGTAAAGACGTCATATACGTTATTGTTAATTGTCCTAACGGCATAGTAACGGTGTTTTTCTTCCGACAACGGCGGAAACTTGTTACCATCCTTCTTTTTGTAACAGACAGTTTTCTTTGACGATCTAATTTCCATTATTCTGATTATAATAGGAAAAAGTCATGGCACAAAATGTACTTTTTTCTAATCTTTCTTTCTAAAAAAATGAAACTATCTTCAGATACTTTTTATGTTATGTACACATTTCATATTATAATAACGTAGAACTGAAGAAAAGAGAGAACAGACATCATTCTGTTGGATGGGATACATTTCATTCGAAGAAAAAGGTCTGATTATTTGTGACAACGAAGAATTATTGAAGTTACTTGAGAATGCTGAAAAGTAGTTTCACTTAATTAATTTATTTCATAAAGCGTTTCTTATATTGGCATAAAGAATTAAACTTAATATAAAGTAGTCTCACATTCTAAATAAATAAACTGATTTTTTCTATATGAAATACGATCGTCAGATATATGTATTTTTGTCCTCCGCCTGCACAGTAACTACGGAAAACAATTATCTTTCTAAATGTACTTTTTTTTGAAAGTCAAGCTCTGCTACACCTTCCTGACAAGACAAGGAAGTCATGACTAGTTTTCCATCGCACTGATGAATTAAAAAAAAGTTCTATAATGTGTAGGAAAAAAAAGAGAAAAAAATAGAAAGAGAAAAAAACTGAAAGGTATTTAATACTATAGCTTCACAATGTGTTTGATTTAAAGTTAAATTCATTTCTTAACTAACATTCTTGTTGGCTATGGCGAGCAGAAGAAATTCTCTATTTCTTCTGTTTCTTCTTATTACACAATCCGGCACACAAGATATGCGATCACTTCGTATGTCTACCAAAGCTGGTTGGCAATTTCAATGCTCTAGCTCAAGTTGCTCACCATTGGCCGTTATTATTGTGTCGAATATCCGCCAGTGTCAAATAGCATGTTTAGCTGAAATCCATTGTAGAGCAATTAGTTTTTATAAATCATCGTCTAATTGTGAATTATTTGCTGATATATCAAACCAAAATGGCAATTTGGTGAGCAACATGAACACCGTTACTATGATTGTGATGGATGGAACACGACTTCCACCTGGTAAGTACAACTACGATTACTTTGGCAAGATATATTGAAGAAAAAAACTCTTTTTTTTACATCTTGACGGTGGGGTGTGGGTGCGGATCTTCTTCAATTTTTACACCCATGTTCAGGATGTGCGTCTGGAGATTGAAGAAGATCCGGAACCATACCCACGTCTACAGCCACACCTACGCCCATATCTCTAATCTTGTTTGTCTAAAACAGAACCGACTACGACATCAACAACAACTTCATCATCCACTTCATCATCAACATCATCCACATCATCAACAACATCAACAACAACATCAACCACTGCATCATCAACATCATCCACATCATCAACATCAACAACAACATCAACCACTTCATCATCAACTACATCAACAACCACAACTACTACTTCATCAGCAACATCATCCACATCATCAACATCAACAACATCAACAACATCATCAACCACTTCATCATCAACATCGTCAACAACATCAGCAACAACAACCACAACTACTACTTCATCATCAACATCATCCACGACGTCAACAACATCAATAACAACAACAACAGCTGGTCAGTTACATGCTATATAATGTGCTGTTCTTTTTTGTAGCTTTCAGACCGAGGATAACTTCCGCTAACCAAAAAATGTTTGCGATTTTACCGGTCAAATGTTTATCACTTCGATGAACAAATAATACTCGTCTGGAGATTCGCTCAGTTGTCTCTTGTAGAAGCGTTATTTCTTGACGTAACAAATTGTAGTCATCACGCTGATGGTAGAGACCTTCGCTGCAAGAGCCGACATTAAAAAAACTCACGTTGAATCAGACGTATCACTGACGATTACTTTTGTTTAGAAAAAACTGTCAATAGCAAAATAGCATTAGAGTATAGTAGCATAACGAGAATTTTTTCAGCAAGAAGTAAGCCTCCTTGTTGTTACCTTTTCTTTGGTTACTCCTCACCAGCCCCTATCTAGTCTTCTCGACCTGCGTGCTTCATTTTTTCTCTCGGGATGGTTTTCGGTTAATCAGTAGGAAGCTGCACGGAGTCTATTACATGCTATACTAATAAACCAGACTAAGCACTAGCAGTTTTATGGATTGTAATTTGTGTTCTTCGATCTTTACTCTACTAACTGGCGTATTTCTCAAATTCCGGTGTTGTTTCTTGGAAACTGTGTGCTCTAAAAAAAGGCAGGGTCAACACTGACGCCGGCTTTTTTTGCATGTATAAAGTCTCGAGAGAACAGTGATCGAATATGAAAAGTACATTCATTTGTAGAGTAAATATTGGAGAACAATACTTACAATAAATAAAAACTGCAATGCTTTGTTTTCTATTGTTACAGCATCTAATAAACACCGCTTTTAACTCCGTGCATACCTATGCCAAACACTGAAAAACACACCCGCAATAGCCCAAACAGATAACTTATTTTTGTTGAACTATTCTCAACGAGAACGAGAATAGGGTGTGGATGCAGAGGTAATTGTAAAATGCTTGAAAAGTAGAACTTAGAGTTTTGTAGAAATACTGTTGGTTTATGTGACACAGAATTATCTTATTGTCTATAAATTCTATATTATAATGCAATTAAAAAAAGGAATGATATACAAGTTGAAATGAAATTCTGGATAAATGTACAGAATTATGTATTCTCCTTGAAAAGTATTCTGCGTCCTCTTAGTCGAGGATAACATAAAACTTTATTGAAGGGAGCGCAAGTTTTAAGTAGAGTGAGATGAGTTCGTTGATTTTTCATATTAACGAGGAGCTTTCATACAGAGATGAACAGAATGGCTGAGAACTGACTTTAATTATGCTCTAGAATATCTGAAATTGCTCAAAATTCATTAGCATAATCTTTTCGAATACGTTATGTTCAATTAAGTTAAACTCTCAAAGATTGAATAAAATACCATGGTTGAATACTATCTATATGCCAGTACAGATGTAATGACAAATTTTTTTGTATTTAATAGCCTGTAATATGTTTCTTAATCAAACTACTTACGCAGTTGGTAGTCAACCATGGTCAGTAGCAGTCGTCGATGTGAATAGCGACAATAAACCCGATATTGTTGTTGCAAACTCGCAACCGAGCACCATCAGTGTTCTTCTCAACGCAGGCAACGGCACCTATAATGCGCAAACTATTTACGCCACTGGTAGTCAACCATGGTCAGTAGCAGTCGTCGATGTGAACAGCGACAGTAAATCCGATATTGTTGTTGCCAACCGAAATTCGTACAACGCCGGTGTTCTTCTGAGCGCAGGCAGTGGCACCTTTAGTGCTCAAACTACTTACGCAGTTGGTAATCAGCCATTATCAGTAGCAGTCGTCGATGTGAATAGCAACAATAAACCCGATATTGTTACGGCAAACTATGGCGATAGCACCGTCAGTGTTCTTCTCAATGCAGGTAGTGGCACCTTTAGTGCTCAAACTACTTACGCAGTTGGTAGTGAACCAGTTTCAGTAGCGGTCGTCGATGTCAATAGTGATAATAAACCCGATATTATTGTTGCAAACGCGGGTTCGAACACCGTCGGCGTTCTTCTCAACACAGGCAGCGGCACCTTTAGTGCTCAAACTACTTACGCAACTGGTGCTGTACCATATTCAGTAGCAGTCGTCGATGTGAATAGCGACAATAGATCTGATATTGTTGTTGCAAACCGAGATTCGAATACCGTCGGTGTTCTTGTGAACGCAGGCAGTGGCACCTTTAGTAATCAAACTACGTACGCAGTTGGTAGTCAACCATGGTCAGTAGCAGTCGTCGATGTGAATAGCGACAATAAACCCGATATTGTTGTTGCAAACGAGGGTTCGAATACTGTCGGTGTTCTTCTCAACACAGGCAATGGTACCTTTAATGCTCAAATTACTTACGCAGTTGGTACTAGTCCATACTCAGTAGTAGTCGTCGACGTGAATAGTGATAATAAACCCGATATTGTTGTTGCAAACTATAATGATGGTACCGTCAGTGTCCTCTTGCATTGTTAAAGCTTATCGATGGCTAACCATTATTTATTCATTAACACTTTACTACTCTACTAAATATATTACTCTTATAAAACATTACACAATGCACACTAACATTTATCTTCACTCTATATTAAGATTTTCAACAAAACTTTGCGGCTCAAGGCTGCCATCTCTTCTGCTTTTTTTCTGTTGTTTCTGCTTTTTCAATTTTTTTTCTGCTTTTTAAACTATTATCTGCTTTTCATTTTTAACTCAATTTCAATTTTAATAAATGATTATTCTATATATATTTGATGAACTCTTAGTGATGCATATTATTGTTGTTTTGTCTTCTTTGTTGTATAATGGAAATTAATAAGATGGCGATTTCCAATTTCCTATGGTTAATAAAAAGGGCCAATCTATACACCACTTGTTGAGGCTGTTCTTTACCGATATCTTTCTTTATGAACTATTTTGTACCAATCATCCAAATCTTTCAATTCATTGTATACAATCGTCTGTCTATTGTACATTGTTGGTTAAGAATATAATAAGCTGTAATATTTGTACTTAGCAGAAAAAAAGACTGATGCTAATGATAGCCATATTGATCAAGATGAAGATGTCATGGTGTATAGCATGGTCATTCATTCAACAATGCATAGTGATGGTTTGCAAAAGACTATATTCATTCTCTACGACAGCAATTCATTTATTACCCTGAATGTTTTAGCACTATACTTCACATACAATTTGATTGATGATTTGAAATCGCATTTCATTATTTGTTGATGTATAATATCAGTAACAAAAGGAAATATTAAAATGTATCCATTTTGTATTCTTTTCTTATTCACAAATGGAGTCAGAAAAGGTATTGTTCTGCTGAATTTAATTTATTGTTGTAGTATTTTAGGCCTTTTTGAGTTGATAACAAATGCAGACGAAACAGCCAATTAAGTTTTTGTTAATGCTTGACAATTGCTTGGTAATAATTATTTGAATATTAATGAATTAACAGCCGTAGGTGTTAATAACACTAATGTCAACGTTGGTGAAAATCACTCAGTTTTCTCTCTCTTTAGAGATAAATTATCTGGTGTATATATATATGTGTAAGGTAGTTCTAACCAATTAAAGAAAATAAACTGATCTTTGTTAATCTTATTATTTGATCTTTTCAGTTTAGAATAAGTTTTTAAAACATAATTCTAGATACTAGATTTGATGCGTTTTAGCGTTTTCCGTAGAAATTCCCTTTTCGCACATCCACATTTGAGAGATTGTATATCATATACATAATGCGCATAATAGACATCATGAGCATATTAAGCAAAATAGGCATTATAGACATAATAGGGAGACAGAACATAATGAGCAAGATGAGAGTGTGATTACGAGCGTGTGTATTTCCTTGTTCTATACTGACAGCCACACCCAC